TGGGATTCGGATTCAGATGCTGAACCTGAGGAATCCCAGCCTGCACAGGATTCCCCACCTACAGAACCAGCTGAGCCAGGGCTGGGGCATGAGCCCGAAGGGTCCTCACCTGTGCTGGATCCTCAGGTGCAGGCACCAGCTGAGTCTGCTCTGGCTCCAGAGGGGGTGGAGGACCCACTGCCTGCAGGTGCTCCACTCTCAGCCCCGTTGGGGAAGCTGAGGTTGCCTCTGGGTCCGGTAACCCTCCAGCTTCTCCTGAGCTGCAGAGGCTCAGGGCAGAGAGGCGGAGGGAACTATGTTTCCGCAGGAGGAGTGCTTGCCTCCAGGCCAGGAGAAGTGAGTCACCTGAGGATCGGGGCCACCCTGTGCCTCAGGGCAGATAAAAGTCAGTCCCAAGTTGTGGGAGCAACTTCGTTGGTTGTCAGTTCCTGCCCGAACCCTGTCCTGCTATCCTGCCGGAGCTCCTGACCTCACCCGACTACCTGCCCTGCATCCAGCTTCAACTTATTCAGACTACCTCCATACTGCAACATCAACCTCTGACTGGACTCGGACCTTGCCTCTCAGTTAGCCCATGGGACCAGCATGCTGTTCTTGCGGCTGATTGATTTGGCTCTGAAAAGTGAGTAAATTGTTTTTCTAATGGGTGTCTCAGTCTCCAAATATCTACCAGATTACAACTTTCTACTAAAGAGAAGAAAGTTTTGGGTAACTTTCCTTCTTTTGATTTCATTTTTCTTCTTAATCTGTCCATTTCTAATGAAATTACCCCGTTCATGTCCCCCATTATTACAATTTTTTGATCAACATTGTCAAACAATTTCTCTTCTAAAGATTTATAAAATTCAGCCTTACAGCCGTTTGGTGCATAAATTCCAACAATTAAGTTTTTCGCCTTGCCACGTGACTTGTACTGCAATCATCCTACCTTCCTTGTCCTTGAAGATTTGCCGTGCCTCAAATTTGTGTTTTATATACAAAACTACCCCTCTCTTCTTACTTCCATCTGAAGATATAAATTCATTCCCTAGTTTTTTATTAACCAAATTCTGTTTTCTAGCTACATGAGTCTCTTGTAAACAGATAATATCCAAATTCTTTTTCAACAAAACATGCCCAATTTTCTTTTATTTTTATTGTTTAAATCATTAACATTCCATGTCCACGCTTTTAATGCCATCTTGATTTCTTTTACTTTTTGTTAAAAGAAAAGAGAAAAGGTATTTAAACCTGTCCTCCTCCTCCTCCTCCTCCTTCCTTATTATCTTCTTCTTCTAGGTCCGGGGTCGCTGCTGCTGTCTTCTTCCTTGCCTAGCTCTTTGTATCTTCTCATAAATTTCTTTGTCTTATCCACATTTTTAAGTTGAAACCACTTTTCTTTGTAATAGAATGAGACCCCTTCTGGGAATTCCCATTTGAATTCAATATAGTTTTTTTCTCTGTATTTTGTCAGTCTTGTAAGGCTGGCATTTCTTCAGGAGACGAAGTGGGATGTCCTTAAATATGATTATAAATGTTCCATCAATACAGAGTCTTTGTTCTCTGTTTTTCTTCAGGATCAGATTCCTCATCTCTCTATCTTTAAATATGATCAAACAATCACCTGGAAATTTTTAAGCTTTAGTAGCTTTTGTTTTGATCCCGAATGCACTTTGAATTGTATTTGCTACCTCCTCTGCTTCCATACTTAACCATTGTGCAACCTCAATGATCAATTTTCTCATGATATTTCCCCCTGGTGTTTATGGAACCATTCTAAATCTCAAATTCATTTCTCTCTGCTTCATTTCATTTAAAGCAATAGCATCCCATAAGTCTTCCTGCATCTTACTTATTTCGGACACATCTCCTATGGTCTTTTCTTCCTCCTTTTTCAGCTCTCTCATTTCTCGCTGTGCCTGTTTCATTCCTTCTTCCAAGCTTTGCATCCTTTTACTTATCTCCTTCATCTGTTAAATCTAAGGAAGGTTTAGGGAATAGTTTACATGTTCCAGACTTCGTTGTTAAGAAGAAGTATAAATGAGCTGGGCATCTTCCACCACTTGTTTGGCTAATCCGCAGATTTTGAAGCTTTCCCGAAAAAACCTCACAATAAAAACCAATAAGAAAAAATAAAATACAGTATCTTGAACCACTTACTGGCTTAATTCCACACAGTTCCACGCAGTCGCTATTCACTATAGAAGAAGAATCCCAGGAGTCCCAAAAACAACTTAAAGACAAGGGAGCGGGGGGGGGGAGTTCTAACACTCTCCTCTCCACACAGCTTCTCCCCAAGGTGTTTGGAGGTACGGCTATTTTATAAAGTTTTAAATAGGTCTATCTATGCCGGACATTTGCAGGTCCTGCTAAAAGAAAGCTGCTATTTGGCTTCTTTTCCCCTTAACAGTTTTTAATTTCAATCTACGCAGTTCCACAAAATTGAAAGTAAAAGTTCCCAGGAAGCTCTCCCCCCTCCCTGCCCCATGGTATCCAAAAAGTCTCAAAAGAATGTATAATATATCCAGATTAAGAGGTTTTTTCATGCCTTCTCAGTAAATGTTCAGTCTTTTCAAATAAAGAACAACTGTAATTGTGAATCTTATATCTCCGCTGTAGGAAAGTTAAACAGAGTCAAGTTCTCTAGGAAATTCATGCAACCACCTTCAGATCACAAACAGAGCTGACCTCCTTTTTTTGCACCCCACTGTCTTCTGAATTATTATAACACCAAATTATTATTTTTTTATGTGTATGCAGTTATACATTTTCTTTCTTTGTATCTCTGTGACTTCCCTCCACCTGTGCTTAGCATCATTTAATTATTTTTATATCATTTAATATTGTGTTAAAGAGATACATTATACATATTAACCCATAAAATCTTTGTTTTATTTTTTAACCTTAACTTTGCGAATTTCAGTCTATGCATATCAATAAATTTATTTTGGAACAATGTTTTGTCATGTATTCTTCTACATACTCCCATTCCTTCCTTAACTTCTGATTTGGTTGTAATCTGATCGCTGCCGTCATTTTGGCCAGATTGACAAACTCACAAAAATTTATTTTGCCATTCCGCTACTGAATGAACAAAGTCTGCTTTCCAATTTTTCGCAACTGGAATTCTAGCGGCAGCTGTTGTGTATAAGAATATTTTTTTCTTGTCATTGGGGATGTCTTTTGTGACTATACCTAAAAGGAACACTTCTTGCCTTTTCTCGAATGTTGTTTTAAAGATCTTTTTTGGTTCTTCATGGATACTACACTAGAACTTTTTTATTTTCTCACATCCCCACCATACATGATACATTGTTCCTTCTGCCTTCTTACATCTCCAACATACATTTGATTTTAATTTATATATTTTACCTAATCTGGCAGAGGTCATATACCGCCTGTACATCATTTTCATCCAATTTTCCTTTATTGTGTAACCAGGGCCGTCTTTAGCAGATGTGGCGCTGGGGTGCAGATATCCTCCCAGCACCCCCAAATTACCACGGATAGTGGGGGAGTGAAGCTGCACACTGCCAGCCATGGGGGGAGGCACAACTCTCCCCCATGCCGCTGCGGGAGAGCGATCCCTGCAGAGGCTTGGGAGGGAAGCTGCACGCCCGCCAGCCATATGGTTGGTGGGGCGCAGCTGGTGGGCGTGCAGGGAAAGGGGAGGCCAGCGGCAAAGCCGCGCAGCTCCCCCACTCGCTGGGGCACCCCTGAGAGGCCACCGCCCTGGCGCGACGCACCACAAAACCCTATGGGAAAGATGGCTCTGTATGTAACAGGCAGTCAATTTGATGTCTTGTTTCCACAACCTTTCCCACTGTTCCATCTCGATTGCATAACCGAAATCCTGGCCCCACCTAATCATGATCTCCTTTACTTCCTTATCCTTCAATTCCCATTCCAGTAATAAATTGTACATACGTGGCCAGAAAACATAGAAGGGTATTGATTAATAAGAAATTATGAACGGAATTTATTTCTTCAGGTGGGTGAAAAGCTTTTGCTACAGAGAGGAGGGAGCCTTGCCTGGCAGGAATGCCTCTTACCCTCCTTCCTGCATCCTCTGTTGCCTCTGTGCATTCTGCTTGTTAAGAGGGACGAGACAGGCCATTTGTAGGAAAGGAACAGGACCATACAGGTTTTCTTGGGCTCTAGGCCCTCTTTTTATAAAAAATTATGGAACAGTCAAAGGTTTCGCCAAAACTCCCTTGTGGCGAAGAAGATTGCAATGCAAGCAACAATGAGAATATCACATTGGTGCAATGTGTGTGTGTGTGTGTGTGTGTGTGTGTGTGTGTATCCGTGTATCCCTGGATGCCAAGATCCAAATTTGGGGTTGGAGAGATTGTGGAAGGTAGATATTAAATTCACAGCATGCTGTAACCTTAGGGAGAACATCATGAAGGTGTTATATAGATGGCATCATACCCCCTTGAAACTAGCGGAAATGTATAAAGGAAGGTCACCGACTTGCTGGAGATGTAAAATAGATGTGGGGTCATACTACCACATGTGGTGGACTTGTGCAATCATTAGGGGATTCTGGGATAATATCTATAATGAATTCAAGAAATTATTCAGACACACTTTAAAAACAAACAAACCAGAGATCTTTCTTTTAGGCATTTCACCATTAGAATTTAAGAAAGACATAAGACCACTGTTCATGTATGCCACCACAGCAGCAAGAATTCTTGTGGCGAGGAAGTGGAAAAATGAAACAATACCGACAATCACAAATTAGCAGATACTCATGTTAGAATATTTACAACTAGCAAAACTGACGGAAAGAGTTAGAGGAGTATTGAACTAGAAAACATTTGGAGAATGGAGAATATTTCAGGATTATATGGGATCATATTGTACCAACCACACCATGTTATCAGAACTTGAGTGATCCTTTAAACACAACAAATACCATTTGTAGAGTAGATCCTTCCAGTTAGGCTGGGCATGGAATATTTGCTCATTAAATTCAGAAAAAAAGAGGAAAAATACAAGTACGTTTGCCCTTCTGTGTGTGTCTGTGTGTGTGTGTGTGTGTGTGTGTGTGGTGTGTACACACATCTACACACACACAAACACACACACATTTTTCTTATGTTCTGAATATAAAAAGACACTTTTATGAGCTTCTTATAAATGGAGAAAGGGAGAGAGAGAGCGCAAGAAAGAAAACAAAAAGTGGAGCTATATTTCCTGATGCGCACAATTGATTTGCTTAAATCGGAAAAGCAACTCTTGATCTTGTACCTCTCATTGTATTCTCCAGTTCATCACATGACAAAATATGTCATATGTGTTTAAAAATCAGGTCAATAAAGAATCACTAAAGAATGGGAGAAATACGTGGATTATTTAAAAAATATTTGCAAACATTTAACTATATTAGCAGAAAGAAAACAACACAAGAAGTTAAATAATAACTTATTTGGTAACTGTTGTTGTTGCTGTTTAGTCATTTAGTCGTGTCCGACTCTTCGTGACCCCATGGACCAGAGCACACCAGGCACTCCTGTCTTCCGCTGCCTCCCGCAGTTTGGTCAGACTCATGTTTGTAGCTTCGAGAACACTGTCCAACCAATTTGGAAACTAGACAGTAACAATTATAAGGAACTATAGGGGAAATGCAGTGATAAAAATGAAACCAGAAGGTGAAATAGAAGGGGAAGAGGGAAGTCAAATTATGTTTTTATTTCTGAAGATGCACTACATTTCATATCTTTTGTTAAGCTGAAAACTCGAAAAATAAAATTAACAAACAAAACAAATTGGGTATCGGACCTTCAGCAAGTGGTGCAGTGATGGCAAAATAAGGCATATGACCTGTTGGATGCTGATGCTGAGCTTGCACAATATTTGATCTCAGTGTCGTTTATGTCTATAGATGTAAATAAGATCACACTGTTCCTCTTTATTAAGCTGTTCAGTTAATAAGCAGCTAGCTAGAGCTATTGTTTATACTTCTTTTAGCCTGCCTCTGCTCCAAGCAGCTCATTGCTTCATGCAAAATTCCTCCTTCCCCTCAATAATACTGCGAGGGAGGCTAAATAGAGCAGCGAGCTTCATGGTGGAGCAGGCGTTGGGATTTGGTTTCTCCAAGGCTTGCTAGGTGCCTGTGTGCCCTCATTCTTACAAACTTCTTCCCTGCAGGTTTCAGCCATGTGGCTCTACCTAGCTGCCCTGCTGGGGATTTACTTCCTTCGCCGATGGTACCAGGAGAGACAGACGGTGGAGAACCTGACGAAGAAATATGTCTTCATCACGGGCTGCTCCTCTGGCTTTGGGAACCACCTTGCCAGGCATCTGGATGCCCGGGGTCTGCGGGTGTTGGCAACCTGTACCACACAGAAGGGGGCAGAGCAGCTGAAGAAGGTCACCTCAGAGCGCTTGAAAACCACCATTCTGGATGTCACCAGTACAGAGAGCGTTGCGGTAGCGACGGAGTGGGTGAAAGAACAAGTGGGGAACAAAGGTAGCTTTTTGTTGTGTTGTTTCCATGCTCTGGATCAGGCCAGGGATTATCTGTATCATCATCTGCTTATCTTTACTCCACTTTCCCACAAAATGTGGTCTGAGTGACTCCCAATACAGTGGTTGTTGTTGTTGTTTAGTCGTTTAGTCGTGTCCGACTCTTCGTGACCCCATGGACCAGAGCACGCCAGGCACTTCTGTCCTCCACTGCCTCCCGCAGTTTGATCAAACTCATGCTGGTAGCTTCAAGAACACCATCCAACCATCTCATTCTCTGTCGTCCCCTTCTCCTTGTGCCCTCCATCTTTCCCAACATCAGGGTCTTTTCCAGGGAGTCTTCTCTTCTCATGAGGTGGCCAAAGTATTGGAGCCTCAGCTTCAGGATCTGTCCTTCCAGTGAGCACTCAGGGCTGATTTCCTTCAGAATGGAGAGGTTTGATCTTCTTGCAGTCCATGGGACTCTCAAGAGTCTCCTCCAGCACCATAATTCAAAAGCATCAATTCTTCGGCGATCAGCCTTCTTTATGGTCCAGCTCTCACTTCCATACATCACTACTGGGAAAACCATGGCTTTACTATACGGACCTTTGTTGGCAAGGTGATGTCTCTGCTTTAAGATGTTGTCTAGGTTTGCCATCGCCTTTCTCCCAAGGAGCAGGCGTCTTTTAATTTCGTGACTGCTGTCACCATCTGCAGTGATCATGGAGCCCAAGAAAGTAAAATCTCTCACTGCCTCCATTTCTTCCCCTTCTATTTGCCAGGAGGTGATGGGCCCAGTGGCCATGATCTTCGTTTTTTGATGTTGAGCTTCAGACCATATTTTGCGCTCTCCTCTTTCACCCTCATTAAAAGGTTCTTTAATTCCTCTTCACTTTCTGCCATCAAGGTTGTGTCATCTGCATATCTGAGGTTGTTGATATTTCTTCCAGCAATCTTAATTCCGGCTTGGGATTCATCCAGCCCAGCCTTTCGCATGATGAATTCTGCATATAAGTTAAATAAGCAGGGAGACAATATACAGCCTTGCCGTACTCCTTTCCCAATTTTGAACCAATCAGTTGTTCCATATCCAGTTCTAACTGTAGCTTCTTGTCCCACGTAGATATTTCTCAGGAGACAGATGAGGTGATCAGGCACTCCCATTTCTTTAAGAACTTGCCATAGTTTGCTGTGGTCGACACAGTCAAAGGCTTTTGCATAGTCAATGAAGCAGAAGTAGATGTCTTTCTGGAACTCTCTAGCTTTCTCCATAATCCAGCGCATGTTTGCAATTTGGTCTCTGGTTCCTCTGCCTCTTCTAAATCCAGCTTGCACTTCTGGGAGTTCTCGGTCCACATACTGCTTGAGCCTTCCTTGTAGAATTTTAAGCATAACCTTGCTAGCATGTGAAATGAGTGAAATTGTGCGGTAGTTGGAGCATTCTTTGGCACTGCCTTTCTTTGGGATTGGGATGTAGACTGATCTTCTCCAATCCTCTGGCCACTGCTGAGTTTTCCAAACTTGCTGGCATATTGAGTGTAGCACCTTAACAGCATCATCTTTTAAAATTTTAAACAGTTCAGCTGGAATACCATCACTTCCACTGGCCTTGTTATTTGCAGTGCTTTCTAAGGCCCATTTGACTTCACTTTCCAGGATGTCTGGCTCAAGGTCAGCAACCACACTACCTGGGGTGTACGAGACATCCATATCTTTCTGGTATAATTCCTCTGTGTATTCTTGCCACCTCTTCTTGATGTCTTCTGCTTCAGTTAGGTCTTTACCACTTTTGTCCTTTATTATGGTAATCTTTGTACGAAATGTTCCTTTCATATTTCCGATTTTCTTGAACAGATCTCTGGTTCTTCCCATTCTGTTGTTTTCCTCTATTTCTTTGCATTGCTCGTTTAAGAAGGCCTTCTTGTCTCTCCTTGCTATTCTTTGGAAATCTGCATTCAATTTCCTGTATCTTTCACTATCTCCCTCGCATTTTGCTTGCCTTCTCTCCCCCGCTATTTGTAAGGCCTCGTTGGACAGCCACTTTGCTTTCTTGCATTTCTTTTCCATTGGGATGGTTTTAGTTGCTGCCTCCTGTATAATGTTGCGAGCCTCCACCCATAGTTCTTCAGGCACTCTGTCCACCAAATCTAAATCCTTAAACCTGTTCCTCACTTCCACTGTGTATTCATAAGGGATTTGATTTAGATTGTATCTTACCGGCCCAGTGGTTTTCCTACTTTCTTCAGTTTAAGCTTGAATTTTGCTATAAGAAGCTGATGATCTGAGCCACAGTCAGCTCCAGGTCTTGTTTTTGCTGACTGTATAGAGCTTCTCCATCTTTGGCTGCAGAGAATATAATCAATCTGATTTCGATGTTGCCCATCTGGTGATGTCCATGTGTAGAGTCGTCTCTTGTGTTGTTGGAAAAGCGTGTTTGTGATGACCAGCTTGTTCTCTTGACAGAACTCTATTAGCCTTTGCCCTGCTTCATTTTGATCTCCAAGGCCAAACTTGCCAGTTGTTCCTTTTATCTCTTGATTCCCTACTTTAGCATTCCAATCCCCTATAATGAGAAGAACATCCTTCTTTGGTGTCACTTCTATAAGGTCTTGTAAGTCTTCATAGAATTGGTCAATTTCAGTTTCTTCAGCACCAGTAGTTGGTGCATAAACTTGGATTACTGTGATGTTAAAAGGTCTGCCTTGGATTCGTATCGAGATCATTCTATCATTTTTGAGACTGCATCCCAGTACAGCTTTCGCCACTCTTTTGTTGACTATGAGGGCCACTCCATTTCTTTTACGGATTTCTTGCCCACAGTAGTAGATATGATAGTCATCCGAACTGAATTCGCCCATTCCCGTCCATTTTAGCTCACTGATGCCCAGGATGTCAATATTTATTCTTGCCATCTCATTTTTGACCACATCCAACTTACCCAGGTTCATGGTTCTTACATTCCAGGTTCCTATGCAATATTTTTCTTTACAGCATTGGACTTTCCTTTCGCTTCCATGCATATCCACAACTGAGCGTCCTTTCGGCTTTGGCCCAGCCGCTTCATCAGCTCTGGATCTACTTGTACTTGTCCTCCGCTCTTCCCCAGTAGCATGTTGGACACCTTCCGACCTGAGGGGCTCATCTTCCAGCATCATAACTTTTATATGCCTGTTGTCTTTGTCCATGGAGTTTTCTTGGCAGGGATACTGGAGTGGCTTGCCGGTTCCTACTCCAGGTGGATCACGTTTGGTCAAAACTCTCCACTATGACCTGTTCATCTTGGGTGCCCTGCTCGGCATAGTTCATAGCTTCTCTGAGTTCTTCAAGCCCCTTCGCCACGGCAAGGCAGTGATCCATGAAGGGGAATACAGTGGTACCTCGTGTTAAGTACCTAATTCGTTCCGGAGGTCTGTTCTTAACCTGAAACTGTTCTTAACCTGAAGCACCACTTTAGCTAATGGGGCCTCCTGCTGCCGCTGCACCGCTGGAGCACAATTTCTGTTCTCATCCTGAAGCAAAGTTCTTAACCCGAGGTACTATTTCTGGGTAAGTGGAGTCTGTTACCTGAAGCATATATAAGCTGAAGCATATGTAACCCGAGGTACCACTGTATATTAAAAATAAAAAGTATGACCATTTAAAAAGTATTAGAAACAACTAAAATCAATAAGGCAATGAATGGGGAAGGAATTCCATGGGGTCACCTTAATTCAACCTCTGTCAAGAGCTGCTACAATTGCCAAATAACCTGAAAGATTATTGCTTTGTGCCTTTGACAGCAGCTTGTTCTGTGAAGTCACACAGTGAAACTTCATTTTGTATGAAGATAAATGTTCCTGTCTGATAATGTCCACAGATACAAGAGACCATAATCAATGCTGCAAGATTTTAATTTAAATTAAAAAATAATAATTAAAAATGATCAACCTGATTCTAAAAGCACAGATGCAAGATATTATAATCAGTGTTGCAAGATTTTAATTTTAACTGACAAGCAGCTGCAGGACCTCAAACTGATTAGCCAACATTTGCAGTGTAGGAGAAGCCTCTGGAGTCATTTGGCTGATCTACATTGAATTTTTCCTCCTAATAGCAGCTGGGAAAGGAGGCAATTTAGATGGGGGGAAATACTTGGGAGAAGAAGGAACCAGAGCAGCTACATTGCAATATCTTTTAAGATGCTTCCCATTTAAATGTGTTTGGGGAGCCCAGAGCAGAGAATATGGAAGGTATAACCTTCTGGATCAGGCCAATGTCTCTTCTCAGCCACCATTCAGTTACCAGCAGATGACTTCTCAAAAGCAGCAATCAAGCGCACTCTCCCTTCCTGTGCTTTCCAGCCATCGGTATTTGGAAGATTTTTGCTTCCAGTATAGAGGCAGAGCATAGACATCTTGGCTGTCCAATCCACTTTTAAAACCATCCAAGTGAGTGGGCATCCCTATCTCCTGTGGCTGTTAGATCTATATCTTAATTAAGAGAAGTACTTTCTCTTAGCTGTCCTGGACCTTCCAACATTCATTAGATGTCCATGAGTTCTAGTGTTGGAGAATGAGAAGCAGTGTGGTGCAGTGGTTAGAGTTTCAGACTAGGACCTAGGAGACCTGGGTTCAAATCTCCACTTGGCATACTGCTCATTGGGTGAGGTCCCAGCACTGATCTTTGGAGAGCTCCAGTTTCTACATCTCCCCATCTAGATATTCCATTTATTCCTCTACTCTGTGTCCTGCTTCTTAACCAGTTTCATGACTGCTCAGCTTATTCAGGAGTCGGCAGTCTAAGTACACTAGGTCAACTGGATCAGTTTTCTCCAACAGATCTACTTTGGATAAGCCTTCATGCTCTTTGCTAAATTTCACGTAAAGGCCTCCCAAAATGGCCCCCAGAGGTCACTGGTTGGCCTTCCTTTTAAAACTGTGTGAATCCCTGGGGAAATATTGGCTCTCCAGCAATACTAAGATCAAATGCAAGAGCAGGGACGCATACTGAACTCTCTCTCTCTCTATATATATATATGTATATATCTCCAGAGAGAAAACGTTTCTTGGTCAAAATTGTCTGTTTCAGTCCAGTGTTTTCTGTGTTGTCTTTCTCAATTTGTAGATACCCATTTTTGGTTTTTTGAAGGAATGATGTGAATAGAAGCTTTAGGACTCCCATGTTTTTAATTACAGCTTTCCTCTTAACAAATATTGCCCATTTTATTGCTTCCTGTTGATAGTAGTTGGGGAAATTATGATGAACCGCCCATCCAACTTAAAAAATAAATAAATCATTTTTTTGGTTTTCAATTACAATCCAATAATAGCCTCATTATAACAATAGCAATTTATAATACAATTATTAATACCAATGGTTCCAATGCTGAATTATATAATTTAGATAATGTGGCCCCTGTGTGCTAAATTTGATGATTCTATTATTTTCTTTATTTCTGCCTTCCAAAATGTTTTTAATTTCCATTACATTCCAGTCATAATAATAATCCCTTGTACAACAACTGCAATATTAATAACTTCTATTCGTGTTGACACGTTAAATGATTTATGAAACTACAAATGAGGAACTCAAACTACATCCTTGTTCTTCCTGTGTGTGGCAATTCTTCTGCCTGTGGTGTTTCTTCCAGTCCTTGTAAGATGTTATGTCTCCCCACCCACCCAGTTGTTGCTGTTATTCTTCATGCCTTGGGCGGAGCTGATATCCCAATGTTGTTCCAGAAATTTCTCCCTTGTTTCATTCCATGCTTCGTTGTTTTGCAACTTTAACAAATCCTAGAATACATATCAACCAAAATATAGACCACAAGAATAATACTACATCCACACTTCCAAAATCTAGCATACATGCAAATGTTATGCTAGGTGGGAACCTGAAACAATAATTGTCCCTCCTCCTCCTCCTCCTCCTCCCCCTCCTCCTCCTCCTCCTCCTTCTTCTTCTGAAATAATTTTTATTTGATTTTTACAAGATTATAACAATACCAAATCCATACCCACATTTAGAGATTTCTCTGAATCTTCAGACTTCCCCCTTCTGCTTCATGAGTCTTATTATCAACCTTTTCAACTGCATATTATTTCCTCATCCAAATTTTATGTCACTCCATTTTATCCATAATAATTTCTACATTACAAGTGTTATTGCAGTCCTGCTAATGTTTTCATCTGCTTACAGCGGTGTCTCAAGTCAATTGTAAATTTTTCCCATTCTTTATTAAAGTTTTGGTCTTCTTGGTTCCTGATCTTTCAGGTCAGTTTTGCCCTTTCGGCATAGTGGCAACAGCTTAGTTTGCCATTCTTCTCTGGTAAGGACTTTGTCTTCATTCCATCTCTGCGCAAATAACATCCATGCGGCTGTCGTTGCATACATAAAAAGTCTTTTCTGTTCCTTTGGGATCTTGGTACCTACACTTCCTAATAAAAAGGTTTCTGGTTTCTTTATCAAAGTTATTTTAAACATTTTTAAGATTCATTATATAGCATTTCAATTCATTACATATCATTTCCTTTGGGAAATAATAGCTGTCTCTTCTTGCACAGGGCTCTGGGGCTTGGTGAACAATGCGGGAATAAGTGTCCCATCAGGTCCCAACGAATGGCTGACCAAAGATGACTTTGCAAAGGTGATCAGTGTCAACCTGCTAGGGTTGATTGACATGACGCTACACATGCTGTCGCTGGTGAGGAGAGCCAGAGGGAGGGTGGTCAATGTGTGCAGTGTGAATGGACGTCTGGCCTGCTTTGGAGGCGGTTACTGCCCATCAAAGTTTGGTGTGGAAGCCTTCTCTGACACCCTGAGGTAAAAACAAGCTCTGTAGCTTACTTTTTGGTTTGGTTCGGTTTAGTGACGTGGCGTTTCTCCAGGTGTAGGGAATAAAAAACAGGTGGTGGGATCTCAGGCTGCTGTCAAGGGCTGAACCTTAAATCACAGATCAAAAAGCAGACATTTGCACTGTTTGAGAGATAAGGATCCAGCTCATGCTATGCCCACACTGGACCTGAAATACATTTGCTCATCTCCAGGTCTGCGGGGAAATATGTTTTTTTCAAAATGCAAGCCTGAGATGAGATGGGAAGGGGAGGGTGGGCCATCACCTCTGCCAGCCCCCGCCAGCCCCCCAGATGAGGATGCAGCCCTGGCAGCACAGGTGCCAAACCATCGTGCTAGCTACCTCCCCGCCATTTGGTGAGGGTGGACGGAGAAGTTGTGGCTGGTACTCAAAGATGGTTGGTTGTGTTTTGAGAGATGACAGCATCTTCAGAACAGTAGATCATCTGGGGGGGGCACCAGAAGGGGCAGGCTGGGTTACAGAAGGGCTTGCTGCCTCCTCCTCCATCACTACTGTTGCCTGCACCACCTTGTTGTCTCTGCCGGAATCCACACAGGGCCATCAAGGGGCTGCAGGGTCCCTGCCAGAGAGCTTGACACAATTAGGACATGTTCAGTCTTTCACCTTTCAAATTCCAAAAATGGGGGTGCTAAAAAGTTGTAACATGACTTGGGAATTCAAAAGATATTTTGCTTAAATTGATACCATTTAGTTTTGATTGGTAAGTAAAACGTGTGAAATTGCATAGAAATCATTAAAAATGATTGCCAAGGACTTGCAGTTATATTATTATTATTATTATTATTATTAAGCATTCATTGCCTGACCTTTTCAGAAGGCAAAATAAAAATTCTATGATTTGCTGAGAGCAGCTGATGTGCTTTTTAATCAAATGTAGGTTTACCAAGCTAAATGTTGCCAAATCAAAACAGTAACAACAGATTTGAATTTCCCAAACCCAAAGAGAGCCCTCACTGAAGAAATCTGCAAAAATTAAGCTTCCGTCCAGAAAAGAACACCCCCTAATTGGCACATGGCCAAGGTGTGCAGCACTCAGGCACATGCCAGGAAAAAGAAAGATGAGAGAGTAGAGCAACCAGCTAAGAAGGCAGGCAGAGGCCAGGCCTGGGTGGCTGGGTGACCCTGGCGCAGACCCCACCCGCTCCTGCTGAGGACCCCTCCCTCTCGCAAGGCTCCAGCACCACCAGCTTGGCTGACTCTGCCCTCTGCCAGGCCTGGCAGCCCTGCTCCCCCAGAATCCCCAGGCGCCTAATTTGTTTTGCATGCCCGGGACCTTTCCTAGCAGTCAAACAACCCACTGTTTTTTAGACTTCAGCAGGAAATGATGTTTCTTGACTTTTCCTCCCTCGTTCAGAAGAGAGCTCCATCCTTTTGGAATCAAAGTCAGCATTGTTGAACCAGGTACTTTCACGACAGCCATACTGTCAAAATCAGCTGAGTCCTACAAACCTTTATGGAGCCAGTTACCTTCTGACCTCAAGGAATGCTATGGGCGGAAGTACTTTAAGCAATGTGAGTAGACCTGGGGGAGAAACTCAGTTTGGTATGAAAGCTACCTAGTTCACACTAAACAAAACAACACATGAATCAACGAAACAACACATGAACCAAAATTCAGACTCATGTAAATTTAGTAATGCACTTTCCACAAACAATAATGTGTACAAAAATACATACTGTTACACAAGCCTGGTGTCTGCCCCCTCAACAACTCTGCACTCCCCCCAAAAGTCACGCCAAGTCTAATCCATATCCCAATTAAGGAAAACCCTGGTATTTATTAATTTCTAGGGCTTAGCTATATCTATAACAATACATTAGTCGGAAGTATGTATCAAAAGTGAAGCTAGCATACAAGAATACTCTGTGTTAGAGAAAACTGCTTGCAAAAATGTGTCTCTTGTGGAAAATTGCATATAAAAATATTAAGAGAAATTGGCACTAAAATGCTGGTAAAATTTTGTGAGAATTTTCAAACCACAAACTGAAATGTGGAGAACTGAACTTAAAGGTTGAAGAAATGAGAAACAGAATCTAAAACTGACAGGCTGAGCCATCCCTGACTGAAATTTCTTTTTTCAAAAATTTTTAATGAAACTTTGAAAGAAAATATACAAAGGTTAATATCAAATCTCTTGTTATCAATGACAAAAACTAATCTAAATTAGAAACACAAATCAAAAAGAGGAAAAGAAAAAGAAAAAAGGAAGAAAAAGAAAAAAGAGAACTTCTGAATTCTTTGTCTGTCAGCTATATATAGAAAATTATTCAAAACATCCACTCCAAGATGACACCCAATGATTCCACTTTCTATAAACCAATATTTCCATTAATCCTCAAACCCAGATATCATAAGTTCATTTTCTTTTTCATGCAAAAAAGTGTATAAGGCGTTTCCAATCTTTAATAAATAGTGACAATGATTATTCTCTTATTAAACACGTCAACTTTACCATCTCAGCTAAATCCAATATTTTTTACATCCGTTCCCTCATGGTAGATAATGGTGAATCTTTCAGTCTTTGTGCATAGAAGAGTATTGCCACTGTGATCATGTATTGAAATAATGTTCTGCAGTCTTTTTCTAATTGTCTATCCATTATTCCTAGCTGGAAAAGTTCAGACGTCAATTGAATGTGAAACTTTAAAAAATTCTGCATCAATGTATGTATTTGAATCCAATATTTCTTGGCATTTTTACAAGTCCACCAAGCATGACAAAATGGGTCTGCATATTTTTCACACTTCCAACAAACATTTCAAACACCTTTATACAGTCTAAATAATTTCACTGGAGTTAGATACCATTGGTACATCATTTTATGTACCTAATCTACACCTTCAGCTTCCAAAAGATTCTAGGTGCCACCTAGGCTGTTGCAAGGATAATGTTTCTTTTGCTTTGTATTTCTCACAAACAGGTTGCAAAATAAGCAAACGTTTCCAAAAGGCTGGAAGCGACAACCTTCACCTGGTCACCGACTGCATCGAACATGCCCTGACATCCTGCTCCCCTCGCACTCGCTACTCTCCAGGCTGGGATGCAAAGCTCTTGTACATTCCTGCCTCTTACTTTCCAACGTCCATCGCTGACTTCGTGATGAGCCACATTTGGCCTAAACCAGCTCAAGCAATATAGGGTGGTTGTTGTTTTAAAATAGCGACTATAGAATAATCAAAACATACAATACAACAAAGTAAAGAACCAAGAGGCAACTTACTATTATAGATCCACCATTCATAATTAGATATTACTTTGAAACATAGGAAGGTTCAATCCAAGATTGATCAAGAAAATTGGCATTTTATTTTCATGGAAGCAAAGAGGGCTAATAGTAATGAGTATTCACATTTATTTGGTACTAAATAAAATCAGTTCTGGTGGGATTGCTCCAGTGTTTTTTATAGACATCAAAAACATCCCCTATATAGTGACATACAGTGGTATCTCGGGTTAAGAACTTAATTCGTTCCGGAGGTCTATTCTTAACCTGAAACTGTTCTAACCCGAAGCACCACTTTAGCTAATGGGGCCTCCCGCTGCCACTGCGCCGCCACCGCACGATTTCAGTTCTCATCCTGAAGCAAAGTTCTTAACCGGACGTACTATTTCCGGGTTAGCAGAGTCTGTAACCCAAAGCGTCTGTAACCTGAAGCGTCTGTAACCCAAGGTACCACTGTAATCCATTGGTTTAGCATGTATCATGAAACGATCATGTGACAAAGGTATTTGAGAGCAGAAGCAGTAAAGGAAGCAGAAAAGGAGTCTAGAAATGTTGTGAAATGTTGTAAAGCTGCAGAATCATTTAGCATGCTGAATCACTGTGACTCATCTTGAGGATGATTCATTCTCTGTATAAGTATTGTATCTGCTTGCAGGCAGACTCAGTGACTTAGTGTCTGTGTCTCTCTGTGTGTGGTGGAGCCTGTGCTCTGTAAAGCCTGTGCTCAATGGAAACTCTGTGTATGCTCTGAAGCTAGTTGAATCTTCTGTTCACTATGGTGTTATTGGCAAACAAGTTTATTTTAACTCAGTAAAGCTTTTATTCCTTTACTGAAGAAGACTCTGCATTATTAATTTACGCTGTGCGACAGAAACATGTATCAAATGAGTCATTTCCCCCCTGAAACTGCAATATGCAGGGATTTATTAAACCAGATGTTAAGGGGAAAGCCTCATATTTCTCCATCCCTACCAGATGGTCAGTCTGGCTGCAACCAGCAAATATAACAGTTTTGTTCACTAATGATGTATTGCCATCTGCAAATATTGATAACAAACATAGTTGGGCACCTGAGGTTAACTCATCTTCCTACAGTCTCAGATTTTGTGTGTGTAAAACTCATCTCCAGAACTTAGGTACAAATTTGTGGTCAAGCAAGTTTATCTATTTGAAGGAGTTGGTAAAGGGACAGCTGAGGAATGAGGAATTTGCTTAAAAAGAAGATGTTAATTGGAGATAAATTTGTAAAATAAGCAATATGTAAAAGGGGAAAAATTGGATTATATCTGAGAGACTGGGAAACCAGTTTTGAAAAATTTGTTTTAAATTAATTTCAATTTGGTTTTGATGCGCTATAAATTTGAAAATAAACAAAAATTAATTGGCAAATTTGCAGTTCCAACACATGTACAAGTAAGTTCCCCTGTCAAGACACCCCCTTCATCACAGGCGGGAGCATCTAATTATATGGGCCAATCGCACCAGGGTTAAACGATGTCGCTGCACTAACTTCAGGGTGTTGTCCCAGATGGTGGCAGATACAGACTGTCTCCCAGACAGTCTCCCCGACTGTTTTCAGTGAGGAGAGGGGAGAAAATTGGAGTTTTAATAAGAGGGAACATATAGTGGAAATCACACCATTACCTAAGCGCCCTCTTATTATGGAATCAAACGGTTTAAAAGATTTAGTAGCCCCCTCCTGCACCTCTGGTTAGTTAACAAACGTACGTGGTTTTCTTAACATTTAGCCCATTCAATCCCTGGTCTCATCAGCTGATATTGTTGCCTTCCACCCCAAACTCTGAGCGGTGTGAGACTCCAGGGGCTCACCCAGGATTTGGTTTCCTTGAAATGAGGCACAGTAGAGACCGTGGTGTCTCTATGATATATGGCTTACACATACCGTATTTTTCTCTCTATAACACTCACATTTTTTCTCCTAAAAAGTAAGGGGAATTGTCTGTGCGTGTTATTGAGTGAATGTGTGGTCCCTGGAGCTGACTGACCCATGTACGGGGCAAAAATCAGATCGCGGAGGAGGGAAGGCTAAAAAGAGGAGGTTGCTGCTTTCCTGCATTCTGCCTCAGGGTCTTACTGCCCACTGTTTTCACTAGGAGCGCAGCCGACAGCCACCACCTCCTCCTCTCCGTGCTCCGCTGCTGCTGCTGCTGCTGCGTACAGCATCACAGGCAGCCGGAAAATGCAGGTGGGAGAGAGAGAGAAAGAGGGGGGGGGCTGGCTTGGGTGGGTGGGTGGGGGAAACTTTTTCCTTCCTTTCCTCCCTCCCGTTAAACCCCTGCCCTGCATTGTTAGCCAGCTGCTTCTCCGCACACCCCTCTCGTGCTCCTTGTCCCTTCTGTGTTTTTCCTTTCCTCTCCACTTAAAACGTGGTTACAAAGCACGGATCCACATGGATCCTCGGGATCTTTGCATTGGGCTACCCCAAACTCACCGTCAAATCACATGTCTCTGGCCACAGCATGAAGCACAAAAATGATACATCCACTGTTTCATTCAGAACTTTCCCCCCTTGTTTTCCTCCTCTAAAAACTATGTGTGTGTTATGGTCAGGTGCGTGTTATCGAGCGAAAAATACGGTATATGCAACCTGAGTCTACTATGGAGGGGCTCACAGCATTAACACCCAAGAAGGCCTTGCTTTGACCATAGCCACAGTGTTGGATTCAAAGAGAAGTCAAGCATGTCTCTTGCTGTCTGGCTTCTGCCTGCTTCTGGCCCAGCTCTCTCACACCCCTCTGGTCCTTGCTCTTCTCCCCCCCCCCCAAGGGAGGGGGGTCCATCCATTTGTCCTCTGGCACAAAGCCACTATCCTTTGTTACCATAGTGACCCGTACTTAGGGGCCATTAACTAACTAACTTATTGGCTCACATAGCGTAGCTATTACAACAATTGAATCCTTGCTGGATCCAGGACTTAGAAAGGACTCAGGAGTACAGCCTCACCAGCAGCAGCAGAAGCACAAACTCACAACAATATTCAGAGAGTTGAAGCTTACTATGATAAAAATCAAAAAGATAAATTCTATTTCCTCCCAACATCTGGTGATAAATGGAGTGCCTAGTGGCAAATATAGAAGAGGGATTAAAGGTAAAGGTATGGAGATTACCTTGTATCTCCATCAGTTCCCAGACTCTAATATTCAGTGCACGTAATACAGTGGTGCCTCACAAGAGGAAATTAATTCGTTCTGCGAGTTTTTTCGTCTTGCGAATTTTTCATCTTGCGAAGCAACCCAAAATCCAAAAAACCCCAAAAAAGTTTTAAAAGTTTAACTTACCAAATGGCTGCAAAAGAAGTTTTGGAAAAGCTTCAAAAATCACCAAAGTCTTCAAGCAATGCACCCTGGGTATTAACGGTTTTAAGAAAAAGGAAACAAACTTGCAAGAAGTTTTCGTCTTGCGAAGCAAGCCCATAGGGAAATTCGTCTTGCGAGGCAACTCAAAAAACGAAAAACTCTTTCATCTTGCGAGGCATTCGTCTTGCGAGGTACCACTGTAATTATATCCCTCCACCTGGAGCCACTCAGTCAGGAATGGGAGAACTGCTGGGCAGCAGGAAAAGGACTTCAAGCTTTGATGGCTACCAATTCCTTAGTCATTTAACAATGCTTTATTCAAGCTTTTTCATAATACAATAAAAGAAAAGAAACTATCTAAACAAAAACAAAGAGAGAAAGAGAAAGGAAACTTATGGATGGATGGAACAGAGGGGAAATGGCTGGATTTGGCACATGAAGGTCTACAGAAGGAGGGTGTTCCCTTTACCAACAGATTTCCCAGTTAGCCTAGAAAGGTTCTTACATTCCACCTCCTCCATTGGCCAGGCCAGATGTGAGAAACTGACTGCAGCCAATGGTGTGAAAGGTGGGCAGCTGCAGGCACTCTATGGAGCAGGCAGATGCATTATTTTACAAGCAAAAGCCACCTGCGTTCTGTCTGCCACTCAGCTGAAGCTGGGAGCCCTTCCTCTAATCAACTGCAGGTCAGTCACTTTCACTGCACCATTTAGTAATCTCCAGTAACCTCTATACTGTGCTTAAAAGAACTTTATGTCAAGCTAGTAATTCATTAGTTGAATTTCTTCTTCCTGTGCACCTCTTATAGGCTCAGAAACATTTTTGCCTTGGGCCGGGGGAGTGGGGTGGGAATAAAAGCCTTCAAAAGTAGATGCTGATGCTGAGTTTGCACTACATTTGATCGCAGGGTTCCTTATCTCTGAGCGGATGTTATAGGGTTATACTGCTCTTCTTTATCTACTTGCTGTTTTAATAAATCAGTGAGTCAGAAAGCAGAGCAGGAAGGCTCTCTCATTTGTTGCCAGCATCTGGTGCTCTGAAATATATTCTCTCTTGCATTGTGAAGTTCAGAAATGTGAGATGTCCTGCGATGTAAAGGGTAAAAAGAAATGTTGCCAAGGCTGGAGTCAGAAAGCAGCTGCTGAGATTTGCTACTCTGAGTTCCTCGTGTTACAGTCGACTAGGAGAGCCTGTTGCAAGTAAGGATGTTGGAGAAGTCCGACAAAAATGGTAATGGGAGTGGCAATTGCTGCTGTTCACTTATTCATCTCCATGTCTAGAACAGAAATCAATCCAGTGAACATTGATGTAGGTTTGAGGGGGTCAGACTGCATGATGCCCTGGGCCCCTTTTCTTGGGCTTTTGTATCAGTGGGAGTAGAAAGCATGAGAACACGTTTTCCAAACCATTCCCTTTTTCTAGGCAATTGCAAGACAATGGCCATGGCTGGACACTTAAGCACCATGATCAGCATCCCAAAAGAATGAGCCGTCCTGCAAAAGCTACAACTACCGTATTTTTCGCTGTATAAGACGCACTTTTCCCCCTCCCAAAATTAAGGGGAACTGTGTCTGCGTCCAATAGAGCGAATGCAGGCTCCTTGGCTTCAGCGATAGCAACACGAAGCCTCCAAAGCGCAGAGGGAGCGCTCCCTTCGTGCTTCGGAGGCTTCGCGTTGCTTTCGCTGAAGCCAGGAGAGTCTTGCTCTCCCGGCTTCAGCAAAAGGAACCTGAAGCCTTTGGAGCACAGCGGGAACTCGCGCTGCGCTCCGAAGGCTTCAAGGATAGCCGCCTGAAGCCTCCGGAGTGCAGAGAGGGAGAGCTGCGCAGTGCCCCTTCAGCCAAGCGGTAGGAAAATGGAAGGGGCATCCTATGGTTGGGTGTGTCCTATAGAGTGAAAAATACAGAAAGTGATGTGCCCTCCCCCCCCTCACCTGGCCAGTAGATAGAGAACAGGGAAGAAAGACAGATCCGTGTCTGATCTGCGCTGGGCTCTGGAGCTCCCCTAGAAACCTAATCGGGGAGCAAGATCTATTGGGGTGTTCATGTGTGCAGTTTAGGACTTCTGAGTTGCCTATGACAAATATCTTAATAACTCTCAATATTTTCTAATTATCTTATATTATTACTGCAGGTGCCTCTTTACTAGATATCAAATATTAGAAAATGTGACTACTATCACAGAATAGGAAAATAAATTGGCCTATGCTTTTCTTTTCTTTTCTTTTCTTCTTTTCTTTTTTTTCTTCTTTCCTTTTCTTTTCTTCTTTTCTCTTCTCTTTCTTTTCTCTTTCTTTTCTTTTCTTTTCTTTTACCAAAGTACCTCATGACATAGGGTCCAAAGGAGTCAGGCAACAATACAGTGGTACCTCGGGTTACAGACACTTCAGGTTACAGAAATCATGTGGCGACGGTGCAGCGGCAGCGGGAGGCCCCATTAGCTAAAGTGGTGCTTCAGGTTAAGAACAGTTTCAGGTTAAGAACGGACCTCCAGAACAAATTAAGTTCTTAACCCGAGGTACCACTGTGCAGCAATGAACTTTTATTAATTATTGGAGAAGGAATTTGTTTGCAAATGTAGTACACAGTATATGATTTATTATGAATATATCCTGAATGTATTTTAGAAAATTTTGAAAGCTTTTTAAAAACAAAGAACTAATTACAGTTAGATCAAATTTTATGTGTGAGGAATGGGATGAATGGAAGAAGCAGAAACTACCAATTTCCCCCCTCACCACAGTCTCTACAGTGAGGTCAGGACTGGCTGCCACAGAATAAAACAAACAAACAAACGAGAAGTTGAGGATTACACCTGAGGTTCCCACACCACCTCTTGCATGAATTGCAGCTTGAGAAGCCATGTGTTTTTTACGCAACAGACGGAACATTACTGGGGGCAGCCCTTTTCTCCATGCATCTCAAGACTGGGGCAGAGTTGTGCCTGTTGAATTTCTACCCAATATCCAGTTAGTAAGGCAAAAAGCTTTTCAGAAGGAAAACAAAGTGGCACACTAAAGCTAGGAGTGAACAGACCTGTCAGTTTTGGTTTCTCTCTGTCTTTTATTTCTTTAAGTGGGAGGAAGAAAGCTGCTTCCATTCTACTGCAGTTTGGTTTCCACCAGACACATGAATTGCCTCGCTGTCTGCTGTTTAGTACAAGTTACTTAGCTTACATAATGTACATTCATGTCAGTGTAAAGGAATCATCAGATCCAAAAAAGTTATTGATTACATGGCATTTGCAGACTTGGGGATGCCTCTTCTTTATTCAGTCTAAGAAGCTTCCTTGGGGGATGTGGACTTGCTTTCATTGGAGGGTTTTAAGCGGAGGTTGGATGGCCATCTGTTATGGACGCTTTAGTTGAGATTCTTCATTGCAGGGGGTTGGACTAGATGAGCCTCAGGGTCCCTTCCAAGTCTACAGTTCTATTATTCGGTGACTTGATAACAACAATGATGTGAACAAATAATGATCATCCTCATTTGACTGGTTTCTGTTCCTGACCCTTATAGACACGTTATTGGTTTGGAGAACTCCATCAGAAAACTCAGAAAGGTGAGAATCTCAGGAAGGTGTGAGATGTAGCAACCTGTGCGCCCTGTGGCCAGCAGCAGAAGCAGAGAAGGCTCCTGAACCTTGATTAGTTACATAGAAGAGGGACGTGCAACATGCACAGCTTACCAGCACAAACCACACATGCTGAAATTCCCTTTTGTACACAACGATTGAAAGCATAGGAGCCTTGTCTCTGTTCTCTTGCATCTGGCTACCCAATCCCCCCTTTTCTTTCCCTAGCCACTATTTTCACGTCACTGTCTTCACACGGCCTGAGCAGGTTTGGGCCAAGACCAGGTCAGCACAAGGTCTGCCAACGCTGTGGGCATGTAAGAGAGAGGAATGAAGAAGAACTGGGAGTCCCAGCCTCCAGAGTAGCGTGTGCGAGGGTGCCGGGACGTCAAGGCATGCTCCATGCAGTCAGTGACCAGGTAGAGGTTAGTGCTGCATCGAGTTATGAGGGCCTCTTTGGACAACTGGCACCCTGGGAAGAAAAAGAGAGGGAGTTAGAGGAGAAGATTTGTGGTCCAAAACACTGCAAACAAACACCAGGATATGAAGCCGTTCTCTGTGCGACAGTCAGGGTGGCATATGAACAGTTTTCAAATCAACAAGAAGAACTGGTGCTAATCACTCAACCATCCCCCCACAAAAAAGAGCACTTTCTGAATTTGGAAAGGTACATTCCCTGTTCCATTAAAGAAATCAACAAACCTTTGAGCACTTGGGACTTTCCCAAGTCTGAGGGAGGAAGTAGGGCAGGTGGTCTTTTCCCCCAATGAGTTTGTTTTCAAACTGGAAGATAGAACCCTTAGGGGGCTAACCATAAATCATAGAGACAAGCAGCAGAAATCAGAGAGACCAGCCAGCAGATGAGGCTGTTGCAGAATCAGGTCTATCCTCCCTTCCTATGTCAGGAGACAATTCTGACTCATCAAAAGGAATCAGGGCCACCAAAGGGGGTAAGTACAAGGGGCACCTCTGTACTACTGCGCCCAGAACCAACACAGGGCAGACTCTGAGATTTCATTTTAAAAAGTCGTATTAAGTCTCTAGCTCCTTTGGAACAAATGACACAGAGCAAAATTCCTTTGTGAGATATGACTTGCTTCCACCTTCCACTGTTTTAGCCAATGAGTGCCTGAGTTGTGACTGATGACTACAGTGGTACCTCAGGTTACAGACGCTTCAGGTTACAGACTCTGCTAACCCAGAAATAGTACCTCGGGTTAAGAACTTTGCTTCAGGATGAGAACAGAAATTGTGCGGTGGCGGTACAGCAGCAGCAGGAGGCCCCATTAGCTAAAGTGGTACCTCAGGTTAAGGACAGTTTCAGGTTAAGAACGGACCTCCAGAACGAAATAAGTTCTTAACCGGAGGTACCACTGTACTGTGAAAAGGGCAGAAGGCCCCCAAATGGCTTCAAAATGATTCCCCAACCAAGGACACCATGCCTGTAAATCACATATATACCACTTTAACAATCATGGCTCCCCTCCCCAAATCGTGGGAAGTGTAGTTTGTTAAGGCTGCTGGGGGTTATAGTTCCGCAAGGGGTAAACTACAATTCCCAGGATTCTTTGGGAGAAGCCATGACCGTTAAAGTGGTATAAACATGCTTTGAATGTATGGTGTGGATGCAACCCAATATTAAGGGCAAAGCTCCCATCCTTCAAATGGACAGGGAAGCTCTGCTGGCAGAGGTTTGCAAATGCAAGGGACTTGTGGCCCTCCAAAATGTTGTGGGACTCCAACTCCCACTATCCCCAGCTATCGGTTATGATGACTTGGGCTGATGGGAGTTGCAGTCCAACAACATCTGAAGGGCGCTAGGTTCTCCATCCACCTTTATCTCAATGGCAGCCCCAGTTCTCTCCCCACAGACCACAGGGAGGACTCACATCTTTCATAGTAGGTCTGTCCATAGCTATCTTTGACTTCCTGTGGGGTGCGGACCCATTGCTGCTCGAGGACGCTGATGTTGTGCTGGACGTTAGTCATGTTTGTTCGGAAATAGCCTGGCTCCACCATGGCTACTTTCACCCCAAAAGGGCGGAGATCACGCCTGGAAAGAAACAATGGGTTTCACCTGGTTCATACAGCTACCCCGCAACTGTGGCTAACAGACGACAGTTATATGGGAAGAAATTGAATATTTAATTTAGTTTGAATCTGGGTCTGGCAATTAAAGGAAATGGTGAGTGAGGGTGAATTTTGGGAGCGAGGGTAGGTGATTGTAAACAGCTGAACTCAAAAGCTTACTTGGCTAGTCAAGGACCCTTTGCAAGGTCCGTAGAAAATTATCTCACATTCCAGGGATGAGGCTAACCCAGTGAGCAGAGGTAGGCATCATTTCGGCCCAAATTTTTGCAAAAGGTGCTTCTTAAAACCTCACTCCTTAGCAGAAAAGCTAATAATTTAAAAAATGGCATGGGATACATAATTGTTCAGCTTCACTGTCCCCAGCTGTGGAGTGGGGGGGGGGAATGAAACAGCCAGCAAAGCCCAAAATTGATTGCCTTCTTCCTCCTCTTGATCTGGGCCTGAGATATTTAGCCCCTCTCTGCACTGCATTTTGACAATTATGATGTCAGAAGTGATAGCTTACCTGAGAGAGTCGGAGAAAGCCTCCACCCCATACTTAGATGGACAGTAGCCTCCTCCGTAGAAAGCCAGTCGCCCCAGGATGCTGGACACGTTAACAACCCTTCCCCTGGCCTTCTTCACCAGCGGCAACATGTGTAGCGTCACGTCAATCAGTCCAACCAGATTGACATTTAGCACTTTTACAAAGGCATCTTTGTCCAGCCACTCATTGGGTACCATCGCTTCCACAATCCCTGCATTGTTCACCAAGCCCCAGAGCCCTGTGGAGTAGAGGCAGCAAGTTAGCATTTGAGTAAGAACACCATCATCATCATCATAATTAATAATTAAATAATAATTTCTTATTTATACCCCAGCCACTCTGGGCAGAAACCAAAGGACTATTAAAAACACGATAAAATGATGCTGAACATCTGGCCCAGGCTAAGCAAAGCTTGGGAACACCAATAAATTTAATTTTCTCATAACAAAATGTGTTGCTCGGGGGGGGGGACTTCTAAAAATTCTGCACTCACAAGGTTTTGTAAGACAGGGATGGGAAAGCCGATGGTGTTGGACTCCACCTCCCATCAATACCACCCACCATGTGTGATGGACAAGGATTGTGCGAGTTGCCTTTTTAAAATCTGCCTTTCTGTATCAAAGTGTTGTTCTTCAGCATGCTTTTTCTGTGCTTTAGTGAGTAAGAGGGAAAATGGTTGAAACAGCTGTGGTTTGTAGTAAAACAGTTTGCTCGCCAGATGCAGAATCAAATGTGTGCAACGTATCACAGCATGCAGGGATTGTGTGCCTAGAGTAACAGGTGGTAATGCTGGCTAGAGGGAGGACATGGAGCATTGCCAAAAATAGGTAGGAAGCTTTAAAAGTTATTGAAGATGTTCCTATGTAGGCAAGCTAAGGGAAACACCTGGCTATGCAGTCCCTATAGAGGACTCGTGAAGCGGAGCCACATATGGATTTATGTTGCCATGGGATACCACAAATGGCTCTTTTGAATCTTCCCTTGTTTGTGTGAAACTATTACTGTACTTGAACTGCTGTTTGTGCACACAATTAAAATTGCTATATAGCTGTATCGCTCCTGCTTAAATGTGCCCTTAAGGCAGGATTTGTGAGGAAAGAGACAATGGGAGGTTTCCCACTTTGACCTTGCAGAGAAAACATTGGCTCAGTTTAGGAATCAAAATGGTTCCAGGTTGGTCTTCCTGTGCTGATCTATGTTCGTGCTTGGTTGGTACACTTATGAACATTACCATATATCTAAGACCATAAAATTCCTATCACACTATCTTCAAGCTCATATCTGGAAGCCAGCCACTGTACCTTTGTCTCTGACGCACCCTTTTGCCCACTCAGTCGCTGCCACAATGCTCTCTGTGCTGGTGACATCCAGGAGGGTGGTTTTCAACCGATCTGATGTGAGCCTCTCCAGCTCTTCGGCCCCTTTCTGTGTAAAACAGGCTGCCAACACCCTTAGCCCCTCAGCATCCAGCTGCCTGGCAAGCTGGTTCCCAAAGCCGGAGTCGCAGCCAGTGATGAAGACATACTTCTCTCGGAGGTTTTCCACCTTCTGCCTTTCCAGGTACCATCGGATGACAAAGAACAGCAAGACTGCCAAAAGGAGCCACATGCTCACTGTGTATTTCTTTTAAAAGAGGAAGCAAAACATGGCAGGGTTGTTTTTTAATTCTTGTTGTTTTTATGCATTCCAGGTTTATTTTTATTTTATTTTATTGAATTTATATACCACTCTATACCTGGAGGTCTCAGGGCAGTTTGCAGAATCAAAGCAAAATATTAAACCACAAAATACACAATCAAAACAAAAACAACCACCACCCAATAACTACCCCCCCCAAAAAAAGCCACATTTTGAAAGGGCATAGGATGTAAATCAATTCAACCAAAGGCCTGGTTAAAAAGGAATGTTGTTTGCCTGGTGCCTGAAGGCGCCTAAAGAAGGTGCCAGGCTTCATTATTCCCATTCTGGAGTTAGGTAAAGGTAAAGGGGTAAAGGGACCCCTGACCATTAGGTCCAGTTGTGACCGACTCTGGGGTTGCAGTGCTCATCTCGCTTTATTGGCCGAGGGAGCCGGCGTACAGCTTCCGGGACTAAGCTGCTTCTGGAGAACCAGAGCAGCGCACGGAAACGCCATTTACCTTCCCGCCGGAGTGGTACCTATTTATCTACTTGCACTTTGACGTGCTTTCGAACTGCTAGGTTGGCAGGAGCAGGGACCGAGGAACGGGAGCTCACCCCGTTACGGGGATTCAAACCGCCGACCTTCTGATCAGCAAGTCCTAGGCTCTGTGGTTTAACCCACAGCACCACCTGCGTCCCTATTCTGGAGTTATCGGGCAGCAAAGTTCTCTTAGGAAAGCAGTTTGCAACACTCAAAAGGTTAACATAACAACATAAGGGTAATGATTAACAAAGCCATGCCTGCCCTGGAGTTCATTACACTGATTTCTGAGACTGTGTCCTTGCCTGTGACAACGACTGAACTAAACTGGCACTGCTCTGTTGAAATTAACGGAGACACTATGCTTAGTATTGAGGGATCCTAAAAGAAAAAAAACGCTCCAGGGAGACTCTTTCTGGAAAGGACATGCAATAGAAGAGAGATGGGGGAGCCACCCACCCCTTGATGTCCGTATTTGCAGCATGTAAAAGGGCTGCATACCAGGGGTGGGTCAGGCAGGAACCTATAAGTGGTTATAGCCACCCCACATTCTCACACAGCACCCCAGCCAGCCATTTTCACTTAAAGTTAAGCATAATCCATTCTTTTAACAGCCATTCATTCTCTCAAGGGGGCATTAATCACCTCCCTGTTATGCTGGATGAGTTTCAGTTAGTAAGGATAAAGGATGTGGACAAGGTTCTTGAATCAGTCAAGGGATCTGATCCTGACAACGGACTGATGTCAATATTGCACATTTTCATATCACCCTCTTCCTGCTCAGCTGAGAAAACAATGTCCAGAGTGTAACCTGCCACATGCATTGGGCCAGTGACATGTTGGGGCAGCACCATGGTCATCAAGGAAGCCATGAAGTCCTGAGCCACCCCAGAGTCAGTTTCCTTGGCATGGATGTTGACGTTCCCCAGAAACAGCAGTCTGGGAGTCCTCAACACCCCTTCTAAGACCAGTTCAGGCAGGGAAACTGCTGGGCAGCAAGATGCACAGTAAGCCAACAGAATTCCTAATCTGTCCCAATTGCCCAGTGCTAGGAACATACACTCAAGATCCCACCCAAATGGACAGAGAGCCTGAAGAGAAAGACAAAAACCCTACAGACTATAGCAACTCCTGCTCCCTGGCCCTCAAGTCTGCCCAGATGCTGCCCAGAGTATCTAGGTGGGAACTGATGGGTAAGACCAACTCCACCCTGCTCACCCACCCAGCTCTCAGTGATACAGACCAGATTGGCCTTATCCATCATCAGATCATGGCTGAAGGAGGTCTTACTCAGTGTCGACCTGGCATTCAGCAACAGCAGCTGCAGACCCGAGGCTGGTCCTCCTTTGCATCCGGGCACCTTAGTTCCAGAGTGTAACTTGTATTCCATTTTAAAGACCTCATTTCTCTGCCTCTAGGGAGCCATGGGCTTTCCCCCCCTAAGCAGCCATTGATGTCATTCTTGTAAAACTTAATAGACGTATAGGTTCATTATTCTAAGGAAGAACAGTGCTTGTCTTCTTACAATGCTACTGACAATTCTATTAAGCTGTAACCCACCCAACTTCCTTCCAAAAAAGATAGCTAAGATTCAAGCCACTCTCTTCTTTTAAACACACCCTGGATGCTTCCAGATGCGTTTGTGTTGTGGATTGGTGTGTCTCGTGCACGCAAGCTTTTTGCAGCATTCACACGGTGTTAGTGGCATCAAAATGCCAGCCTGTATCTCCCTCCCAATTTAATCCAGCTTGACCCTCTCCAGGCATTAATTCTGTATTAAAAACACCTGTTGGCAATGACTCATTTGTGATTATCTTAGTGACCCATGTACAATATTAAGTCACTGTCTGGAAGCACTCCCATCGCCAAACGAAAAGTTAATAGGCTTTGCTTACCTCAAAACTCAACCAACACCTTGACTGTCCAATCTGTCTGAAACAGAAACCCTCTACGAACAGAAGAGTAGATCTGTTAATCCATTCTGTTAGTGAACCTTTCCCCTACATCCCACCCCAGAATTTGTACGGAGGTTCTGGATAGGCTGGAAAACAGCCACCAACTTGTTGGGTTTTTTTGCCAAAACAAGAAAAGTCCAAAGTACTTTGTGTATCTATGAATTGGTAACCAGTCTGGGGCTTAGTTCAATGACTTCCCTGCTTCAGTTGTCTGAAATCATTAGCCAGGGAAGTACTCATTTCTGCAGCTGGCTGGCTGCTTACCATCTTCTCCAAGGCACCAGTCACAGTGCATGGCAGGGAGCTGATCAAAATGTCCCTGTAAATGCTATCTGCAAGCCTTTCAAGAACAGATTTGGCCTGCTTTCTTCTTTCAGGTTTTCCCGTTAATTTTTCAAGATGTAACTCTCCTTTATTCGTGCAAAGATTTACATTCATTTAGGGCATGGTATATATATATATATATATATATATATATATATATATATATATATGCCATGGTGGTTGGCTTTAAAGGTTAATTGCCATCAGGCAGCATTTTAACTGATTTTGTTCAGACTGTGTCAACAGGGAGGAGGTATTGATCACACAGGAGCTATTAACATTTTTTAAAAAGATCAATCATGGCACTTCAGGTGTAGCATTTAGCATCATGTTTTGTTTGGCCCTTAGAAACACACAAACAGGTAGACTAGCATTTAACATAAGAACAGTGTTGCCTGCCACCCCAATCACCAAGCGGTGCGAGACTCCAGGGGTCCCAGGCACTTTTCCAGGGTTCGTGTTTCCTTTTGGAATTACGCAGAGCAGAGACCGTGGTGTCTTCATGCTATGTGGTTTATTTACACAACTATATAAGCTGAGCCTGCAGTGGAGGGGTTCACAGCATTAGCACCCCAAAAGGGTTTTGTTTCTCCCATAACTACAGCCTTGGATTCAAATAGATATCAAACATTGGTCTCTGGGTGTCTATCCAGCTAGCTGCTTTACTTCTAGGTCTCCTCACTGCTCTCCTCTCAAAATCTCTGGTTGTTGTTGTTTTTTTCCCCTTTTCACTATCTGTGAATTGAGGGAGGGTCCTCACCCATTCAGGGACACGGGTGGCGCTGTGGGTTAAACCACAGAACCTAGGACTTGCCGATCAGAAGGTCGGCGGTACAAATCCCCGCGACGGGGTGAGCTCCCGTCACTCGGTCCCTGCTCCTGCCAACCTAGCAGTTCGAAAGCACGTCAAAGTGCAAGTAGATAAATAGGTACCGCTCCAGCGGGAAGGTAAACGGCGTTTCCATATGCTGCTCTAGTTCGCCAGAAGCAGCTTAGTCATGCTGGCACACAACCTGGAAGCTGTATGCTGGGCTCCCTCGGGCAATAAAGCGAGATGAGCACCGCAACCCCAGAGTCGGCCACAACTGGACCTAATGGTCAGGGGTCCCTTTACCTTTACCTCACCCATTCACTGTCTACCATGTGAGCCCCTTCCTTTGTTCTCCTTGCACATCACCAGGAGGCTAGCATGGCTATTCCAAAAATTAAAAGTCTTGCCAGATCCACACAGTTGAATACCTCAAACTCATAACCCTGAAGAAAAGTTCAAAGTACTGGGTTGTATCTGTGAACTGATAACTGCCCTGGCAGGGTGCTGATAAGGCTGAGGGTCATGCTATGTCCTGAGCAACCTTTCAGGGCTATGAGAATTATGTAAGCAGAATTCCCTGATCTGGACCTTGTGCAGAGCCTGAATCAAAAAGCTCTTCACACCAAGAAAGAGTTCCAAAGTTTTACCTTAAACCAGTCACAAAAACATTGTAAATAGAAATCAGCACATTGCTCTTAAACAACAAGCAATGCAGTCCAATTTTCTTTAAGCTGTAACTTGTTAATATAGCCCAGAGAGAGATTCCAATAAACAGGTTGCTTCTGAGAGACGCCCAGACTCCCAGGGATGAGTTATCTATTAATATGAGCAATGATGCAAAGATTCCACCCTCTGTTGCAACCCTAGCTGCAAAAGCACCCGTTTGCACTTGCTACGTTGTTGTTGTTGTTGCTGTTGTTGTTTAGTCGTGTCCGACTCTTTGTGACCCCATGGACCAGAGCACGCCAGGTACTCCTGTCTTCCACTGCCTCCCGCAGTTTGGTCAAACTCATGCTGGTAGCTTCGAGAACACTGTCCCACCATCTCGTCCTCTGTCGTCCCCTTCTCCTTGTGCCCTCCATCTTTCCCAACATCAGGGTCTTTTCCAGGGAGTCTTCTCTTCTCATGAGGTGGCCAAAGTATTGGAGTCTCAGCTTCAGGATCTGTCCTTCCAGTGAGCACTCAGGGCTGACTTCCTTAAGAATGGAGAGGTTTGATCTTCTTGCAGTCCATGGGACTCTCAAGAGTCTCCTCCAGCACCAGAATTCAAAAGCATCAATTGTTCGGTGATCAGCCTTCTTTATGGTCCAGCTCTCACTTCCATACATCACTACTGGGAAAACCATAGCTTTAACTATACGGACCTTACAGTTCTCTGCAAAACAGAAATCCTGCAAATGCAAACCTCCACTAAGTTTCACACACAATGCATACAAGCATTGCATTTGATGCACATTCAGCTTAGAACTTTTACGCTGGGCAGAGGTAAAAGTGGGTGGATCAACAAACGTGAGTTTTGCGGAGGGGGCAGCACTTCTCCCTCGAGCCACTATCCGTTCCTCCCCCAATGCGCTTCAGAGCCAATACCACAGATGGCAGGTGCCTTGACCATTTCAGCGGTGTGAACACAATTGCCAGGCTAGCCAAGACCTGCACCTTGCACCTTATGGTAGACAAACCCGACTTCATCCTCAGTGGCAAAGTGGCAACTAGAGAGGCTACCCTGCAGTGTGAGCTCAGTCGGGGAAATGTCTTTGATGAGTTCCTGATGGAGGGAACAGCTGCAGACAAAATAATAATTTATTTAGAGCTAACACCTGGAAGGGACGCAGGTAGCGCTGTGGGTTAAACCACAGAACCTAGGACTTGCTGATCAGAAGGTCGGCGGTTTGAATCCCCATGACGGGGTGAGCTCCTGTTGCTCGGTCCCTGCTCCTGCCAACCTAGCAGTTCGAAAGCACCTCAAAGTGCAAGTAGATAAATAGGTACCGCTCCAGCGGGAAGATAAACGGCCTTTCCGTGTGCTGCTCTGGTTCGCCAGAAGCGGCTTAGTCATGCTGGCCACATGACCTGGTCAATAAAGCAAGATGAGCGCCACAACCCCAGAGTTGGCCACGACTGGACCTAATGGTCAGGGGTCCCCTTACCTTTACCTTTAACACCTGGAAACTTCTCCAGAGCTTTGAAAACAGAATGCCAAGGAAGTGATGTTGACTAATAAGCATTGCCCTTGCCTAACAGTAGCAAGAGAATGGCCAGCTCTAGCCCTGTTGTGGCTTAGGACATTCCTGTGGGAATTATCCCAAGAAAGCTGCAGAATGACTTCAGGGAGTAGCAGGCTGGGCCAGAGTTTGATGGCAGCATTTATTTGCCAGTGCTCAAGACCATAAGGAAGAGGAGGAGGGTTGTGGAGAGAATGAACAATCTCTACAATTCTATAGTAATAGAATCAAATTTAATGGAGAAATGAACTTGAAAACAGAAACTGATCTGGTGTGTGTTACAACTCACTTTAAAGAATCCTCCCAGGATAGGCAGGCTCCCAAAGATCTACTCACAAGAAAGAAACCATAAACTACCATAAAATGCAGCCAGTAAAAACAGCACAACACTATTGTATGCCCTTTCGCTTAAAAAAAAGTCCACTCCCAAAAGCCTCTTGGAATAAGAGCCTTCATCTGCCCTCAGAAAGGAGAGAACTTTTTTAAATTTTTTTAATTTAATTTTATTTTTTTATTTTACCAACAAAGGTCCATATAGTAAAAGCTATGGTTTTCCCAGTAGTGATGTACGGAAGTGAGAGCTGGACCATAAAGAAGGCTGATCGCCGAAGAATTGATGCTTTTGAATTATGGTGCTGGAGGAGACTCTTGAGAGTCCCATGGACTGCAAGAAGATCAAACCCTGATCCATTCTGAAGGAAATGAGCCCTGAGTGCTCACTGGAAGGACAGATCCTAAAGCTGAGGCTCCAAGACTTTGGCCACCTCATGAGAAGAGAAGACTCCCTGGAAAAGACCCTGATGTTGGGAAAGATGGAGGGCACAAGGAGAAGGGGACGACAGAGGACGAGATGGTTGGACAGTGTTCTCGAAGCTACCAGCATGAGTTTGACCAAACTGCGGGAGGCAGTGGAGGACAGAAGTGCCTGGCGTGCTCTGGTCCAGGGGGTCACGAAGAGTCGGACACGACTAAACGACTAAACAACAACATTTTCGTAAAGGGCCGCTAGAGCCTCTCAGAGGCCGCTTTTTCTCGCCGGAACTACAACTCCCACAATCCCCGGCGCGGTGCATATGTGGCGGGCGCTGCTCTGATTGGTCCTTCGAGAAGCGGGAGGCGGAGCCTGGCTTCTCCCGCGCGCGCGCTCCGCTTTCTCTTTGGACATGGCAGATTTCGAACCCGGCTCCCTGCCCGACCTTTTGCCGCTGTACTACCGCCGCGTCTTCCCCTTCGGCCTTTACGGGCGGTGGCTGCGCTACGGCGACGGTGAGCCAGGAGCGGGCGGGCGGGCGGGCAGGAAGAGGCGCGCTCCTGGGACCCTGGAGCTGCGGAGGGTGCTCGGAAAAGGCCGAGCGGGAGCCAAAGGGAAGCTTCGGGGCAGGGCTCAGCCCCCACAGCCTTGCAACACGGGTGCCTCTGAGCATATGCAGAAACGCGCCTGGTCTCGCCCTTCCTGGTGGGCGCTGGAACGGGAGGAGGCGCCCAGGTCAAAGAAAATGGGGTAGCTGAGTGAAATGAGTCGCTGCCTGCAGACTCAGGGCAGGCTTCTTCCCGCAGTTTGTAATTAACTGAGGAATTAATTGAGGAACGCACAACTGCAAGACGCAGGGGCAATAGGTTTCCAAAAGAAAAGGTGCTGTGGGTTTGTGGAAGAGGGACTATCAACTACGCTGAACTGAAATAATAATGCAGTGGTACCTCAGGTTAAGTACTTAATTCGTTCTGGAGGTCTGTTCTTAACCTGAAGCTGTTCTTAACCTGAAGCACCACTTTAGCTAATGGGGCCTCCCGCTGCTGCTGCGCCACCGGAGCACGATTTCTGTTCTCATCCTGAAGCAAAGTTCTTAACCCGAGGTACTATTTCTGGGTTAGCTGAAGCGTATGTAACCCAAGGTACCACTGTAATAATAACTTTATTGCCAATGTACAACCTGTGTACAATGAAATTAATCAAGCCTTCCCCCCCACACACACTCAATCTCATTGCACTCTGTGTGCTTGTCGTACAACTCACCAACCCCGAAAGTCAGTTGCACTATATTAGTTTCTGTTCAGCAGCCTAACAGCCCACGGATAGAAACTGTTTTTAAGCCTGATTATACTTCTATATCTCCTGCCCGAAGATTAAAGAGGTGCTGGCCGGGGTGTGAATCATCCCTGAGAATTTTTCTCGCTCTCCTAAGGCAACGATCCCTTGCGATGTTATCTAGCGGACTCAAGGGACAGCCCATGGTATCATGTGCTGTATTCACCACCCTCTGTAAAGACTTCCTGTCTGTGGCGGTCAAGCCAACGTACCACACTGTGAGACAATATGAGATGACACTTTCTATTGTGGACCGGTAGAAGGAGGTCATCAATTGTTGTTTAACATTGTTCTTTCGCAAGACCCTGAGAAAATGGAGTCTCTGTTGGGCCTTCCTAACCACCTGAGTTATATTGCTTTTCCAAGTGAGGTCTTCACTAAGGTAAGCTCCCAAGAATTTAAAGGAAGAGACTCTCTCCACACAGCCCCCCCCCCCGATATACAACGGGGCTAGTTCCCCTCTCTTCTAAACAGAAGCTCCCTGACTCAGTCAGCTCAGCTGGTTAGAAGGTGGTGCTGATAGCACCAAAGTCGCAGGTTCAATCCCCATACAGGCCACCTGCATCTTCCTGCATTGGGGGTTGGACTAGATGACACCCAGGATCCCTTCCAACTGTACAGTTCCACGATTCTGTGTTTGGAAGCACTATACAAGGGAACACTGCCACCTTCGTGCCCCATCTGGCATTGGCTAGCGTGGCCACCTGTGTGGTGAAAAAGAGAGCACAGACATGCATAAAATTTACACGTGCTCATGTATTTGGCATAAATGCAAATATAATTAGTGCAGTACAACACTTGTCGCCATAGTGGGGAAGACTGTGACTGAATGATCTGTGACCGAAGGATGGACAACTTCAAGGCCTCTGCTTTCTCTTCTTGTTGTTATTTAGCTTTAAAGTGGAATTCTACTGTAAGGCTCTGCAAATAGCAGACACTTTTAGACAGAGGACCAGCCCAGCTAACAGAGGACAGTTAAGGAGGACCCAACATTTTGCTGGCCACAGAATTTTTAGGGTTGTATGGACTTTCCTGAATTATTGCCAACCTGGCTGACTAAAATATAATCACACTTAGCAATTATATATATCATTTAGAGTGTTCAGTGTGCTGTCTTATTCCTCCATATTGCAAAAGGAGAACTGGGGCTTGGAGAGTAGCATCTTGCCTAAGACCATCTTGCCAGCTTCGTGGAATAGCTGAGATTCAAAGCAGAAACTGTGCTGCGCAATCTAACTAGCATGTGATCTTCCTTTTGCAGTGTCAAAGAATTACTTTCAGCGAAGGGAGTTTTCGTTCACGCTCCGCGATGACATCTACGTGCGGTACCAGTCTTTCAACACACCCTTGGAATTGGAAAAAGAGATCCAGAAAATGTGCCCTTACAAAATTGACATTGGGGCTGTGTATTCGCACAAGGTATGCACTTCAGTGCTATAAAGCCAGGCCGGGGAATCTCCGGGTGTTGCTGCACTACAACGCCCATCATCACCCTGGCCATTAGCATCGCTGGCTGCGGCTGATGGGAGCTGGAGTCCAACAACAGTTGGAGGGTCACAGGTTCCTCAGTCCTGTTATAAAAATGATTTAGAAAAGGTTTTCAAAACTGCCTGCCCTAGAGTCCACCATTTAACTGGCTTAAAAAGACTTGGCCTGTTGACTGTACAAATATGATCAAACATAATTATATTGGAACCGTTGGGGGAAAAAAACCCAATTAGTTAACTGTCACAAGGCAGGGAAATAAAATTCTAAATTACTGTAAGCAGCTATCATTTCTAAGTTATTTCTGTTCCCTTTTGCTTCCCTGCAGCCCATCCAGCACAACATGGTACACCTAGGTGCCTTCCAGGCCCAGGAAAAAGAGCTCGTATTTGATATAGACATGACAGATTACGATGATGTTAGAAGATGCTGCAGGTATTTTTCTTACCCTTCTGGGATAGAGATTTGGGGACAGGAAGCCAGTTTGATGGTGAGGATGATAATTGTATATGTTTGGGAAGGAGGGTAGAGCATTCGCTCTCAATTGACTGATCACTCTTGAGTTCTGCTCTGAACTTCACAAGATGCTGCCCACTTCTGTGCTTCTGGCGTTGTTGTAACAGTTATGGACTAGAAACTTGTTTCGTTTTTACTTTAAGCTTATTGTCTGTTTTTGTACTGTATCTCCATGTGTGGGCATTCCCTGAACCTTGACAGCACATCAAATGAGAGTCTAGACTCTCAGTATTTTGTGGGAAGGATTCCCACACAAGTGGATACCAGAACTTTAGGTCTGTACAGTAAATGAGGATTAAAGGGCTCTGTCGCCCTGGCACAACAAATCCACTTTAAAAAAGAACCAGACTTTTTGCGGTTTGGAAAGTGACCGGGAAATTCATTCAGAAGTGGGGGGGGGGTGTACAAATGACTAGCTAGGTCATCTGGCGGAGTCTTGACAGTGCAATCCTGTGCATGTTTTCCTGGAAGAAAGTCCCACTGTGTTCAACGGGACTTACTGCCAGGTAAGTCTGGGTAGGCCTGTAGCCTGAAGAACTCTGAATAGCACTCTTCTGGGAGCTTGGAAGAATATAGTTTGCCATGCTGAGCCTGACTCAACCAAGTGCTCTGTCTTCTGGCACAGCATGCAAGAAGATTGCAGGTGGGCAGGATAATGGAAGCCACCCTTTGTTTTGTCCCACACACCTAATAATAATAAGGATGCTAGATCTAAGTGTTGGGTGCAACACGAAATCGTATAAATTATTTCATTAAAAGAAAATCCTTTTTCCATTCTGAACCTTCAGAATGTGCGCAAGAACATGGGGTGTCCACCGTGTGGATGCAGTGTCAAATGACTTCTCATGTTCAGTGAAATTGCCACTCATTACATATGAGCCTCTTCCCACTGAATCCTGAAGCCGTAGAATAGCCTCTTGGATTTGCTTGTTCAGTGCCTTTGGGGTGTGTGTGTTAAAAAATACACTGCCCACTTTAGGCTGAAGAGCGTTTAGCAGATCACACCCTGACTTACTTCCTTGTTTGTTAAGGGATGTTAACTTAGAGCTTCCTAGTTTGGACATAACATAAAACTCTGGATTAATGCAGTCCAGGGCCTTGGCACTTAAGCTAACGGAGAAGAGGATGAGTGCTCAGCCCCAATATTTTTCCACTGTTCCATAAACCACAGAGTCTAGAACAATTGTCTGAACCGGGTTGTTGTGGTTTTTATATGATTTTGTAAGCTTCCTTGAAGGGTGGGAGTCGTGGGTTATATTTTTAAACTAATCAGGGCTTCGTTTTTTAACAACTCTTCTTTCAGCTCTGCAGAGATCTGCCCCAAGTGCTGGACTCTAATGAGCATTGCCATCCGCATCATAGATCGGGCACTCGTGGGTAAGTGGCCAATGGCCATGTAGCAACTGTTGCCAGACTGACCATTTTGTCCACCTTTCTTTCGGAGACTCGCCCAAGTCAGAGTTTAAGCGCCTTCCAGCAGTGTGTACCATATTTTCATAATATATGATTTATTCAGTACCATTGGCTTTTGTGGAGCCTTTTGGGAAGTGTAAGCAAAAGAAGGTGGGTGCTTGTCCCAAGGAACTTCCAACCTAAACAGATGGGGGGCAAATTAAGCTTATGCATTAAAAACTTTAATACTGGGTCTCATCCTGCAGGTGAATTCTGGGTCTGAAGAGACAGGAGGTTGCACATTGCTGTGCTGATACAGCTTTTTCTATCCAAGCAGACAGATAAGGACGGACATGGAAGCTACTGTTCCTTTTCCATGTTCAAGTCATAGGGCTGGAATGGTGTCTTTAAGAGGGTACCTAATGTATCATTCTGCAGTGAGGAAAGGTCAATTTTCCTTAAATTTTTAGTGGATATGATTACAACCAACTTCTGTAAGCCTCCCAATTATGGGGACTCCCTGACTTTCCTTTTCATGCTTTTGCCTCTGTTACTACTGTCAGTCCGTGCAGCCTAACTTTCGGCAGCAATATCTGCAGATTGGTAAACTGCTGAATTGGCTCTTCCCTTTTACCCTCCTCATATGCTTTGTACCAATGGAATGCTTCTGTTACTTTATATTACTGTATTTGTGTATGTGTGTGGGAGTTAGTATCTGCTGGAATAAATACTAACACACGTGGTATTGCAGTTCAGGATATGCTTGCTCAAATCTCACTTTAGCCGTGATCAAGGTCTGTTTCTTTCTGACTCTTGGTCTTTCCTTGCTGCCACACACACACACACACACACACACACACAGACACACCTAGCCAATCTGCAATAGAATAATAATGGCAGCCTACCTTACGGGACTGTTGTAAGAATTGCTGGGACGATGCATGCAGAACGCTATGAGCACTCGCAGCACTAAGGTTTTATTCATGCATTCTTGTCAAAGCTATTGCCTTTTGTGCTTTCTACTCTGCTCTTCTGCACCTCCAGAGGACTTTGGCATCAAGCACCGCCTCTGGGTGTACTCGGGACGGAGAGGCGTTCATTGCTGGGTGTGTGATGAATCGGTCAGGAAGTGGTCTTCAAGTCTCCGCTCTGCAGCAGTGGAATATCTCTCCCTTGTGAAGGTGTGGTATCTTTAGGACAGAAGGAGGTGGAACTTAATTTCTGCATTGCAGGGGGTTGGACTAGATGACCCTCGGGTGCCTTCCAACTCTACAATTCTATGATTATGTGACACTAGAGGGCAGAGAATCAGTGGCCCAGTTAAACTACAGTACTGGCCTGTCACGTTGGGACATGCCCTAGGACAGGGGTCTGCAACCTGCGGCTCCAGAGCCGTGTGTGGCTCTTTTACACCTTTACCATGGCTCCTGGGCGGATACTAGCGAGGGGAGGAGGCGCATTGTGCGCCCTGACACTCCCCACTGTGGCGGGTGCTGTACTGGCAGTGTCGTCGCATGGGGGCAGTGCGTGCGTTAGTCACGCACCGTCCCGATGTCACATTCCTGCCCGCTGTCGCAATGGTTTTGCGGCTCCCAGGTTTTTTTTCTTTGGAAAACGGGTCCAAGTGGCTCTTTTTGTCTTAAAGGTTGCAGACCCCTGCCCTAGGACAAGGAAAGGCAGAGCACAGTGTCATAACCAGAAGCAATCTTTAAGTGTATTAACAGAGAATCCTGCTTGATCAGGCCACAGGCTCATCTGCTTGAGCACTGTTCTCACATTGGCCAACCAGATGCCTCTGGGAAGCCCATAAAGCATGACATTTCTAGCTCTCAGTGGAGGGGTGAGTGGCATTAACCAGAGCTCATTTTGCATATTTTTTATTTCCTGGTGCATTTTCGATTCATTTTTAATCTCGCTGGCTGTTTTGAGCTTCTAGTTTTCTTTATTTTGTATTTAAATGTTTTCTTGTTTGTAAACTGACTTTGAAATAATAATAAATAATAAATTTTTATTTATACCCCGCCCTTCCCAGTTCAGGAAACCGGGCTCAGGGTGGCTAACAACAAATTTAAAACACTTAATTGATGCTACAAAAAACCCAGCATAAAATACGGTATAAAGCGTAAATAACAATAAAATCAAAAATCAATTTAGGGGGGAAATCCATCCAATAAACATTAGATAGACTGAAAGATGCTTAAAGAAACCAACCTAAACTAAACCTCCATATTTCACAGGGTGGCGAAGAGACCATCAAGAAGGTGACTCTTCCGGACAACATCCACCCTTTCATCAGGTCAGTTCAGGCAACAGCCAGGGAATTTATGGCATTTCTAGCATAGAGAGGTTGCACGTCCTGAATTGGTTATTCAGCAAATGTTAAGCTTTAAGTGTTGTTTTAAGCTGTGCTGAGAATCACTATGGAATAAGGAGGTATGGACTGCATTGTGGCTTTCTGATGGAGAAGGGTGAGTAGAAGCTATAGGTGCAACTATTGATGAGGCTCGTGGGCAGCTTTCTTCAGTGGCATTCTGTTTCACTTAACCATGAACCAGGGGGCTTAGAAGAGCCTTTTATATACAGTGGTACCTCTGGATGCAAACGGGATCCGTTCCGGAGCCCTATTTGCATCCTGAGCAGAACGCAACCCGCGTCTACGTGGGTTGCACTTCTGCGCATATGCGTGACGTCATTTTGAGCGTCTGGGCGAGCGGCGGAACCCGGAAGTAACCCGTTCTGTTACTTCCGGGTCGATGCGGGACGCAACCTGAAAAGATTTAATCCGAAGCGACTTTTAACCCGAGGTATGACTGTCACGGGACGCGGGTGGCGCTGTGGGTAAAACCTCAGTGCCTAGGACTTGCTGATCGTATGGTCGGCGGTTCGAATCCCCGCGGCGGGGTGAGCTCCCGTCGTTTGGTCCCAGCTCCTGCCCACATAGCAGTTTGAAAGCACCCCTAAGTGCAAGTAGATAAATAGGGACCGCTTTCTAGCGGGAAGGTAAACGGCGTTTCCGTGTGCTGCGCTGGTGCTGGCTCGCCAGATGCAGCTTCGTCATGCTGGCCACGTGACCCGGAAGTGTCTTCGGACAGCGCTGGCTCACGGCCTCTTGAGCGAGATGAGCGCGCAACCCTAGAGTCGGACACGACTGGCCTGTAGGGGCAGGGGTACCTTTACCTTTACCTTTATGACTGTAATAAGAGCCTTGAGCCATGGGAGAGCTTTTGGGCTGCTCCTAAAACCCTAAAACTAGGGTAAAAGGTAAAGGGACCCCTGACTGTTAAGTCCAGTTCTGAACGACTCTGGGGTTACGGCGCTCATCTCGCTTTATTGGCCAAGGGAGCCGGCGTTTGTCTGTGGCCAGCATGACTAAGCTGCTTCTGGCGAACCAGAGCAGCATACGGAAACGCCATTTACCTTCCCGCCAGAGCGGTACCTATTTATCTACTTGCACTTTGACGTGTTTTCAAACTGCTAGGTTGGCAGAAGCTGGGACCGAGCAACAGGAGCTCACCCCATCGCGGAGATTCAAACCGCCGACCTTCTGATCGGCAAGCCCTAAGCTCTGCTTTAGGGTAGGCTGTGGTTAATGCAGCTCCAAGGGTAAATATTCAGATGTGAAGTGGAGGAAAGACCCGTTGAAGACTATGCATAATGACTGGCGAATGTGCAGAATTCCCTTTTCATGGACAGATTATGTGCACATTCCCCATGTGGATGTGCACAATGACCAGCTGTTATGCACATTAACCACTCAACTCACATTATCCTAATCTGCACAGAGACATACATTACTAATTCCGAGACCGTATCTACATTTCCCCTCCTGCAGGCAAGTGCCGGAATGCATGCCCATTGGCATGCATCCTATTTATGCAATCTGCACAGAACAAAGACCTGCTCGTTTCCCTTCTAGCAATATTTGTGCTTTCTACCAGGGTTGGGTTGCTACAAAATGATGCCATACTATGTTGCAGCTTCCTTCTTCAGCAATACTGTGGTACCTCTGGATAAGCACACCTCTGGTTGCGTATCCTTCAGGATGCGAACACGGCAAACCCGGAAGTATTTTTCTGGGTTTCGCCACATGCACAAAAGCCCTCTACCCTGCTGCGCGCATGCGCAGAACAGGCACCTCTGGTTGTGAATTCCTTGGGATCCGACCAGAGCTTCGGAACGGATCCCGTGCACAGCCGGAGGTACTACTGTACAGATTTCCCCAGACCAAGGCAAGAGCAAATGAAATGCCATTGAGGCTTTTATTACCTCTGTGTTGCAGGCTGTTCCTGCTGAAATTCCCTCTTTCCCAAAATGCTAGGTGTGGGTGGGCGTGTGAGTGTGTAAACATATTGCACCATTCAGGGCAAAGGCCACCCACCTACTCCAAAGCACCTTATAAAATATAACTAACTTTGTATAAAGGTAAAGGGACCCCTGACCATTAGGTCCAGTCGTGGCCGACTCTGGAGTTGCGGCACTCATCTCGCTTTATTGGCCGAGGCAGCCAGCGTACAGCTTCCGGGCCATGTGGCCAGCATGACTAAGCCACTTCTGGCGAACCAGAGCAGCGTACGGAAACGCCATTTGCCTTCCCGCCAGAGCGGTACCTATTTATCTACTTGCACTTTGACGTGCTTTCGAACTGCTAGGTTGGCAGGAGCTGGGACCGAGCAACGGGAGCTCACCCCATCATGGGGAATCGAACTGCCAACCTTCTGGTTGGCAAGTCCTAGGCTCTGTGGTTTAACCCACAGCGCCACCCGCGTCCCTAACTTTGTATACGTAGGAGGATTATTGAGCTTTATATACATAGCAGGAATGTTGTGCTTCCTGATGATTGACGACATGGTCCACTTGCGGTGCTTTCAGCCCATGCCCTCGGTAACCTTCCTTGTGCCCATTCACCTGCCTCTCCACCAAAGTTACCCCTCTGACTCTCTGATGTTTTCCCCTCTTCTTTTGCAGCGAATCTCTAAATGTGGTGAAGCGTTACTTCAGAGAGTATGCACTTGTCGAGCAGGACATTCTTGGAAGTAAAGAGAGCTATGAAAAAGTGTTGGCTTTGGTCCCAGAGAATATCCTTTCAAGAACCTATGGGGCGTGCCAGAGAGTGCTGCACATCTTACTAGTGACATGCCCATAAAATCAGGGATGAGGAACCTGTGGCCCTCCAGGTGTTGGGCTGCAACTCCCATCCAACATGGTATATGGCCAGGGATGACGGGTTATATTCCATTAACTTTGGGAGGGCCACAGCTTCCCCTTCCCTGCAATAAATAGTCAAGGCCGTGGGGGCAAAAATCCAGATACCCCCTGGGTCTGTTTACTGGCACTTGTGTTGATGCAGGGGTCAGGAAGCAGATTTATCCCGTATCGGAGGCGGCGGCTGCTGTTGTTGGCATCCGTTTGCCTTTGGGGGTGAATTCAAACTTGGAAGGTTACAGCGCCTGCTATGGCATTGGAGACCGATATGGGAGAGACATGTTTTGTTGCAACTGGGGCAGATGAAGGCATCTGGTTGTGTTGCTGCAGATGCACCATGGCGTTGCTTCTCTCTGCGCTCCTCCCAGCAGGCATTTCTCCTGTGGTCACTGCTAGGGATGCACAACCTGTCTGTCTGTCTGTCTGTCTCTAAGCATTGCAATAATCCGCAAGAGAGTGCCATATGGCAGGGGTAATGTTGCCAGCATTCATGTCATGTTTGCATCAATCTTTGTAACACAGAGTTGGTCTGCCATCAAGCCTGGTGCCTGAAGCCAGCTCCCCGTAGTGCACATCCTTGGGGTTCCTGCTATCTCCCATTCTGTGTACACAACTGAGCCAGTGTAAACATCACTGAGACAGGAGTACAGTCATACTTCGGGTTGCGAACGTGATCCGTGCGGGAGGCACGTTTGCAACCCACAGCCTGAAGCACTGTGTCTGCGCACGCGCGTGACGCGATTCGGCGCATGCATGTGATGTCATTTTGTGCTTCTGTGCAAGCGCCAAAACCCGGAAGTAACCCGTTCCGGTATTCTGGGTTTGGCGCAGTCCGCAACCCGCAGCATTCGTAACCCAAGGTATGACTGTACAAGCATGCTGGGAATGTGAGATTGGAAGGGCATATCTTTGCTTGAGACGCTGTCCTGCCGTGTGATGCCCCAAATTTTACTGATGCAGAAACAGCATCCCTCTAAATACCAGCTGCTGGGGAACTTGAGTGGGAGAATCCTGTTGTGTTCGTATCCTGCTTGTCGGCTTTCCATAGGCGTCCAGTTGGCCACTATGCAAACAGGATGCTGGACTCGATGGGCCTTTGGTCTGACCCAGCAGGGCTCCTCTGCCCCAGGCACCAGCAGGCCTTGGACCAGATTTGAAACTACTTAACAATTTGACCACCAGTTCGAAAAGAACTGCTTCAGGAATTCACTAAAAAGCACGATTCGGTCAAGCGCTGGGAGCTTTTGACAAAAGCAATGGAAAGACACAGTGTAAGTATTTGAGGTGGGGGGCGGATATTTGCATCATAAGAATCTTTTGGGTGAGTCCCTAGGCTGCCAGCACTGGGTGATGGGGAACAAAGCAACATGAGAAGCTGGCGAGCTTTTATTTCTTGACCAAGAAGTGGGATTGACAGCTGAATTCTAAAGCAATGGGATTGTTGGGATGGGCAGTGTTTAAACCCCCTGTCTTAATAAAAAGCACTTCTCAGTAACCCCTTCTGCTGATTCCACCCCTGCCCCCAATATAAAACTGTTCAGCGTTGCAGTCGTAGAGTGCTCTCTTAGATGCTGTGGTGGCACAACCCTTCCTCTGCGACTGTAAGGTAAAGGTAAAGGGACCCCTGACCATTAGGTCCAGTCATGGCTGACTCCGGGGTTGCGGCACTCATCTCACTTTACTGGCTGAGGGAGCCGGCATACAGCTTCCAGGTCATGTGGACAGCATGACTAAGCCACTTTTGGCGAACCAGAGCAGCGCATGGAAACGCCATTTACCTTCCCGCCAGAGCGGTACCTATTTATCTACTTGCACTTTGACGTGCTTTCGAACTGCTAGGTGGGCAGGAGCTGGGACCGAGCAACAGGAGCTGACCCCGTCGCGGGGATTCGACCCGCCAACCTTCTGATCGGCAAGTCGTAGGCTCTGTGGTTTAACCCACAGCGTAGCCTCCTCCTAATAGAGGGGTGAAATACAAATGCCTACAAAAGATCCTCCCAAGTTTGAACCCTTCCCAATCTTCCTCCTCCTTCCCAGAACACACTCAAGAAAATGGCGCACACTGAGTCTGAGATCATGCTTCAGTACTGTTTTCCACGGCTAGATATGAATGTCAGCAAAGGAATCAACCACTTGTTGAAGAGCCCCTTCAGCGTTCACCCCAAAACAGGTTGGTTGATGCTTCAACATACCTTCCTTTAGTCAAGATGGGGATCTAATAGGATGTTGGATAGGGCCTTTGGTCTTGGATCTGGGAGTTCACATATCCCCTTAGGTGTGCCAGCTTCACTCTTGCCAGTGTCCTTGGGCCACTCGCTTGTCTCTCTGCCTAAACTACCTTGCAAGGTTGTTGAGAGGGTGAAATCAAACAGGGCCACCTAGAGCGCTCTGAGCTGTGGAGGAAGGGTGAGATAAAACCATCTTGGTCAGTGGTAGTAGCAGTATTGTTGTTTCCCCACCAAAGCATGTAGAGTTATATCTATGCTGGCACCCAGAAAGGCCCCTTCTAACTTGCTCATTGCCCTCCTTTAGGACGTATTTCAGTTCCAATCGACCTGAAGAAACTGGATGAATTTGATCCATTTGCTGTTCCCACTATAAGGTATGAATGATCCAGCTTTGGGCACATGGAAAGTTGAAGCGCAACACACGCTGCCATTTGTCTCTTGGAGCACAGAGCAGCTGCAGCAGTCTGTGTTACCTTCACTGCGTAGTCTGGGGATAGCCACTGTGGTGGCGTCCGCATGCTGTTGGACTACAACTCCCATCAGCCCCAGCCATCTTGGCCAGCAGTTAGGAATGATGGCCATTGTAGTCTAACAGCATCTGGAAGACACCATATCAGCTGCTCTTCATGTGGTTAGACCCTTAGGTCACTGGACTAGGAGGATTAAAGCATCTTGCGTTAACAGAGGCATCCCTGTTCCTGTAGCTTTTTTTAACAGAGGGGAGGAAACTCCTGTTTCTTACTCTTAATTTCCTTTAACCCTCATATCTCTGCAGCCACAACACAACATTCTCCATTGTTTATTTACTGTCGACGAGCAGCCTCGTGCCCTTCATTGGTTGGGAATTCTAAGAAACAAAAAATAAATAAATGGTGCAGTTTTTAAATCGGTAGTTGCAATCACTGAAGTTTTGAAAGGTTCAGTCTGCCACCTTGCTTCAAAATGGTAACCAGTTATGTCCAAACATAAAGGAAAACCTGCTCCTGCTGCTTGATCTCTAGAACCATTATGCAGGATTTGTTTACGATATTGTATGAAGTGTCAAAATGCATAGTGAACAAACAACTTTCCAAAAAATGTAATAGATGAGATTTATTAATAAGGTCCCAGGGCAGGTTACAACATTATTCTGCCTCAGTTTTGGCATAGCCCAGAGCTGGGGAACCTGTGGTCTTCCAGGGGTTGTTGGACCCCAACTCCCATCAACCCCAGCCAGCTGATAGTCAGGGGTGATGGGAGATGTAGTCCAACAACATACAGAGGACTCCCAGACGTTGCCTGATCGTATGCATCCGTGGGTTTAGGAGTGCTAAACTGCATAGGACCAAGCTGTTGAAAGAGTTCCACCCTGTAATACAGAAGGTGGATTTGAGGAGAGGATGTTCCTAGAAGAGTGGCGCTGTGGGTTAAACCACAGAGCCTAGAGCTTGCCAATCAGAAGGTCGGCGGTTCAAATCCCCACGATGGGGTGAGCTCCCCTTGTTCAGTCCCAGCTCCTGCCAACCTAGCAGTTCGAAATCACGTTGAAATGCAAGTAGATAAATAGGTACTGCTCCAGTGGGAAGGTAAACGGCATTTCCGTGTGCTGCTCTGGTTCGCCAGAAGCAGCTTAGTCATGCTGGTCACATGACCTGGAAGCTGTATGCCGGCTAACTCAGCCAATAAAGCGAGATGAGCGCCACAACCCCAGAGTCGACCATGACTGGACCTCATGGTCAGGAGTCCCTTTACCTTTACCTTTTTACCAGGTTTTGTGGGGTTCCTGATGTTTCTGTTTTGTTTTAGCCGCCTCTGTCATGAGCTGGACACAGTTAGCAACGACGAGGGGGATGCAAAAGAAAATGACGGGGAGCCCGAAAACTCTCGACGAAGCAGAGGTTCGTGGAAGGCAGCGTAAGACCTTGTGAAATCTTCACCCACTTTCAAACATGAGATTGTAATAAGGCAATATTAAAACGTATACAGTGGAACCTCAGTTGTCAAACATAATCTGTTCCGGAAGACTTCTGAAACATTTGACAACCGAGGTGCAAAGAGCTGTCGGTATTTCAGTGTTGAAAATGGAAAAACATGCCGCAGAAGCCGTTCGACTTCCGAGGTGTGTTTGAAAACAGAAGCAATTATCGTATTTTTCCATCTATAAGACCCCCCATATATAAGATGCCCCCTATTTTGGGGCAACAACCAATCACCAGTCCACCCTTGGCACTATCCGTGTATAAAACACCCCCTAATTTTTGACATTATTTGGGGGGGGGGACCTAGTCTTATACACAAAAAAATACGGTACTTCTGGGTTTTCATCGTTCGGGTTCTGAAACATTCGGCTTTCAAGACACTCAAAAAATGAGGTTCCGCTGTATAATGACAACAACATGGCGATTTTTAGAAGTTTTAGTATGGTTTTTAAAATTGTTTTTAAAAATGTTTTAAGTACAGTCGTACCTTGGTTGACGAATGCCTTGCGAATCGAATGTTTTGGCTCCTGAGCGCCGCAAACCTGGAAGTGAGTGTTCCAGTTTGCGAACGTTCTTTGGAACCCGAACGTCTGGCTTGGCTTTCGCAGCTTCCAGTTGGCTTAAGGAGCTTCCTGCAGCCAATCGGAAGCCGCGCCTTGGTTTCCAAACATTTAGGAAGTCAAATGGACTTCCAGGACGGATTCTGTTCTACTTTCGAGGTACGACTGTACTGTATGTTTTTTTATTTTTTATACCGTATTGACCTAACATTTTTCTGTTTGCTGCCTTGGACTTGGGAGAAAAGGCAGGATCCAATATTGTGCTATGTTTCTTCAGTGCAAGCATTTTCACTTGCCAGAAAGGACAATCTCTCTCTCCCACCATGCAATGTTCCAGAGTTCTGCCAAACCACCACCCACTGAGCCACCGAGGAGGAGATGGGGGGGGACCCATCACACAAACTGATGGGACCCGTTGGTTGAATCTCACCTATAAAGAAATAATAATAATAATAATAAATGAGTGAAATCCGCGCCATGGCAATCATTCCGTAAGCGCAAAGATTTCTGCTTGCATGTGGAATGTTCTCCCCCTCTCCTCCCCCCGCACAACCCCTAAATCTGTTTTAGGGGTTCCCCCAGTGCTTCAGAGTAAATTTGGGAGCGGGGGGAGTCCTGTTGCACAAATGTAATGTATGTTATCCTAAAGGAACAAATATACACAGCAGTCATTGAGTTCTTACATAGGCCTGTAACGGGCTTGGCCTCAGAGTTACATGTACACGCATTCAGGGCCAAACCCTGACACGTGCGTATTTATAGCCTGTTTGGCTAGAACAGGGGTCAGCAAACTTTTCCGGCAGGGGGCCGGTCCACTGTCCCTCAGACCTTGGGGGGGGCCCGGACTTTATTGGGGGGGGGGGAATGATGCAAGAGCACCATGAGCTCCAGTGGCTGCTTACCTGTGTCTTGCGAGTGGCAGGGGCTGGCGGCGGTGGAGGGACGCCAGAGAGGAACTGCTTAAAATGGCGGCCACTCGAGCGCTGCTGGCACCAACAAAGCCCAACCCCCTTCCTCCTCTAGGTAGGGTGGGGAGAAGCCAGGAGGAGGGAGGGAGGAGGCGCCACCATTGCCGCTGTCTGAGGGCGAGGGAAAGAACACGCGTGCTGGCGATCCATGCAGTGATTCCCGGACCGTCCGCGGGCCGGATCCAGAAGGCAATTAGGCCTGATCCAGCCCACAGCCCTTAGTTTGCTGACCCCTGGGCTAGAACAGAGGTCAGCAACCTAAGGCCCATGGGCCGAATCCAGCCCATGGCCAGTTCCATTGATCGGCGGTTGGATTCCGTGGTGGTTTTTTTGCGGCACAGGCGCCATTTTTTTGGCCAACATTTCCCCCCCCCTTCCTCACCGCAGCAGAACCTCCTCCCTCCTCTATCCCTCCTCCTTGTGCAGCCAATCGCCTGCTAAGTTTTGAGGCCCTGGCCAATGGCCGAGCAGCGGCTGCACATGACCAAGAGGGGGAAGGGGGCTGGCCTGAGCTGGCTGAGTGCATTTCCAGCAGCCCCTTGTTGGAGCAAGCTGTTTGCCACTGCAGCTTATGCCGCCGCCGCCGCCCGTGCCGCTGCTGGCGGCGGAGGAGGAGGAACGAGCAGCCCAAAAGCAGCCATTTCAGACTGCTCGTTCCTCTGCCTCTGCCACTGTTGGTGGTGGCGGCAGCGGCAGAGGAACGAGCAGCCCAAAAGCAGCCCTTTCAGGCTGCTCATTCCTCTTCCATTGCCACCATTAGCCTCTACCTCTTAGCAGCACCCTAGGTAGGCAGGAGGACGGACCGGGAGGGGCTGGGGGAGAGAGAAGCCCCCTCTGCCATATGCGCGTGCGCACACGCACTCCGGCCCACCAGGAGGTTTGTGATGCGGTGAACTGGCCCACCCCCAAAAAAGCTTGACGACCCCTGGGCTACAATGTGAGATTAGGAGACTGACTTTTTAACACTGATGAGAGCACATGGAGGGTGGCAGGGGAAAATGGGAACAAATCTCACCCTGCCTTGCTGTACCTTCCAGAGCTCTGCAGATTTAAGTCTTCTTTTCTCCCAGCTGGCTCAGAGCAGGCTGGGGGAAGTGTATTAAAACATCTCCATCTAGTGGAGAAAGCTGATCTGTGTCCCTTACCTTCAGGGGCAGATGAGAAACAGGCTGTGTATACACCACACATTTAAAGCACACACATGCACGTCAGCAACCGATTCTGGGGACTGTACTTTGTTAAGGGTGCTGGGAATTCTAGCTCCCTGCAGGGTAAACAACAGTTTGCAGGATTATTCAGTGTGTGTGCTTTAGAAGGATGCTGTGTATACAGCCACATACTCCTACTGTTTTTCTGTTGTAAAAGGGCATAGGGAACCTGAGACCCTCCTGTGGTTGTTGGACTACTTCTACTATAATCCCTGAGCATTGGCAGTGCCAACCTAGGGCTCAGGGGAGTCGGAATCCAATAATATCTGGAGGGCCACAGCTTCCCCAGCCGTGTGTTTGGATTATTTAGTTTAGCATGGAAAGTGAACAGCTTGACAACATACTTTGTTGTATGTCTTCTGTTTCTAGATTACAAGAAAACCAGCCTGGCTCCATATGTGAAAGTCTTTGAGCAGTTCCTGGAGGAAATGGAAAAATCTCACAAAAAGGAACGTCTCAAGGCTAGCGGTAAGGGCTTGAGTCAGAATGAGAGGGTTGGCTTGTGCTCCCTGTGCTTTCCCCAAACGTTTGTGTGGCGTTTGTACGGAGCCCCCAGTCGTCTCACGAACTATTGACCCGTACACCGCTAATCTGCTGCCACCAATCAGGTCCTCCCTGGTAAATCACTTAGTCTCAGTCAGGTTCTCAAGTTAACAAAGAAGAGTGTAGTTTATTGTAGACACAAACAAATTTTAGCTGCATTCCAAATGTTGTTGCTCTTTACCTTCTTAGTCTTATTTTATCCTGTCTTTATCTCTTCTACCTCCCCTCACACAAGAACCCACTGCACTGTCTCTCTGTTTCCAACTGCCTGCCAACTGCTTTTCCAACTGCCTTTCCCAACCAACCAACAACCCACTCCCAAACCTTGGGCTAAGCCCTTTTATAAACAGGTAGGCTCCGCCTCCGGCTTTCCTATTGGTCTACATTTTAACCCTTTCTCTCTCTCCTGTACAGACATTTTCAAACCAACGGGCAAACACCAGTTTGTTACCCCTGTATGCAGTCAGTTTTACTGGGGACCTATAAACACGCTTTAGAAGGTTGTTTTTTTACAGAACACCCTTGCTTTACAGAAGATATGTACCGCAGCTCTATTGCATCCTTCACTTTGAAATTTGCTTTGGTTATTCTTGTATGTCTTGATTTTGGAGTTTTGCTTATTTTGCTCTGTGACAGAGGCTATGTACACACCATACATTTAAAGCGCACACACACACACACACACACACACCAGGAATCCTGGGACCTGTAGATTGCCCCTCACAGAGCTACAATTCCCAAACTACAGACCCCAGGATTCTTTGGGAGGGTGCTTTAAACATATGGCATTACACAGCCTTAGGCTGAAGGCAGAACCACAGATAAGAAATGTGGGTCTGCCACCCAAAACAGCTGCCCTAGCTTTCTCATTAAAAAGGTAAAGGGACCCCTGACCATTAGGTCCAGTTGTGACCGACTCTGGGGTTGCGGCGCTCATCTCGCTTTACTGGCCGAGGGAGCCGGCATTTGTCCACAGACAGCTTCCAGGTCATGTGGCCAGCATGACTAAGCCGCTTATGGCGAACAAGAGCAGCGCACGGAAACGCCGTTTACCTTCCCGCCAGAGCGGTACCTATTTATCTACTTGCACTTTGATGTGCTTTTGAACTGCTAGGTTGGCAGGAGCAGGGACCGAGCAACGAGAGCTCACCCCGTTGCGGGGATTCGAACCGCCGACCTTCTGATCGGCAAGTCCTAGGCTCTGTGGTTTAGACCACAGCGCCACCTGCGTCCCAGCTTTCTCATTACCACCCCCCTAACATGGTACAACTTCCACTGGTGTCGTTACACTGGGCTTCTCTGTTTTACGTAACTGGCTACTTCTAGTGGAGGTCAGGGAAACACAGCATAGTGATGTCCAGATGGCAGGGAACATTGTATTACATGCTACAGAGCAGGGAACTCGACACCGGGCTATTTTGGGTAACAATGCTGTTTTGTTTGCTTTGTTTAAGGGCCCCTCCAGACTTGCCTTCTATAGCGTTGCCCATACTATTTATACTGATCCTCAAAAAAGCCCCAGAAACAATGCCATCATTGTGTCAGTTTTCCAGTTTATGTCCATCATCCCTGTTCTTTTTTAAACTTGCTGCAAAAAATCCAGCAATATTCAAAACTCTGGAACCGTTGTGCTGGTGTGGATGTTCATTCTGCAGATACTCCACTTTCGGGGGTGGGGGTGGGGGTGGGTGATCAATGATATGTTCCTCAACTTGGTGCCTTTTTCCTGCAGCCACCTAAGAGTTCTGTAACTTTAAAAATAAATAAATTGGACATGCCTTTTGTAAGTTGTTTTAAACTATTTTTAATATTGTATTCTAATTTTTCAACCTGCCCTGGAGCCTTAGGGTGAAGGGCAGAATAATAGCTATTGTTATTAATTTGTTACAGAACATGTTAGATAATACCTTCAAACTATGCCTTACCGGTATATTTTCTCTTTTTAGATATGCAACTGGATTTCTGAAGTTTTTTTGACATTCGATGTGCAGTAATAAGGACCCTTTCATGCAGCCAGACAGCTGTGTTCATCTGCAGTGGGACGTATTTTTAGCTGCCTTGTTAGATTCTTGCAGCAGCCAACCACTTTCATTTACAGAAGCAGACCAAAGTAATGATAACCCCCCCATCCAAGGGCTGGTGATTAGAATAGAATTAGGAGCTCACAGTCTTGTAGGTGCCAGCAGCAGAATACAGAGCCCATGTGGCTAAAGGACCTGATGTAAACCACCCACATGATTAAAATGTAAACATTCAGCAGTAGTGTTGAAATTCCGCATAAGATGGGAGCCTACTCAACATGATGTGTCTTTCACTGGTAGCAGATAAAAGAAGAGTTTAAATCACATACTAGCACAGAAAAATGGTGTGGTGTTGTTTCTCCTTGAGATAAACTTCAAAGAACAGGAAATTCTGGATGGTACTTTGAAGGAGAGGGAGCCTGGTTTGATTTGGTTACCAAGAATCAGATGTTCAGGACTCGGCAGAAAACATTGTGGCACGTTTATGGCAAAAGAGGCAACAGGCAATGTGCTAAGCAGCCCTGATTACCTCATCATCCTCTGTTTTCCAGTATAGTTCTTGTTGGTTTTGTCCCCTGCCCCCATTTTTTTAATGCAGAAAGTTCAGTATGCATTTGCTTTTGAGTAGGATGCCTCTTAGATTAACGATCCTGAGTTAATGAATGTAAGCTAGGTATTTTCTGTAAATATCTGGGCAGCTTTTCATTCTCAAGAGTTTGCATTTTGCCCCCAAGAGAGGCACTAGAACAAACCTGCTCTGCTTGTGAGCCACCAAGATAAATGCCACTTGCAGGTCATGTATTAAGGCAGCAGTGCCTAATTCTCAGCCTAATCTGCTGCCAAGCCTTTTTTTCTGCCCCCCTCCTGCTACCAAAGTCTCTGCTGATTTCTATTAGCAGCAAAAGCTAAGTCGATGCAACACAGAGATTCTGCCAGAGCTATACAAACTTTTGGCCACACCCACTGAAACGCAGCATAATCCTAGCCATGGCTACTTGGAAGTATGCCCTATTGAATTCAGTGGTTTTTGCTCCCAGGTAAGTGTCATTAGGTTTGCAGCCTAAATCAGTCTCTGAGTTGCAGGTATTATAATAAAGCAGCATAAGGCCTTAATGGTGCTCCAAAACGAATTTTTGTGACAAAGTATAGGGGGGAAGTCAGGAGAGGGTTACAGGAAGTGTGCATAATAGCCATGTGTGCATTGCCCACCTCTGTAGCACCCAAAAAGCAGGCTGAGCAGCTTGGCTCCATGTATTTTATAGGCTGTGTACATTAATGTATGCAACATCTATGCTGTAACCAGCAGTGCCTTCCCCACTTTCCTGTTGTTGTTATCTTTCTTTTAATTCTGTACAGGCTAAATGTTAAGACTGTTTTATTTTATCACCTTAGAAGGAATTTGTTCATGTTGTCCTTTTTTGTTTTCTTTATATTTAAAGCTCCGTTGTCCTAAAATCTTTACATTTTCATAAATAAATTTTTCAAAAGAGCCACAAAAGTTGTGAGCTTGCATACGGTCTGAAAGGAGGAGAGAACCTACTCTCTTCCAGTTTACATGCGTTTCCTCAAATGGTTGCATAGACACAAGGGTTTGCGTCCAGATGTCCTGCCCATTGAGCAATCACCCTGATTTGTTTGAAGAAAGTTTGTGCAGAGGTTAGAGGACATTGGCTTCTTATTGAGCATCAGTTCTGATTTGTCTGCATGGAGAGCCACACCGTACATTAAAAGCATATTTAACACATGACTAGTTCCCCCCACATGGAGTCACAATTCTCAGCCCCCTTAACACAGTGCCCTAGATTCTTTGGAGGGTGCCATGTGCTTCAAATGGGTGCTGTGGAATCTTTGTCAAGCAATTCTTATCCTGTAAAGGTAAAGGGACCCCTGACAGTTAAGTCCAGTCGCGAACAACTCTGGGGTTGCGGCACTGATCTCGCTTTACAGGCCAAGGGAGCCGGCGTTTGTCCGCTCCGCAGACAGTTTTTCCGGGTCATGTGGCCAGCATGACTAAGCCGCTTCTGGCGCAACAGAACACTTGACACCAGAGCAGCGCACGGAAACGGCGTTTACCTTTCTGCCGGAGCAGTACCTATTTATCTAATTGCACTTTGACGTGCTTTTGAACTGCTAGGTTGGCAGGAGCTGGGACCGAGCAACGGGAGCTCACCCCATCATGGGTATTTGAACCACTAACCTTTTGATTGGCAAGCCCAAGGCTCAGTGGTTTAGACCACAGCGCCACCTGCGTCCCTCTTATCCCATACTTCCTGGCATATTTTCCTACCATGTTCCTTACCACAAAAAAAAATTACTTGGAGTGGGGTGGGCAGAAGCAGGTTGATGGGACAAGATTATCAGATCCACTCTACTTATGTTACCTGAATTTTCTGGTATGAGACTGAATTCTACCCACAAAACAGCAACAGCCTGGAAGTCCCAAGGGGGCTTCCACACCAGGCGGTTAGTATGGAATTGCCTCACTTGGGGTTCAGCCCCAACCCTGGCTGCTGCCCAACAGTACTTAATGGAGTGGCAAGGCCACCACCTCATGTGCAGCCCTGCCAAGTCAGCACAGAAGGGGGGAACAAGCAGCCTGAAGTTGAGGCAGCAACTCGGCCCAAAGAATGCCCCACATCAGGGCTTTTTGCCAGCAGCACTTCTACCTGCACATTTGTGCGGAAATGCTGATGGGAGGGACACTTGCATCCCTCCACAAGCAGAGACCAGCAGGGCTGGGTGGAAGGATAGCTCCAACCAAAGCACACACCCAGCCTGGGGCAAAGAGTTTGGATTGCTCTTTCCTTTTTATAGGGTATATACACAGCAGCAGCATCCATCAGAGTTGTCCTCCATTCCCCATGGCTGTTTCTTTTCTCAGGCTGCAGCAAATCTGACTTCTTTTTTTGGTAGAAGTGGAACAGCAGCACGGTCTGCAGGTGTGGTGAGCTGTTATTTTTTTGTCTGTCTAAGGTAAAGGTAAAGGGACCATTAGGTCCAGTTGTGGCCAGCTCTGGGGTTGCAGCGCTCATCTCGCTTTATTGGCCGAGGGAGCCGGCGTATAGCTTCCGGGTCATGTGGCCAGCATGACTAAGCCACTTCTGGCGAACCAGAGCAGCGCATGGAAACGCCGTTTACCTTCCCGCCGGAGCGGTACCTATTTATCTACTTGCACTTTGACGTGCTTTCGAACTGCTAGGTTGGCAGGAGCAGGGACCGCGCAATGGGAGCTCAACCCGGATTCGAACCGCCGACCTTCTGATCGGCAAGTCCTAGGCTCTGTCATTACAGCCTTTATAGTAGTTTTAAACTACAATTTCCCCCTTCTTGGTGCTGTCAGTATGTTTCCCGTTCATTTATTAAGTTGTACTTTTTAAAAAAATTGTATTGTTTTAATTAACAATCAGCATCCAGAAATCTTTACAAAACAAATGGGGGGTTGTTGTGATTAAAATTGTGATTGCACACAAAACTATGCAATTGCAGAATTCTGCCATCTATTTTTCAGCTCTTGAAGCCTTGCCAGAAATCATGCTCAGCATTATTCACCTTTTACGCGGTAAGAATTCACCCTTTTTGGTGCTGTGACATCTTTCATCCATGCATATTGCCACAGGCGGCAAAAGTAGCAGCTGAAGTTTCATTCAGAAGCATTTGGTATTGATTTTTTTTCAAGGGCTATAAGAAACTGTGAAAGCCCACAAAAAACATGCAGGCTACAACAGCTGTCCTTGACATACAAACATAGGATGATGCCTTACACTGAGTCAGACCATAAATCCATCTAGCTCTGTATTGCCTACTTTTCACTGGCAGGTTTCCCAGCTTTATTCTGGAGACCCCAGGGACTGGACCTGGACCCATCTGCAGGCAGGCCAGATGTTCTGCCACTGAGCTATGGTCCTTCGGCTTCAAGAAAACAAATTCCACAGATGTGGCTGTTCTTGCGGTGAAAACAAGAGTCGCAGGGTACCATAAATCTAAAATGACACTGGGAATTGTGTTCTCAGTACAAAAAGTAACTGTTCCACTTCTGATGTTTGTACTTTCCTTGCACTGCTAATTTATCACCCAAGGACTACGAGTTGGGAAAGTATCACACCAACTTGGATGGAATATTGTATTCATGTGCTCCCATTTTCAGCTATATCCTACTGTATTATTAGGGGTGTGTTGTTTTTTTAGTAAAACACACACACGTTCTCCCTACCGCCCCAGACTACCTCTTTCTCTGTACCGTGGTACCTCGGGTTAAGAACTTAATTCGTTCTGGAGGTCCGTTCTTAACCTGAAACTGTTCTTAACCTGAGGTACCACTTTAGCTAATGGGGCCTCCTGCTGCCGCCGCGCTGCTGCCGCACATTTTCTGTTCTCGTCCTGAAGTAAAGTTCTTAACCTGAGGTACTATTTCTGGGTTAGCAGAGTCTGTAACCTGAAGCATCTGTAACCTGAGGTACCACTGTACAGTGGTACCTCGGGTTACAGACACTTCAGGTTACATACACTTCAGGTTACACACTCCACTAAGCCAGAAATAGTGCTTCAGGTTAAGAACTTTGCTTCAGGATAAGAACAGAAATCGTGCTCCGGCGGCACGGCAGCAGCAGGAGGCCCCATTAGCTAAAGTGGTGCTTCAGGTTAAGAACAGTTTCAAGTTAAGAACGGACCTTCGGAACGAATTAAGTACTTAACCTGAGGTGTCACTGTACTCAAGTTTGTTTCAGGGCTGTTTTCCCCCCAGCCGGAACTTGCCAGAGCTGTTCTGGCACCTCTCAGGTGGGAACCATTGTCATTCTAAGAGAACAAGGGAGGTGTTCATGGTGAGTTGCGACACCCCATTTTCTAGAAAAATAGAACTACCTACATGCTTGCCTAACTACCCACTGTGGTCAACATTATGCATCAAGTAGACTCCTTTGGGGAAGAAAAGCCAGACATAAAGGTATGTATAAATAGTCTGACAAAGTGGACTCAGCCCCCCCCCCCCAAATAAGCCACAATAAATTTGTTAGCCTTTAAATGTTAGCCTTTAAATGCCACAACACACTATTTTTCCTGTAGTGGGTTGATGTGGCTATCAGTCTGGAAATAACCCTCTCCAAAGTAAAGTACATGAGAGCTTGTGAAGACCAGTGACTTTGAGACTCAGCTAGAAATCTGACTTCCCCTGGTTTGAATCTTGCTTCTGCCACAGACTCGCTAGATAGGCAAGCCACAATCTTGCCTCAATTTCCCACCCTCAATATTGACCACTTTTCAAGGATTAAGAGAAAAAAACTACATGAAGGGTGCTGAACAGTATACGTGCTGTGTCATTGCTAGTCCTTAGTATATATATACAGTGGTACCTCGGGTTAAGTACCGTATTTTTCGCCCCATAGGGCGCACCGTCCATAGGGCACACCTAGTTTTTTGGGGAGAATAAAGAAAAAAAATTATTTCCCCCCCAGGCGCGGGGCTGGGGCGGGGGAAGCCCAAGCTTCCCCCAACCCCAGCCCCCAGAACAGGCTGCTATCCGCAAGCCTAGGGAGCCCTGCGGGAACTCCCGCGGGCTCCCCAGGCTTGCGGATAGCTTCCTGAAGCCTGGAGAGTGCGCACCGACCCCTCTTGCTCTCCAGGCTTCAGCGAAAGCCTGCATTCGCCCCATAGGACGCACACACATTTCCCCTTCATTTTTGGAGGTCTGTACTTAGCCTGAAACTGTTCTTAACCTGAAGCACCACTTTAGCTAATGGGGCCTCCTGCTGCTGCCGCGCCGCCGGAGCCCGATTTCTGTTCTTATCCTGAAGCAAAGTTCTTAACCTGAAGCACTATTTCTGAATTAGTGGGGTGTGTAACCTGAAGCGCATGTAACCCGAGGTACCACTGTTTACTGCAAGTCCTTAGTATATGTATTTAACCTACCAACTCAAGAAAGAACTTCCTCTATCTCTATCTCACAAAGTGGTCCCTAACATATGAGACGATTAGCTTTTATTTGTATTTGTAGAATACTTATTTCACATTTTACAGACCCAGGAGGCGCTCAAATCAGTTTACAAAAGATCATCATAATCCAACCTCATTCAGTATTAGTATCTGGAACAGAAACCACACCAGGCCCATAGGGTACCAGGATCATCCAGGCAACATATCCTGCCTTTGTCCTTTGTCTATCCTGGTGCCAGCTCTCTACTACCTCCTACTAGGCAGCAGAGCCCAGACAAGGGAGTGGAACTTTCACAACTGGAACTTTTGTAGCCCATGAGGAGGGCAAGTTTTTTCCTCCTGGCTGTTAGCAGTTTCTAGGGAGCAGCTCAGCCACTACTACCAAGGTCCTCTGATACAGGGGGTAAGGCACAGCAGAGCAGCTGAAACTCACACAGCCCATGACAGAGACAGGTTTTCCTTTCCTGACAGTCAACAGACAAAACAGAGTTTCCCTTCCTTTTTCCTTTTTTTTACACTCACAGAATGGAAGCGGAGGAAGGAGGGGAAAGCAAGCTCAAAAACACATTCTTAAAAGTCTCGTCCGATCGTCAATTGCGGTTCCCTTCCCCTTTCCGTGTGCCACGCAAAACAAGTGTGGCTATTTTCAGCACAGCTTGAGGATCACCGCGCTGGAATATCCTGCTTTCTGGCAGCGAATTATTGCGGGGCTTTGCGCTCGTGTTTACTGCAGCTTTTGCTAAAGGCGGAGCAGGGCTGGAAGGCAGCAAAAGCAGCAGCGAGAGGAGCGCATGGAACCATAGAACGGCGCATGGGGCAGCCCCGCGGGGACCCGGAAGCCATTCCTGCTCGGGCCGGAAGTCGCCCTCCCTCCTCCTCTCGCTCTCTTTCTGCCTCCATCTTGCGCCCGGCTCGTCCTGTACAGTAAGTTCCCCCCGTTTGCATCCGCCGCCATCCTCCTCGGCGAGCCCCCTGACAGGGCAGGCGGGAAGCTCCCGAAGCGTAGGGGCTCGAGGCGGGGAAAGATGCGGCGTTGGCGGGCGGGTCGAGCGCAGGGCTCCGGGGCCGAGCGACGGTTCCGCGAATAGGCCGCTGCGCCCGAGTTGTAGGGCCTCGGCGGGCCTTCGGGAAAGGCCTTCCGCTCGTAGGCAGACGGGGGCAGGAGGCCCTGAAGGGAAGGAGCACTGGGAGGGAGAGCCGAGGGGGACGGAAAGACATTTGGGAGGGAGACCCGGCTCTCCACCCGCCCCGCTTGGACTCGACCCTCACCCGTGGAGCTTGGAGGTCGACGCCTGGAGGACCCTGGGCCGCACCTGCCGCCTTGCCACCTCCCTCCCCACTTGCAAAGGGCTGTCACTCTTGGCAGCGGGGGAAGCGGGGCTCCGGCCTTCCGCTCAGAGGGGGTGCTCTCATAGCGCTCCTCCAAGAAGGGTAGTTGCTGTGCAGGAAGGTTCCAGGAAGGTTGGCATTGAGTGGGTTGGTGGCTGTGCGTGTTGGGGCACAGGCTTAAGCGCCTGGTGAAATGAAGGGAGCTGAGGTTTGTCCCGCCGTTCACTTAAACTATTTCTGTTGGGATGCGTATTATGCCTGTCAAGGAGGAAGTGCACGGGTAAGGAAGCTCCCGCATGAGAGTGAATGGAAGATCTCGCTGTACATATCCATAGTTTGGGTACATGACGGTTGTAGGGTGGAGTTGTAGCAAAGCAAATACAGTCATACCTTGGGTTGAAGTAGCTTCGGGATGAATATTTTCGGGTTGCGCTCCGCGGCGACCCGGAAGTAACAGAGCGCATTACTTCCGGGTTTCGCCGCATGCGCAGACGTTCAAAATGATGTCATGCGCAGAAGCGGCGACACGCGCAGTCACATGTTACATTCGCTTCAGGATGCGAACGGGGCTCCGGAATGGATCCCGTTCACATCCAGAGGTACCACTGTAGGTGCCTTGCTGGATCAGACCAAAGGCCTACCTAAGGCTGTGCTCTTTTTCCAACAGTAGCCAACCAGATGTTTTTTTTGGGGGGGGGATCCTACAGGCCTTTTCTGTTTCTCACCATAGTCTGCGATGCTGCCATTGAACATGGATGGTTAATTTAGGTATCATGGCTGATAGTAATAATGCCAATCTTGCTTGCCATACAACTTGGTTAGGTGAGGGTAGAAGGGAATAAAAGCTTTTAACCCATTGGTAAACATTCAGGGATGAAAGTTGATTATGGATACAGAAGTTGGGCAGATCTCCTGCAGTTGTATCAATAGTCCTTCAGTGGATATGGTTTTCTATGCATTTAGTACAGAAATCGGGGCTGGTGAAAGTTAAGTAATTTGACAGACAAAAGTTTTTAAATGCATGGTTTTTTTGTCTGTGTGACTACCTAGAACAAATTGTGCTTGGAAGTGATTCAATTTGTTCATATGCAGCTTACCATGATATTCTGATTGTAGAGAAGCAAGATTTTGGTTAGATACCCTGTAATGATTTACACTAATTCTGTAGAAAAATTGACTGAATTTTACTTCCCTTCTCCCAGAAATGCCTGGTGAAGCCACAGAAACTGTTCCAGCAACAGAACATGAGCTGCCACAGCCTCATGCTGAGACAGGTTAGTGCCTTGGATGACTAATACACTTTCAGAAAGAATCCTGAAACTCGTCCAGTCAGCCAGTTTAACAAAGCAGGTAAAACCATTTGTGAAGGGTAGAACTTGCAAATAATTGAGGGCTATTGTGGCAGAGTGGCTAAGAGTCTAGGACTGCAGTCTTGCACATTTACCAGGGAATAAGTCCTATTGAACTCAGTAGGGCTTCATTTGAGTAGACATGCATAGAAATGCATGGTAAAAGAGGTCATGTGTAAGTTGCACTTTAAAAAGCTTGGTTTGAGTCTTACACCTGCCATGAGCTTTCTGTGTAGCCTTCGAAAAGCCAATATCTGAGATACTATATTTCTAAACTTCAGCCCCCCATCTGCAATATGGGGATAATAATCCTGGCTGCCCTTACAATGTTGCTGTAAGGATTAATGAGACAATGTGTGGAAAATACTTGGAACTTGCCATATAAACGTTATCATGACTTTGAAGAAATTGAGATAAATACTTTGAAATTGTCCTCTTGTGCTCTTACCACGTTTAGTCTCCTCCACGTTGGATGAGTTGCATGGTCTCTCTCTGGAACATGGCAGTAGCATGCTTGACGTGAATCACAAGCTGGATAAACACTGCTATCCCACCACATTTTGAAGGTTTTTAGACTACAAAATGTTAAAACTACTAACAACAGCTTCTGATTTTTGTGTGTATGCTAACATTGGGTGATTACTAGATGAAACATTAGAGAAATGAGGATCTTAACCTAGGTCAAATTCTAGATACTTGCTTAATGACTTGGGAAGGTTTTCTTCTTTTTGGCCTTTTGTGCTGGAGTAAACTGTGTGTTTTAAAGGATCCGTACATGGTTTGTTTCCCAATCATGCTTCCACGTTAACAAATGGGTTGATGTGTAAGAAATCTTCAGGAAGAAGGAGGCAGGTGGCTTAGTAAGAACCAAAGGATACAACCTCTTCATATTTCTAAACCTGTGTGAGACAGTTGGGAATTGGGCTGTTAAGCTTATGATCATCCATCATTACTTTGTGACACATGTTTCTTTTTGCAAATTGGTGGTGACCACTGTTTAAGGTTGGAGAGGTGGTGACTCTGATGCGACTGAAATGGGGACCTCAGACTAGAAGGAATTTTAATCTGTTTATTTGAAACCTACTAGATGTCAAGTGGATAACTTTCTAATCCACTCACTAACACTGCCTATCTTAAGCACAGAGCAGGGAATCATCGTTTTGTGACTGCAAGCCAAAAGATTACAACATAATTTGGCATTTACCAAGCATTCTGAACTTGGCAATAACACAGCTGATGGATGTGTTGGCTGTGAAAGTGCTTCATTCTAGCGGAGTAGAATTTTCAGCTGATACTGCATTTAAAAATTGTATTCTGAAGTGTGTGTTTGTGCGCACGTGCATCCTTCTTACTTGGGACATGCTAACTCTAAACCTTCCCTGTGTATTGTGTCTCCAGTTATCTGTCTTGAAGGTATCATGGATGCTGGTTAGCAGAGAACCAGGTCTCCTTGTATGCTACATTTCCGCCTTGCCGCTTAGGGAACACTGCATGACTTTGTGACTGGGTCTCTCCTATACACACACCTACGCATGGGGATGCTGTACACTGCATGACTGGTAAATGCAATGACTTCTGTCCAAGGGGTGTGAGAGTTTCTCTTAGGGAGGAAACACACAAGTTTGGTTGAATAAATAAATGGAGCTGTATAGAATGGAGCAGTTTTTCTCTGAAGCAAACAGAAAATGTCTGCCTGTCCATATTGTGGATGTCGTGGTGTTGAATGGCCTACCAAATCTTAGCAAAGTCTACACTGGTTTTAAGCTTTTATTCTGGCCCATTAGAGAGTTATGCCAAGGCACCTGTGTTGCAGAGAAGAGGTGGCTGTAAGTGCCAGTGTTGATATTGGCAAAATGTGTGACACACTAGACAGAATTCTGTGAGGAGATTATTGGGGCACAGCAAATAGATTTTGCTTTGCTCCAGTCAAGCTTTGCTGCTGGTTCTTGGATGTAAGAAGTGGCAAAGAAGATGCACAGCCGCTTTTCCAGAGCCACCCACACTGAATGTAGAAGCAAGATAGGAGGAGACAGAAGAACTGATACAACTAGTTCTAAATCCAGTACATCATCCATTTTTGTTCATATTTACCACAGTCTGGTGCATGAATATGCCCTTCTGCCCTCAAAGGCACTGGCTACTAATGTGATACAAACAGGGAAGGTTTTTAACTGCTTCCTCTGCTAGTGGTAGCTACATTAAAAAAACAAAAACCTGAACTGACTTCCATCCGTTTTATCCCATTATGAAGTGGTTGCATGCATGACCACTGTGACGCAGTAAACGTGGCCCAGATCGGCTTTTGATACATCAGTACTCGCATTCAAGAAGCTGATGTCAGCTGAGTTACAACTGTCAGAGTGATGACACCAAATCCTCATGATGGCTAGGAAACGTAACTTAAATTGCCAGTTTCCTCTCCGGAGTAGATTATCCCTATAATGCTTCATACATTAAGGTTTTTATTAGTCCTGCTGCCATTTGTCTCTGGGCTCCTGAGGATAACTGACATCTTTCCCCAATTTTGGATGCTACTGATTGCTAATCACCTCATGAGGCATGTGCAGACTGTTGGGTTTCCTGAGTGGTATCTGAACAGTTGACACTATTTCAGTAACTCTACCCCCAGTTCCTGGGGTCCCCATGGAAGTGATGCAGACAACTGAGGAGTCCAAACCAGTTGCCACCAAGAATCCTGAGGTGGCAGGCAAGGGTTCTCAGGCTGGGACTGCTCTGGAGCCATCAGGTAGGTTTCAAGTTAAAACAGCAAGATGGGATTGAAATCACTTCATTTTAATTTTTAAAATGAATTTTTTTATTTTAAAAAAACTCTATAATGTATAGTGGTGCCTCGCAAGACGAAATTAATCCGTTCCGCGAGTGTCTTCGTCTAGCGGTTTTTTCGTCTTGCGAAGCAACCCTATTAGCGGTTTAGCGGCTATTAAAGGCTTAGCGGCTTAGCTGCTAAAAGGCTCTTAGCGGCTTAGAAGAAGGGGGGGGAGCGAAAAAAAATCTCAAGACTCGCAAGACATTTTCATCTTGCGAAGCAAGCCCATAGGGAAATTCGTCCTGCGAAGCGCATCGAAAAACGGAAAACCCTTTCGTCTAGCGGGTTTTCCGTCTTGCGAGGCATTTGTCTTGCGGGGCACCACTGTATCAGGGCTCCAGAACTGCTAGCTTTGTTTAAGCTGAGATCTTGTTTCCTGCTGGTGAAAGAAATAAGTAAATGTAGATACTTGAAACATACATTTCTGCTGATTAAATACATTACTGCAAGAGTTAACAGCTGTTAAGTATGGTATGCAGGTCTTCCTAAGAAGGCGTTTCTATGGTTTGCTTGTGATGTCCCTGGGTGTACTACTTGTATATAATTTACAGTAGACCTGGGGGAAATGTCATATCTCAGTGATTCCAAGTTTCAGATGCTGACAATGATTTATTACTGCTTTTTTGCGGGATGGGGGTGGTGAGCCACCATAAAGGTTGAACCAAGGGTCAGCAACCTTTTTCAGCCGTGGGCCGGTCCAGCGTCCCTCAGACCATGTGGTGGGCCAGATATATTTTGAGGGGGAAATGAATGAATTCCTATGCCCTACAAATAACCCAGAGATGCATTTTAAATAAAAGCACACATTCTACTCATGTAAAAACATGCTGATTCCCAGACTGTCTGTGGGCCGGATTGAGAAGGTGATTGGGCCGCATCCGGCCCCCGGGCCTTAGGTTGCCTACCCCTGGGTGCCTGCACTTTGATGGTACTCTTTTAGGCTAGATCATGTTTTATCTAAAATGTCATAGTTTAATTTTAAGAAATGGTTCAGCTTTCTTAGCATGAATCTTATAACTTTCTGGTTACATGTAGTTCTTGCCCCTTCCTTGTTTAACTTTTTTTGGGGGGGGGGTGAGAGAGAGAGAATCTTCATTCCCATTATTTTGCTCTCCCATTGTATACCTATTTTCCCAAGAACTGATCCACAGCAGTGGCTGTAGACAAGCGACCATTTAAAGTTCAGTGACCAACACACATTATATAGTGATTCCTTTGCCTTCTTTTCTTCATCTGCTTAGTAGAAACATGACCTAGAATCTACAGTTAAGGAATCTACAGTTAAGTAACTCATTCATGAGAGACAGTTATGATTATTGAAGCCAGCTCGCTCATTGAACTGAGGCTTCTAGAATTCTTACTGGAAAGCTTGGAAATAAGGAAAATCTTGAAGTAGTGAATTGGTGTTAGTGTAGTCTGAGCACTTGCTCAATCTGGCATTTACATCACCTTTCTGCTAAATCTGTGCCTTGAATTCTGGTTGTCCCAGTCCTGCTATGAAGTGATGCAGCCCATGATTTGAGGGAATTCTCTCAGCATTTTTTACTCATCTGCTAGTCTAGCTGATGAGTACAAAAAAGGGACCCTTGATCCCCTCAGAATCTTTTATCATGTTGTATTATAGCCATTTTGTTTTTTACTGCCCTTATGAAGGTCAATCCCAGTGTTACGGAAGTAGCTCTTAAATTCCTGTTTCTGGAATTCTAAGATCCTTCTGCTTAAGTTGCATGTGGTAGTGGGCGTCTGTCCCATGCAGTCGACATTAATATAACATGTGCTGGGCTCCTCTTCCCTGCATGATCTCACTGAGCGGTGTGCTTCTGGCTTCATTTAAAGCAGTTTCTGCTCATCAGAGTAGACTTGCAGGCATTCCTAATGCAGCTACTCTCAGGCCACACATATAATTTAAGATTAGTTAATCCACCATTTAATGCTTTGAGGAAACATCACTGAGTGACTCATGCTTTAAAAGTTTGGGTGGATGCTAGCTGTGTAAGTTGTAGCTTGCATGTCCCATTTAGGTTTGAATTATGCCAAGCCTGAAGTTGAAGGCATCTTAGTTCAGGGATAGACAGTTCCCAGTAGACTTAATTTGTCATTTTGACTAAGCCAAGAGAATAGAACCTTCTAGATGGTTCTAGCCCCAAGCTTATTGGTTTGTCGTTAATAACCTATTGCTCTTGCTCATTTAGCTCCTGCCACTCCAAACCCTTTTGCTGGTGCTTCTGAAGCACCTGCAGCCTGTTTTCCTCAGCTTCCTATTCAAGCACCAGGTATTTGCTGTTAGTCCCTATGTATGTCTCCTTAACAACATTTTGCTGTGTTGTGTTGATGCAGTTACATTAACCATAGTATTTAGCAAAAAAAGACTTGGTTAAAGTAGTTAAAGTCACACTCCTGAGTTCTATTCTTCGCTCTTCAGCTGACATAGATCATATACAAGTTACTGTGTAGAATACAAACTTCTCTCTGGAGTTAGCAAAGTTAGTAATGTAAGGAAATGTATTATGGACTGATCTGCCATCTAGATTACCAGAGGGAGGGTTTTATTTTTTTCCTGTGGGTGCTTGCTGTTGACAGGCACACAGAATTGGTGTGAAAAGTTCTGTGGTACCTTGCATTGCTGTCTCAGTATCTGTTTCAAAGAATACTGGCATTTTGTGGTTCCTGGGATGCCAGTGGCTACACCTTGAAATTACATGCGACTTGTGTGAAGATCTTGCTTTGATCGCCCCTGCTTATACATTGGCCTAACCTCAGGGTAGGTGAAAAACCATGTTCCCAGGCTTCATTTCTTCAACCAGATTAACTTGGGTCATATAGGAGTCATTGCCATTTAAATGGAACATGTACTACAAAGCAGTTTTCAAGCGGCGGCAGACTGGTATATTGTCCTATTCAAATCTGTGTACCCGGACACAACATGGAAGGTTAAATGTCAGCACTTGTAAGACTTTGCAACTTGTTTCTTGAACTAGATGTTTTCTCCTCTATAATTGAGTTTCTATTGATAGCATGTGTTGAGGGTGCCCAACCAGATATCTGGATAATAGAGTTGGATATGCAGTGAGACATCCAGTGAGAGTGGTGACAAGTATGTCGGGCTTGCCTGTGCACTGTCACGTGTTTTCAAAAGACTTGATCCTGCACATGTCCTCCAGCGGAATATTGGCACCATACAAAGAGCCTTGGTTGATGGGGTGGGGCATACAAACACTGTGATACTTTTTTCTGACAGCGGCTTCAGCAATTTCTACCTCACAGGTAACTGAGATGCATTTCCATGTGGGTGGCTGTAGATAATTCATTTTTTCTTCTCCATGTTTTCATCATTGATTCACTTTTTCTCTCCTTTAGCTGCTGTTTCCGGCTCCTCTGTATCTAGCGCTGCCCACCCTCCCTCTTCATCCCATGATGCTAACTCTCCCCTTGCTGGACTCTGTCCTTCCAGTACTCCACTAGCACCTACTGACCTTGCTGCCTCACCTGGGCAGCTCTTCTCCTTTGTGGCTCCTCCTTCCTCCTCCTTCCCAATGTCAGTCTCTCCTGGCTCAGCCTTGCCTCCTAGTGTCCCAGCTGTGGTGACCCAGATTCCTTCCTCTCCCCTGAAGCCTCCGGATCTGGCTGACGCTGCACAAAAAGTTAGCTCCTTGTCTCCCAGCATTGCAGTAGGGCCTGCAGCTTCTGCCCCAGTTTCAATAATTTCCTCTGGGTCTCTTAGTTCAGCTCATCCAACTACCCCTGTGAGCCTACCACTGGCAACATCTGCAGGCCCAGTTCCTCAGGTGCCATCGTGTCCTATTCCAGCTCCCTTCATTCTCCCAGTTGCTCCTGTTTCTCCTCCTCTGGTCCTTGGACCCACTGTTCTCCCTGTTGTATCAAGCACAGTTCCTCTCAGCTCTCCTGTCAGTCCCACAGTCCCAAAGCCTCATAGCACTATGATATCGCCTGCTTCTCCTTCTAGACCCAATAATTCTGTTACAGCACCTCTTTCTCCTCTACCCCTTACAGTGACTACTCAAGGCTCTGCAGCCTCTCCAGTGCCAGCATCTAGTCCTGTGGCACCCCCAGGGCCACCTGTGGGATCTGCTTGCCACCCTGTGATTCCTCCTTTGGCACCTATAGCTGGCCCTGCAGCACCTGCTTCCTGCCCCTTGGCTTCTGTGGTGTGCCCTGGTGCCCCTCCTTTGTCCCCAGCAGTGCTTGCTCCTAGACAACTGATACCTGCAGGGCCACCTGTGAAACCTGCTTCTGGGCCTGCGGCTCCTGTTTTGGCACCTGTTTCTAGCCCTGCGTTTGTGGCTCCAGCAGGGCCTGCTCATGCACCCCTGCTACCTGCAGGGCCATCTGTGAAACCTGCTTCTGCTTCAGCACCTGTTTCTGGCCCTGTGGCCCTAGTGGGCTCTGCTTCTTGTCCCGTATCACCTGTTTCTAAGTCTGTGACTCCTGTTTTGGCACCTGTTTCTGGTTCTGTTTCCCCTCCAGTGTCACAAGGAGTACCTGCTCCTATTCTGTTGGCACCTGCAGTACCAACAGTGAAACGTGAATCTCCTGCACCTACTTCTGGCCCTCTAACCTCAGCTCTGCCTATTTCTCAGCCTGTGGCCCCTGTTGTGGCTCCTCCTTCTGCCGCTGTAACCCTAGCGGGGCCTGCTTCTAGTCCTGTGACTCCTCCTTTGGCTACTGCTTCAGGACCTATATCTTCTGATGCTCCAGTAGGAGTCGTTCCTCAACCACTGGCACCCGCAGCTTCTCCTTTGCCACCAACTTCTGATCCTGTGGCTCCTCCTCCTGGCCCTATGACTCCAGGGGCATCTGCCTCTAGTCCCATGGCTCCTCCTTTGCCACCTCCTTCTGGATGTGCAACTCCTCCTATAGTTGCATCAGACATTGCTTCTAAGCCACAAGCACTTGCAGTGCTGGCTGTGAAACCACCACCTCCATCAGCACCTGCACCTGGTCCTTTAACCATAGCAGGGCCGACTTCTAGTCCTTCGGCACCCCCTCCTGGACCTGTGGCCCCAGCAGGGTCTCTTCCTAGATCATTGGCATCTGCAGTGCCACCTGTGAAACCCGATTCCCCTTCGGTTTCTGCTTCTAGCTCTGTGGCCCCAGGAGGACCTCCCCCTAAACCTGGGGCACCTCTTGCCGAAGCTGTGCCTCCTCCTTTGGCACCTGTTTCTGATTCCATAACCCCTCCTGTGGTTGCAAAAGTACCTACATCCAAACAAGTGGCACCTACAGTTCCACCTATGGCATCTACTGCTTCTTGCCCTTTGGCTTTTCATCCCATGGCTCCTCTTCTGGCACCTGTCTCTGTTCCTGGGGTTCTTGCTTCCTGTCCCTTGGCCTCAGCAGGGCCGGTTCCTATGGCCCCAACAGAAGGGCCTGTATCTAGTCCTGTCACCCCAGCAGGGCCTGCATCTAGTCCTTTGAGCCCTACTTCTGGACCTGTGGCCCCAGCAGTGGTCCCTCCTAGACCACTTCCCTCCACAGGGCCACCTCTGAAACCTGCTTCTGGACCTGTGGTTCCTCCTTTGGTTCCCCCATCTGGGTCTTTGGCACATCCTGCAGTACCAGAAGGGGTTGCTTCTAAGCCAGTGTCACCTGCAGTGCCACCTGTGAAACCTACTTCACCTTTGTCACCTACTTCTGGGCCTGTTTCCCCAGCAGAGACCCTTCCTAAGCCACTGGCCCCCACAGGCTCAGCAGTGAAACCTTCTCCTTCATCCCAGCCTGTGGCTCCTCCTCTGGCACCTCCTGTGGGCCCAGCAGGGCTTGTTTCTAAGCCAGTGCCTCCTGAAAAACCTGCATCTCCTTTGACACCTACACCTGGCCCTGCGGCCCCAGCAGGGCCTCCTTCTGGTCCTACACCTGCCCCTGTAACTCCACTTGTGGCCCCAACAGTGCCTGCTCAGACCCCTTTGGCACCCGTAGTGCCTGTTGCAAAGCCTGCTTCTCCTTTGGCAGCTGCACCTGAGCCCTTCGTTCCCCCTGTATCCCCAGGTGTGCCTGCCTCTAGCCCTGTACCCTCAACAGCTCCCTCAGTGGCCCCTCCAGTTCTCCCTGTAACTTCTGCAGCTGGCCCCAAAGGCCCTTCTGTAGACTCCTCTGTAACTGTGACCCCCACTGCTTCCCCTAAGTCTCCCGTTGTTTCTGCTTCTGGCTCAGGAGCCTCCCCAGTGTCACCTGTTGTCTCTGCTCCTGGCACTGTGGCCACCACTTCCCCACTGGCTGCTTCTACAGCCTCTGCCACCCCAAGCACTCCTACCCCTCTTTCTCTGGTGACCCCTGCCTCTGCTATCCCTTTTGGCTCTGCTGCCTTGCCCTTGGATGTGTCCCAGGTCCCTGTCAGCTCTGCTGGGGATAAGGCACCTCCACCAAAAACAACACCATTGCCTCTTGCACCTGCTGATCTTTCTGTTTCTGCCACAGCTACAAGCAGTCTCACTCAGCCTGCTTCCCCTGTGCCACCTCCTACTTCCCCTGTAAAAAAGCTAACTCCCTCTGCTGTGCTTCCTAAGCCATCACCAGTTTCACCTGCATCTGGTCTAGCATCTGAAGTGCCACCCAAACCCCCCACCCCTGTCTCTGCTGTCATTGAAGACGACGAGTTGCCGCCTTTGATCCCTCCAGAGGTGCCTGCTGGGGAGCAACCTCTGCAGCCAATCCTGGTGGATTTCTCTCCCAAACAAGCTGTGGCCCTTGCTGAGGCCCCAGCAACTGCTCCTCCTGCTCCTCTTCCTCCTCCTGCCAAACAGCCTGTCCTGAAGAATGATAAGGGTATTTGCCTCCTTGGTTTGCTGTGTGCATGGATATCACAGACTGCTCACTGAATACTAACCTGTCTGTATGGGCAAGGGGTCCCAAGTTTCTTCCCTTGGGCTCCTTGCTTTGTTTGTTAGTCTAGAAAAGTAGTATTTAGAAGTGAAGCCAAAGTAAGTCCAAGCTGAGCTGTAACCAGTTGTGGTCAGAGCCAATTGAAAACTCCTTTTGTGTTGGAATCGAGACTTGTGCACAGGAATGTACGGCACAAATGAGAGAGTCACTTCACATGCTCAGCATGTTGTGAATGTCTTATTGAGGGTGTGACATCAATGTTGCCTTGGCTGGTATTTCTGGAATAGCACTAACCTAGAAACCCTAATCACAGCTTTGTTTTCTGTAGCACTGTAGCAGTCCTGTCTCCAATCCTAGTACTTGGCTTGTGATTGGACATCTAGTACATCTTGTTAATTAAAAGTGCTTTAAGTGAGTTGTTCATAGATTTAGCATGTGTTGCCAACTCTTGTGTAATGTTTTATCCAGACTCTGGAAGAAACTGCAGTGTCCACTATTCACTTCAGTTGTGCTTTGTCTGTATTTGTACTTGCACTGGGGGGTGGGGTTACACAGATGGCAGTATGCTGGCAGTAGTTCTCTATTAAAGACATATTAAACAAGATGCATGCTATTTGTTAAAATCAAACATCTGCCTAAATTCAAGAATAAGTGAGGCTTTGCCTAGCTACCAGTGTGGTCTGGTGCATATGCAAGTACAGTGGAACCTCTGTTTTCAAACGTAATCCGTTCCAGAAGTCCATTCAACTTCCGAAATGTTCAAAAATCAAAGGGCTGTCAGCAAAGAGAATGGTAAAAATGGAAAAACACGCTGCAGAAGCCATTCGACTTCTGAGGCGCATTTGAAAATGGAAGCATTCACTTCTGGGTTTTTGGTGTTTGGCTTCCGGAACGTTCAAAAACTGAGGTTCACTGTATTGGGAAAGATGCTAGAGTATTACATAAACTAGAATTAGCTGAGTTCATTGGCAAGTGAGAAAATAGTTGTACTTGTTCTAGGAAATGTGTTCTATAGATATATTTTGTTACTTTCACAATTGTTGGTCAGTCATTTTTTCCCTCCCATTTACATCACAGTCACTTAGTCCTAAAAGGACAAGGGTGGGTATCATTCGAAAAGACAGCGGTGAACTTCATTCTAGGTTCTTGAGGTGAAGCATATCCAGGCCACTATTTCAGAACTGAGCTTTTAAAATCTGTGTTGTTTTGTTATTTTAAAAAGCCGAGGAATTAACAAAGTTAAATTGAGTCATTGGGAATGTGCTATGGGCTCCTCAACTTCCACCTCCCTCCCCTCCCCCCATTGGGTATTCTACTTCCTTTCCATGTTTTGCAATAACTACAGTTTGTCATGACACCCAGCACACTATAAAGACCCATCATCTCATAACTATCCTGACTAACCCTACTTAGAGATAGCCCAATTAAGACATAATCACAAATCATGGAAGGGAAAGACATAACTGCAGAGAGTATGCAAGTCTGGAACACATTCCTAATCTCAAACCATTGAATTAAGCCAGAGCTCAGCTGCCAATTCTCCTACATGTAGAAGTGGTATCTCAATCCTAAAAATGCAAGCAAGATCCTTCCCCCAGGAACTTTTCTCTTCATACACTACAACTAATATTAGCATGCCTAGAATACCCACACTTTCCCAGATATTTGTTTTTAGCTGAAACTCTTAAAACTTTAAAAAAGTCTTTTTGCCTCACCTTTTCCCATACACACAGACCTATTTCTAGTAGTAATATCTGAAGGCAGTGACCTGAATTACCGTATTTTTCGCTCCATAGGACGCACTTTTTCCCCTCCAAAAATGAAGGGGAAATGTGTGTGCGTCCTATGGAGCGAATGCAGGCTCGCTGAAGCCTGGAGAGCGAGAGGCATCGGTGCGCACCGACCCCTCTCGCTCTCCAGGCTTCAGGAAGCTATCCGCAAGCCTTGCAAGCCCGGTGGGAGTTCCCGCGGGCTCACAAGGCTTGCAGGCAGCAGCCTGCAGCCCCGGCGAGTGTCCGCAAGCCTTGCGCGCCCGGCAGGAGTTCCCGCGGGCTCACAAGGCTTGCAGGCAGCAGCCTGCAGCCCCGGCGAGTGTCCGCAAGCCTTGCGCGCCCGGCAGGAGGTCCCGCCGAGCGCGCGAGGCTTGGGGCAGCAGCCTGTCGCCCGAAGCACGGGAGCCCTCCGGAGGGCTCCCGTGCTTCGGGCGAGTGTCTGCAAGCCTTGCGCGCCCGGCAGGAGGCCCCGCCCAGCGCGCAAGGCTTGGGGCGGCAGCCTGTCGCCCGAGCACGGGGAGCCCTCCGGAGGGCTCCCGTGCTTCGGGCGAGTGTCTGCAAGCCTTGCGCGCCCGGCGGGAGGTCCCGCCCAGCGCGCAAGGCTTGGGGCTGCAGCTTGTCGCCCGAGCACGGGAGCCCTCCGGAGGGCTCCCGTGCTCGGGCGAGTGTCTGCAAGCCTTGCGCGCCCGGCGGGAGGTCCCGCCCAGCGCGCAAGGCTTGGGGCTGCAGCTTGTCGCCCGAAGCACGGGGAGCCCTCCGGAGGGCTCCCGTGCTTCGGGCGAGTGTCTGCAAGCCTTGCGCGCCCGGCGGGAGGTCCCGCCCAGCGCGCAAGGCTTGGGGCTGCAGCTTGTCGCCCGAAGCACGGGGAGCCCTCCGGAGGGCTCCCGTGCTTCGGGCGAGTGTCTGCAAGCCTTGCGCGCCCGGCGGGAGGTCCCGCCCAGCGCGCAAGGCTTGGGGCTGGCAGCTTGTCGCCCGAGCACGGGAGCCCTCCGGAGGGCTCCCGTGCTTCGGGCGAGTGTCTGCAAGCCTTGCGCGCCCGGCGGGAGGTCCCGCCCAGCGCGCAAGGCTTGGGGCTGCAGCTTGTCGCCCGAAGCACGGGAGCCCTCCGGAGGGCTCCCTTGCTTAGGGCGAGTGTCTGCAAGCCTTGCGCGCCCGGCGGGAGGTCCCGCCCAGCGCGCAAGGCTTGGGGCTGCAGCTTGTCGCCCGAGCACGGGAGCCCTCCGGAGGGCTCCCCGTGCTTCGGGCGACTGTCTGCAAGCCTCGCGCGCGAGGCTTGGGGCGGTAGCCTGCAGCCCGAAGCACGCGAGGCTTGGGGCGGCAGCCGCGGGGGGGGGTTATTCATTCCCCCCCAAAAAAACGAGGTGCGTCCTATGGACCGGTGCGTCGTATAGAACGAAAAATACGGTAATCTTTGAAAGAGCTAGTGTTTTATATGCACTGTCTTGAAGCCCAGGCTGAGCAAAGCTCAAAGCACCTCTATTGCTACAAATATTATAGCCAATAATAATAATAATTCATTATTTATACCCTGCCCATCTTCCCCAGCCACTCTGGGCAGCTTCCAACAAAATATTAAAATACAATGGCCTGTTAAACATTTTTTAAAAAATGATAACATAAAGCACTTCCATTCCAAAGTCATTTGTCTGTAGGTTGCATCCTTTCTGTGTCGTTTGCTTTGCTACCTGTATTGGGAATAAATGCCTCTGCCACTAGATAATTGTGACTTTTCTGGATTGGTATGAGTTTCTTGATGTGCATTATCACAATAAAAGGGAGATAAAATCTGCATGATCAAGTTGGCAACGCCTTTCATGTTTCCCCTGGGCTTCTTCCACACCCAGCTGAAGCCAAAATGGAAAAAAAAGGATTGCACACATTTGTATTTGCAGGGTCTGGAACAGAATCTGACAGCGATGAGTCAGTGCCAGAACTTGAAGAACATGACCCTACGCATGCCACAACACATCGGACAGAGGTGAGAAGCAAATAACTGGGCTGCATTTAATTGGCATCCGGGGCAGGGCCACAAAACCTGTGACGTTGAAGAGCTGCCAATGTGCAAAAAACCACACACCAGGATGCTTAACACACAATTTACTGTGTGTGCTTTGTTCAGCCACACATACTTTAACAAGCATCCTTGTCCTAGGATGGTTTGCCTTCTGACCAGTAGGTAGTGAGTACAGTCTGAAATTCTTTGTTTAAAATCCCAAGTTTGAAAAAGCAAACAAAGAAGCAAATTACACAAGAATAACAAACAGCAAGTATTGTTAAATGTACACTTTTTACAATTCTCCGTAATTTTTATTCAATCTGGATTATAATTGAAATAGTGAAAGGCAAGAGGAAAGTTGCTGTGGTGAAAAAGCTTGCAAAGTCTACAGTTTGTAACATCTTATGATGGATTGAAGGGCATTGTAAGAGCAAAACATTTCAGGTCCTACTGGGACATAGAAACAGCAAGGACTATTCCTTTGTATTTTTAAAATATAAAAGGAAGCAATTACTGAATTATGCTGGACTTATTTTCAAAATATGGAGAACAGCCATTGCTGTGAGATCTTTGGGTTTTTCTGTTGTTCCAGCCTTTTCTCTGGATAGTAAGCCTTTTGGTTTTGTTTAATCCAAGTTGAATAACAGTTGTGAAGAGTGCCAAAGCTTGCTCACTACTTTGCACTGTTTTATTTGCAATGTTACTCTACTGTGGTTTTTGAATGTTATTCTATATCCGGTCATCAGTTAAGATTGCTTCTGTAAGGCACATAGGCTTTGGTTGGTGAGTCTCCAGGGGAAGAGAATTCTAACATCATGGGACAACCACAAGGAGCACCTTTCTGTGTGCTCTTGTGGTCCTAACTTGGCACATAGATAATGTACTTCAGTATATGAATTTATGCTAGTACATGGGAGTGGAGTGATTTCTTTGGCATGCTTTGCAAATACCTGGCCCTCCCTGCTTGGATTTGGAGGACTGGTAGGGTAGATGGGCATGTGCATATAAATCTGTTCTCTCGTTTCCATTGTAGAAAGAGGGCACAATAAATCTGCAGTCAGAAAATGTATTTGGGGAGGGGGACTTTCTGCTGGGCATCCCTTTAACTCCATTTTGGGTCTTTTTATTTGCAGCTTGCAGCAGCAGCTGAAATAGATGAAGAACCAGTTAGCAAAGCAAAACAGAGTCGGAGTGAAAAGAAAGCACGGAAGGTAAAATGAAGTTGATTGGAAATGACTGGTGTTTTGCTGATTCAGCCTGGGGAGGCAATAGCTACTCAAACATTTTATCCCCAATTACTTACCTATAATCATTTTAGCATACTCCTTGGGATGTTCTTCCAGAACCTATTTTATTGCAGCCAGCAAAAGGGATTGATCTATGTGCCTATTTGTTCTTTCTCTGAAATGTTATCCTTCATTCACAGAAGCAGCGAAGGAGGAGAGAAATAACTCAAGGGAAACTACATAGTTAGGCATGGGCCCATTCCTCTAGGCTTTTCTCCCAACCCTGTTCATAAACTACAAAAACAAACGTGCATTCCCCAAACACACAAAGTAATTGGTTGGGTTTTTTGGTTGTTGGTTTTATTTTGAGTAAGTATTCTGTATGAGTTAGTGACACAGCTAGGAATGGACACTAGTTCTGGTTTTGCTTTTGGGGAAAGGGTTTTTTGTTTTGTTAATCAAATGAGGAAAAAATGCCTGCTGCACTACTGGAGTAGCTTTAGCACTGTTAGAAAGACTTTCTATAAACCAAAGAGCCAGGTTCTTGCCGTGACTAGTTTAGCTCTTATACTCAGTAGCTGCTTCCCCCACCCACCCACCCAAAAAATTATTTCTCCTTTGCTTTTAAGGCAATGTCTAAGCTTGGCCTTCGTCAAGTCACAGGTGTAACCAGGGTTACAATCCGGAAATCCAAGAACATCCTGTTTGTCATCACCAAGCCCGATGTCTACAAAAGTCCTGCATCAGATACCTATATAGTATTCGGTGAAGCAAAGGTAAGCTAAGCTCAGGAATGTCTAGTTAGACTTTGGGGCCTTGCAATTTGAAGAACAGGACAGTTGCACTATGTTGTTTCTCTGCCACTGGAATGGGAGAAGAGTTCTAAAATTGGAGTGGGAAGCGGGGGGGGGGGGTCTATATCTGGAAATGCTGGTCGTTCTTGTCAGTAGTGCTTGCAGAGGCCTCCATTCTGTTCTGTGTTGCTTACTTACTTCAGTTGCAACAGCCTCACTGACCTCTCTCTTTCTCACCCATCTCTAACAGATTGAAGATCTCTCACAGCAAGCACAGCTGGCTGCTGCAGAGAAATTCAAAGTGCAAGGAGAAGCCGTTTCAAACATTCAGGAAAACACACAGACTCCCACTGTACAAGAGGAGAGTGAAGAGGAAGAGGTATGCCACATACTTTCTGAATAAGTAATTTCAGCCTTGAAACTGGCACTCACGGCCAACTCAGAGCTGTTGGTCTTTTTAATGTCTGCCTTGGTGAATGAGACAGGAAGAGCTTCTCCTGCTCATCAGGAGTTTCTTGATTTCTGACGTGTGGGGAGAGTATGGTTCTTCAGGTGGGTGTGAAGGGTAAAGCTCAGTGCTCCATGTGGTCTCATTATTCTTAGTGCCCCTATTGGGCAGCCTGCACTAACCAACCAACACCCTGCCTTCGTCTTGTGAGCTTTCAGCTTCCTTCGTATCCGCAGGTGCATACCAAACAGATTGCATATTTCATTGAAGTTTTCTCCTCCTTTTAAAATGCCTACAAGTGCCTCAGTGGCCTTCAACACACAAAACTCCAAGCCATGATTTGTTTCTCCAAAGGTCTGTTTGTTTTCCAGCTCTTCTTGATTTGTGCCTTTGTTTGGGATGGAGTAGCCAGACCATCCATGGTTAAGGCATAATTGTAAGTTCCCGCATAATGCCATAACCCAACAATAAACTGTGGCTTCAGATTATGGTTTGCTTATAGTGGACAGAGTTCTCACATTATGCTAAGCCATGGATTGATAAACTGTTGCTCATTATGCTAAGCCATGGATTAATAAACCATAATTCAGCATTATATGCAAACCAGGCTAGTGTGAAACCAGTGCACACACCCAACTTTTTCTTACCTGCTGCAGTCATGGAGAGTTGTCATGCACCCAGTCTCTTGTTTACCATCATCCCAGCTTCCTGTTTGAATTTGGGGAGGGGAACTTGATCTTATTCCCAATGAGCAATCTGCTTAGGTTCTCCTGCCCCCAAACTATTGTAATTGGTGTCACTTATAGAAATAATAGAGCCAGCTGCTCTCTTCTCACAGATATTGGCAGGTAGCAGGAGTGACATGGGCACTGAGGATGCATTTTTGATACAAACATTCTATTAATGATCATGAATGTCTTACACAGAATACCAGTGACTATAATTGTACTTGCACTGGACTTAGAAAACTTCCTCTTGTGGAATGAACTGGCATACATTTAGCTGCCTAACAGGCAGGGGCAGTTGTCAAAAGAAATTCATTACCATTCCAGGCTTGCATTTTATTGGCTCTTTGGTGTGGGCAGACACAGAGCCCAAATCAAGCTGTGGGGTTAGAGTTCTAAGCATATGTAGAGAGCACACTCACTTGCCTGTCTGTTTCAATCTATTCTTCCTTTCTATTTGAAAGAGCAGGTGAGTTTTTCAAGTTTACCAGGGACTCTTTAACAATAATTTGGGGTTCCCTGTGCCTGCTTTATCTTGTGGCTTTTGTAAACCTTAGGTTGAATAGATCCTTAACTTTTAAGGATCCATGCCATTTCTCTCCGACTTGGCAGAAAAGGGCTTGAACAACTGTCCTGAGACATTATCTTTCCCCATCCAGGTTGACGAGACTGGTGTCGAGGTGAAAGACATCGAATTAGTGATGTCCCAAGCGAATGTTTCCCGAGCAAAAGCCGTTCGTGCCCTGAAGAACAACAGTAACGATATTGTAAACGCTATTATGGTAAGTTCCTGCTTGAGTGACATTTATCACAGGGCCCATGGACCCAGAGCCTGGAGAACAGATGGCAAAAAGTTCATGGCCATTTTATGTCATCACTTCACCACCAGATTAATCCATTTCTTGGAAATGCACTGTTTTCTGTCTCTTGCCCCACTGCAGCTGCTTTTCATCAGTGACTATAACATTTAACTACCTCTCAGCATTGAAAGGATGTCTGGAAAAGTCAAATGCAACACAATGCATTTTAACACCTATGTTTTCAAGTATATCTAAACATAGCTTAATATTTACTAAGATTCGTTTGCAACAGTGTGCCTCGGACAACTGGATGTATAGATGGCATTTACTATGAAACGGTTTTTCCGGTGATTTTTTTTTATTGTGATCTTGAGCAGGGTATATGTATGCTGAACAATGTAACATCAGCAACTGCTTATAGGCATGTGTGGGTCAGTGGGTACTGTACACAAAACTGCTCTAGTGCGTAAGATCAGATGTATCAGATACACCCTACAAACAGATTTAACTGCCATGGTTTAGCTTTGCAAAATTTCTGAGAAGTGTCTGGTTGGTGTCAGTTGGCTTCTTCACAGAAATGCAGTTCCTAAGGTTCCAGGAGGGAGGACGAATCTTCTCAGTGGAAACCACTTGAAACATCTAGTGCAGATTTGTCTGTCCTTTGGGAACATAAATGCATCAGTTCTCAATGTTATATCCTAGGCAACTACTTGGGAACCAGGCACTTTTTTGCCTGTCCTCATCTGATTACTTTATCTTGCTGCTAGAGTTACGCCTGCTGTGTTCTGCATCCTCTCCATCTTAAATCTCAGGCAGCCATAACAATAGCCCCCCCAAGGTCATCCTGGCTGTGCAGGATAGATGAACAGTCGGCCAGTTTCCCACTGGTAAAATACCCAATAACCCAGCACTTCCACATCCCATCACCTATGGGAAAACAGAGTTTCTAATTCTCTTTTTTTCTGTTTTTTCCCCCAGGAGTTGACGATGTAGCCACCCAGGAAGGGGAACTTTTTGGTTGTTTCAGAGGAGAGTAAATTGCAGCTGAATTAAATTTGTACTATTTCTATCGATTAATAAAAGTTGTGGTTTCAAAGGTTTCACACATCTTTTTCTTAGTTGTCAACAACACATTCAATTACTCAAACTGAAACAATTAGTTGTGGTTTATGATCCTGGTGCCAGCATGCTCCCATTACCGTATTTTTCGCCCCATAGGACGCACCTAGTTTTTTTGGGGGGGGAATAAAGGGGGGGGATTTATTTCCCCCCCAGGTGCCTGACCCCAACCCCCAGAACAAGCTGCTATCCGCAAGCCGTGGGAGAGCTGCGCAAAGTCGCGCGGCTCTCCCACGGCTAGCGGAGGACTGCACGAAACCTGAAGCTTGGGGCGTGCTGAGCTCAGCGCGCCCCAAGCTTATGGGTGCCGGCAAGCTCTCCGCTAGCTGTGGGAGAGCTGCGTCTCCCACGGCTAGCGGATAGCTTCCTGAAGCCTGCATTCGCCCCATAGGACGCACACACATTTCCCCTTCATTTTGGGGGGGGGGGAAGTGCGTCCTATAGGGCGAAAAATACGGTACTTTTGCCTATTTACTGAAAAGATTCTACTAATTAAAGTTGCCTGAACCGCTGGGATATCAGAAAACTAAGAGATTGATAATAATGCTCCTTTAGAGATACAGTATGTGTTGTTCTGTTTCCTGGCTCTGAAGAGTTGACGCTTATTCTTAGCTCTAGTGTTTGTAGTTTAGAAATTGCCTGTTTTAAACAGTTTATTCAGGCACTCGTGCTGGGGAAAATTGAGTAACACTGGAAAGAACAGTCTGTTCTGTTTCATTGATCCCAGAGAACGACTTCTGCCACTGTGTGAGAGGTTTTGGTTGGTGTAATCCCCTTAGCAAATGCTATCTCATATTTGGGATCCTGCCATCACTTATCACTGCTTATTAATGTACATCCAAAGTTCACAGGCACAGACCCATTACATTACAAACAGTACAATAACTGCATGTTCAAAATACTTGTTTTGTTAGGAAGGTTGGTGCCTAGCACTACTGTGTAAACACTGCCTGGTTTTTCCCCTTCTTTTCTATTTGTGCAGAATTAACTGGTGGAAAGTGAAGTTTTAGGAAATATTCCCTAGAACAGGGTCCAGTATTTGTCCCAAAGACATGAGGGCTCTGTCAGGGTCCTGGAGTGGTGGTCCTGCCTCCTTCCCAAAGCGTGGTTAGTGCTTTCCCAGCTTTGGGAAGAAGGTGGCAGAGGGCTCTAGGACTCAGCCAGAGCTTCTTGCCTCCTTCCCAAAACTGGCATATTACTTTGGGAGGGCAGGGAGGGCATCACATTTTGGGCTTGCTCTCCCCTGTGCAACAAGGCAATGTGTGGCCCACAGGTTCCATGTCAAAGTACACTTGTGACCCACTTGGAACGAAAAGTTGGGCTGCCCTGCCCTAGAGGGAAAACATTTGGGAGAGGAAAGGGTAAAGCTCATGCCCCCAGCTTTTCTTCTCAGGATTCCAATCTCTCAAGGCTTCTTCTGATAAAAAAAAAAAAATGATTAAAATCCATCCATGTAAATGTATGCCTGAGAGAGGCAAGGTAACATGCATGATTTCTCCGTGCGTGGGAGAGTCGCCATCTATGTGAAGGACACAACTTGTCGCCAAGAAATTAATTCAAAATTGCTTGGTCTCCTACCCCAAAATAGTTTCTCCTTCAGGAACCTGTTGCCATTGAGACAGTTTGCATAGTTCATTTTATTTTGCTATTGGAGCTATATGCATAATCCTAGTTCAGCTAGACAGGCAAGGAGCTGGGCCACAATACTGATGCTGTTTCTCTCTCCACTGGAAATTTATCACAGCTACCTATGTCTCTGAAGGATATCTATTCTGTTCCCAGTTTTCTGTTGCTCCCCCCATCAGTAGGCATGGAGGTGGAGTTCACTCTTTAGGATCCCCCTCACCAAAAAGAAATAAATAAAACCTATTTCAAGCCTTGGGAGATTCTGCCAAGCAAGTTTATATCCCACCCACTTGCTTTTCAGCCCCATGTTGGCTCCACAGCTGTAATGACTCAGCACTTGAGTTTGTGCTGCTGTTGTTGTTTAGTCATGTCCGCCTCTTCGTGACCCCCTGGACCAGAGCACGCCAGGCACTCCTGTCTTCCACTGCCTCCCCCAGTTTGGTCAAACTCATGTTGGTTGGTGTATGTTTAATGCTATGTGCAATGTTCTGCACTTCTATGACAAATATTAAAGTGACAACTTAAAGTTAATTACTACTTCCCTCTAAATACGCTGAAGACTGTCTGAAATTGCATATAGATAATTCCTGAGAACATAAACAAAAAAATAGTGGCCTATAATGTGATTTAATAGAAAGATAAAGCTGAGATAATTTATTATCCTGAATGTGAGACAAAGCCATTCTGAAATCATTTTAAAAAAATACAAAAATACTGAACCTTTGAATCTTCAATTCATGTGTGGATTCTAGACAAAATTATAATACACCCTCCTCCATTATTATAATACAGCAATACAGTATAAGAACTATAAAGGTAATCTCTAAGCCATTCTGGACAGTCCCCAGTTCAGCACCTTCCATCCAACCGTGCATCTCTGTCCCAAAGACTAGGTGTGATCTTACACAGAAATTAACTGCAGTTGTCGGCATTTCTACTCAGAAGTAAGTTACACTGAAGTCAGTGAGGCTTACACCCTGGTATATGACATAGGAGGTGGGACTAAACTGAACAATCTAGTTGAAGCAAAATTTAAAATGGGCTTGATAGTTGGAAATGCTTAAGTCCTTCAACTGTTCAGCATTGACAGTATTTTCCCCATTTGTGCACCTTAAGTGTTTTTTAAACGGTAACCTTGATTTTACTATAATTCAGCAGACCGCATTTCTTTTTATGATACAGTGGTACCTCGCAAGACGAAAGAGTTTTTCGTTTTTTGAGTTGCTTCGCAAGATGAATTTCCCTATGGGCTTGCTTCGCAAGACGAAAATGTCTTGCAAGTTTCTTTCCTTTTTCTTAAAACCGTTAATACCGTTAAAACCGTGCTTCGCAAGACGAAAAAACTCGCAGAACGAATTAATTTCGTCTTGCGAGGCACCACTGTACTCTCCTACATCTCTTAAGAAGGCACTTCATCCCTGTCACTGTGGTAGGAGAGATTAGGACCTCAGCAAAATGCTGAGGATCTTCGAGGTCCTTCACACTGGGTTAGAGCCAGAGAACCATGAGCTGAAGAAAAATGGCTGCAAGTGCTGTTCCACAGACCCTTGTGCAAGATTTCACAACGTTTATACTGTCTCAAGAGGTTGCACAAGTGGGAGAAATGGCCCTTCTGTGAGCAAAAGAATGTGAAAGAGTACCTTTGGAACCAACCCGGTATTATTTATGTATAAACGAAATGGGCTAACAGACATCACTTGGACATCCCCAAAGGTGGTGGCAGGTTTATCAAAAAGACTTCTGGTCCTAAAGTCAGTAAAGATTTTAAATCAAAAGCAGCAGCCCCTTACCAAAGTTAGTGTTTGGCTACTCTGAACAGTCTGTTAAGATCAAATGGGATGTTCAGAACACTTGTTCTGCCATTATGCTACGCTCCTCAGGCGAGGTCTCTTAATTGTGTGCGCCTACAGAGAGAGACTCCCCCAAGGCAGCTTAGACTTAAATGATCATAACCAGACAATCACTACAATGAAAGCCGAGAACAGAAAAGTCAATAAAATGTTTGAACAGGAGCCAACACAGTAAAACCAAATCATACAAGGGAGAGAGATTCAGCACAAAACAAATGCTAGACATAATAAAGTAACAGAATTGGGGGGGTGGGGGCTTCTGGATGATTGATTGGGCTTAATTCTTAAAGCTGGGAACCATAATACAAGATTGCCACCCAGACTGGAATTGTTCCCTCTAATTAAAAATCTAGGTTGTAAGTGCTGACAAAATTATAGTCAAAACAGGGCACCTGAGAAACAGGATGGTATCGGAATGATCAGGGAACTCTGTGAGGTTTGTAGAAGTATCATTAGATACCTCTGCGGATATGCAAAACTTACTTTAAGAAAACCACTGAAGGTCATCCTTGTACAATAGCCATGGAATCTACACTATCAGTTGGAAATGGTAATTGGGGTGCAGGGTGAGAAAATGGAATGGAGTATTCTCAGGAGGGTCTAGCCTGTTGGTTGAAATTCTGAACAGAATTTCTCCTGGGTCCTGGATACATCATATCCTTTTGTTGCACTTCTAATGTTGTTACTCTAATGTTGGTAAGCATGAAGCGTTCTGCAAAAAAATTGAGCCTACCATTCACAGTATTGACTTCAGATTAAACATTTTAGCAGGACATTCCTCTGGCTCTGTCAAGATCTGACTTATTACATCATCATATATTTTAATAATTTTTATTTGCGTTTTTTACAAAACAATAAGTAAAAGGAAAAATGAAAACAAAACCGCAACCAAATAGGGACACAACACAAGACCCACATAAATGAGGTGCCTAAGCAACTGAACTACTCTAACATGGAAATTCTTCCACCTAGCAAACTTGCGATTCATGAATTACATAATCTAATTTTACACCCCTCAATCTGAATTACACTGAATGGAAAGCTGAATGGCGAAATGATCACTTTCTTATCTATCAATTGCTGAGAATGGGAGAGGAGAGACGCATCTGCTGGATACCACTTTCTGCACTGGCTGAAAGGGAACTATAACAAACTGCTGCATCATCTTCCTGTTGGAAATTATCATCAATTGATTATTGGTTTCATTTAAAAAGGAAGTCCTGAGCTTTGTTAATAATGTCCAGAGAAGTAATCGTATTAGTGTGCTGCAGCAAAATCAACAGTCTTGTGGCACTTTAAAGACAAGGTTATTGTGGTCACCCACAAAAGTGTATGCCATAACAAATTGGTTAAGTTGTTCCAAACTGCTGGCCCAAAGGAGGTTGGGTGCAGAAAAGCAAAGAAGGAAGCCAAATATGACAGCATGATCAGTTCTAGTGTCTTGTTAAAAAATATGTGGACTTGCAGCAAACCAGCCTGTCAGGTCTTCTAGTCTTTGCAGACGCGGGACAGGAACCACGGCAAGGAGATGGCTTGCAATTATGTGGACATTCTTTATACACAAAGCAGCCTATGTCATTTCACCTGACCAGATGAGGGCATAGGTGGCAAATACCCAAGCCTTAAAGATCTTTCTGAGCTCAGAGCCCAGCACCCCAAGCCCACAAATAAGGATGGCATTAAAGCATGCCAATTAGCTTATATCAAAGCAAATGAATATAAACATACATGAGCTCATTGCTACAGCCACTACCAAATAATTGTGGGGTTATCTTGACTACCAAGATGGCGTTAGCAAAGCTTCTGGAACGGTTCGCCTTGGTTCAACACATGTCTGTTAAGGTGCCAGAAGATGCTTCATTGATTTTATTAATAATGGGATCCTTAGAAATGTTCCATACTAGAGAGGAAAAATTGCATTAAAAGCCCCAGTTCCTAAAGAAAAGGCAAATCATCACAGTTGCCTGCCACCAGAATTATATATTCAACTTTCATGGTCTGAACTTCAAACAAGACACTGTAGTTTCCTCCATTAACAATACTTCAGAGTACCTGCTGAGAAGATCCATACAAAAGCAACGGTACCAAAACGAATTAATAAATAATAATAATAATAATAATAATAATAATAATAATAATTTATTATTTATACCCCACCCATCTGGCAGGGTTTCCCCAGCCACTCGGGGCAGCTTCCAACAAAATATTAAAATACAATAGTCTGTTAAACATTAAACGCTTTCCTAAACAGGGCTGCCTTCAGATGTCTTCTAAAAGTCTGGTAGTTTCTTTTCTCTTTGACATCTGGTGGGAGGGCGTTCTGCCTGGTTTCCTGTAACTTGGCTTCTCGCAGTAAGGCCCTCGGCACTGGACCTCAGTGTCCGGGCAGAATGATGGGGGTGGAGATGCTCCTTCAGGTATACTGGACCAAGGCCGTGGAAAATAAGAAATATTATGGGGAGGGTCCAAATGCTGTCCTCACTCAGGGCACCATATTAGCAAAGTCGGCCCCCGTGCTAGTGCAACAGGGCTTTCCCTGTCTCTCCTCCTCTCATACCCCCGCATTGGCTGAGACTCACATAGTAGGCAAACTCAGGCCCGGGGGCCGGATCCAGCCCAATCACCTTCTAAATCCGGCCCACCGACGGTCCTGGAATCAGCGTGTTTTTACATGAGTAGTCCTTTTATTTAAAATGCATCTCTGGGTTATTTGTGGGACATAGGAATTCATTCATTTCCCCCCCCCCCCAAAAAAAAATATAGTCCACCCCCCCCCCAAAGGTCTAAGGGACAGTGGACCAGCCCCCTGCTGAAAAAGTTTGCTGACCCCTGGCTGAGAGGGTCAGGAGAAACCCCATAACAGCATGCAGGAGGTAGGTGGGGAGAGGGTGGATCATTCCCTCAGGCAATCTGCTTAGCACTATGTTGAATTATTCTGAGTATGTCCAGCTGCTCACAGATGTTTTTACAAAGGCTGCTGCAGCTCTAGCCCTCTGGGAGAACTACATCCCCTAAACATTTAGTGGGCTGGCTCTGGTCCATCACCCAACACACAGGAAGAAGGGAGGGAGGAGAAAAATCCCAATCTAACCACCACATAGTTCTTGGGCTTTCTTCCTCCCCTCTCCTCTCCACAGTCCCTTTTCTCCTAAATTAAGGAGCAAAGAGCTATTGCATAGTTGATGGGAGGCAGTGCTCCTCCTTGGCTCCCTCCCCTAATATTTATGGGTACAGGGCTAGTGGCTTGGGCTAGAGCTTTCCCTTCCATGAGCAATGCCCCATCGGCCCTGGTCTGATATTGTTTAAAGTTGCCCCCCCTGCCCCCGGCAAAGCAGCACATGCCCTATCTCTGTGGCAGTTTCATTGCGGCAATGATATGCACTGGGTGTTATGTTCAAATGCTCCCTGCAAAATGTCAAGGATGCAAGAGGTAGGCGTTCCCGGGCTCAAAAAACTTTAAACCAAAATAGTAGTAGTAGCTCTTTTTCTGAAAAGCATGGTTTCCCTTTTCTTGTTTTGGTTCATAATTATTTTATTGAAGAAAAATAATGCAGAATTAAAAAAAAATATACAGTGACTGTTCACGTTAGTGTAAGAGCAAAGAAAGAAAACAAACAAATTTTCAATGCAAACCTGAATGCGGAGCTTTCTTGATAAGTTATTTGGTTTCTTAGGGTTTCCACTGAGAGAAGCTCACATGGTCTGCTAGAAGGATCTTCTCATAACCCTTTACCTGCTTTAGTAACCCATCCCATGGCTGTGAACTGCAATCTGTAATCTATTCTAGCTTTAAGCCCATTTAAAATGGAACTAAACTGATCGCTGCAAAGCGCCTCTTATGGCAGCTTACTTGTAAGAAGCACCATGCCAAAGGAACTGTGCAAATGTGCATTATGCTGCGAAAACAGTTATTTTGACATGGTGCTGCTTAGGAACAAGCACACGGCTTTCCCAAAACAATTCTGGGATCTGTAGTTTACCCCTCACAGAGCTGAAATTCCCAACATCCTTAACAACTGATGCTTCCCAGGATTCTTTGAAGGAAGCCATGTGCTTTAAACATATGGCGTGGATGTGACCCTATAATATGCGCACACACCCGCTGGGAGAAGGTAAGGTCAAGGTTCATGGGCTGGGACTCAGAGATATAGTAGGCAGACGGTCAAGTGCTTTGAGCAGGCCTAGCAGAATTGACTTTTCCCCTTTGAATGGCAAACGCATGGGCACATACAAACCCTGTGAACCCCCTTGCTAAATATCACAAGCTGTTTCTGAAACTCCTCCTAGTCTCAAAAGGAGATCTTGGAACTAGGGGGCTGCTGTCTAACAAACCTAAGTACAAATCTGCAATGGGAAACAGGATTCAAATTCATGATTTAAAGTGGCCATTTTCCCTGGCGATTTAAATCATTATTACAGTGGTACCTTGGGTTAAGAACTTAATTTGTTCTGGAGGTCCGTTCTTAACCTGAAACTGTTATTAACCTGAGGTACCACTTTAGCTAATGGGGACTCCTGCTGCCACGCCGCCGCCGTGCAATTTCTGTTCTCATCCTGAAGCAAAGTTCTTAACCCGAGGTACTATTTCTGGGTTAGCGGAGTCTGTAAGCTGAAGCATCTGTAACCTGAAGCGTATGTAACCTGAGGTACCACTGTATTGAAATAATAATAAAGTGTGTACCCTCCCACCCCCACACACTGACCCTTCCAGCTTCCCCCTTCTTGCTTCACACGCAGACATGCTGTGGTGACCAGTTGCAGCTATAAATAAAGGTAACACTGTACCTTAATTTAAACCAGGAATGGAGGAGTGTCTTGTGGTCCTCCTGATGTTCTTGGACTCCCATTAGCCCCAGACAGCATGGCCCAATGGCAAGGATGATGACTGGAGTTTTAGTCCAACAACATCTGGAGGGTCACAGCTTCCCCGCTCCCACTCAGAACCAATCTACCCAGTGAGGAGAGGCTGTAGCTCAGTGGTAGAGCCTATGATTTGCATGCAGGAAGTTTCGGGTTCAATCCCATGCCTTTTCCTGCTAAGAGGATTTCAGGTGACCTCTCCTTCACTGCAGGTGGACAGCCATCTGTTGGGAGATGCTTGAACTCTGGATTTCCTGCATTGAGGATGGGATTGGACTAGCTTCTAGTAAGGCTAGATGGATCAATGGTCTAAATGTGCACAGCACCTTCATCAAACCACTGTCAAAGAGTGCTTCTGTCTTACTGTGCCCGTGTTGGATGAATCCCCAGCAGAGAGCAGGTTTCTCACAACTTGCTTTAGTTTGATACCTGCCGAAGGAACGAGAAGACAATAGCACTTTAGGGCATTAAAACCAAAACTGCATTACAACCCAGATGTCCTCTTCCTGTGTTCTTTCAAGCCTCTGGCAGCCACAGTCCTGCAGTACGTCTTAAACATGCTCTGGATTTGGCAAGTCTCTCCCTTAGACCCATGATGTTTAACATCCTCCCAGATTGAGCTGATAGTCAGGGAGCCCTTTCTTTGCATCTGCAGTAGTTGTGGGTGGGTGGGGGTTGAGCTCTCAGGAAGTTTTATCTGAGTTCCGTCCCTTCCTTCAGGGAAATGTCTGTTGTGAGGGAAAGAAAGGGAGGGGAGCAAAAACAGAACATACGGTTCCTTATAGGTTCCCACTTATTCCTTATATTTTACGTTGTTTAGTCTGGTGGTCAAGGTGAGGGACCAGGTAGGACCCTGTGCCTCAGACCCAAGATTGGCCCAAGACATTTTGCCATGTGAGACAAACCACAAAATGGTGCTCCCTGCCAGAGAAGAAGTAGTGAGCAAAGTTCTGCATCAGGAACAAGGGTGGGAGGAGTCCAGAAGCACCTCCTAATCACCAAGAGACCACTGTAGAAGCAGCATGGGGGGGTTGCTGAGGGGACAGCAGATGTGGCCTCCAAGGAGCATGCCATAGCTGTTACTGCCACCATGGCAGTGGCAACTGGCAATGCATTCCTTGGTGGGTGGATCTGCTGCACCTTGGAGTCTGCCACCTGAGGCACTTGCCTCACCTTGCCTCATGGGTGGGCTAGGCCTGCCCTAACTACTAGAAGACTTGGGGCAGAAATCCTTACCCCATTACCTGGGAGAATCCCCACTGAATTGAGTATGACTTCTGAGTAGGCATGGTTAAGTTTGCACTGTTAATCAGATATATCCCTCTAACTTCTGTGGTTGGTGGCATGATTAGTGTTGAGAAGAGACCAAATTAACAGAAGTGCTCCCAATAAAGGAAATACAGTTGGTACCTCAGGTTACATACGCTTCAGGTTACAGACTTCACTAACCCAGAAATAGTGCTTCAGGTTAAGAACTTTGCTTCAGGATGAAAACAGAAATCGTGCTCCAGTGGTGTGGCAGCAGCAGGAGGCCCCATTAGCTAAAGTGGTGCTTCAGGTTAAGAACAGTTTCAGGTTAAGAATGGATCTCCGGAACGAATTAAGTACGTCACCAGAGGTACCACTGTACACAGAAGGGGGGAATTGAGGAGGAAGAGGCTACTGTAGTCTAAGTAGGAGGTAGCCAGTCGGAACACGTACAAAAGTTTTGGCCAAAGTTTCAGACAGGAGTATTGCAGTACAGTACTAACACAGGTGGCTCGGTCCAGTTTTCCTGAAGGAGCGTCTCCACCCCCGTCGTTCTGCCCGGACACTGAGGTCCAGTGCCGAGGGCCATCTGGCGGTTCCCTCGCTGCAAGAAGCCAAGTTACAGGGAACCAGACAGAGAGCCTTCTCCGTAGTGGCACCTGCCCTGTGGAACGCCCTCCCACCAGATGTCAAAGAGAAAAACAACTACCAGACTTTTAGAAGACATCTGACAGCAGCCCTGTTTAGGGGAGCTTTTAATGTTTGACAGACTATTGTATTTTAATATTTTGTTGGGAGCTGTCCAGAGTGGCTGGGGAAACCCTGCCAGATGGGTGGGGTATAAATAATATATTATTATTATTATTATTATTATTATTATTATTATTATAACACACTTCTGATAATATGTTAGAGCATTTGCACCCTACTCTTTAGCCAAAAAGTGACCCAGCACAATGGTGGTGCCAGAGCATGCCAATACCCATATCCCCACCCCAACAAACCAATAATGATGTTAACAACACTGACAACATTGCTTATAAACTTTATACCCAACACAGGCGTCACGAAGGCGCTTAACACCGTCTCACTGACCACTCCCTACCACAAACGATAGGTATGGTTCCCCTTTAACACATATTTTGCCCAAGAAGACAATAAGAAGAATCTGCCAACAGCATACAAATCAATCTGGCTAGCCTGATCCAAAAATACGTAGCCACACACCCCACTCTCACAAAAAAACTAATCTCACTACAGCCAACCAAAGACAACCAACCACACTCTAGGCCACCCCCAACCTCTCTCACCACCAAGGAAATACAACAAGCAAATAGTAAGAGAACCCAGACAGGTGACACTAATACAAAACCTGACACATACCCTAAGTACAGTCAAACCTTGGTTTTTGAATGTCTTGGCTGCCAAATGTTGCGGAAGCTGAACGTTGAAAACCTGGAAGTGAATGCTTCTGTTTTCGAAACGTGCCTCGGAAGTCGAATGGCTTCTGAGGCGCATTTTTCATTTCCCCCCATTGACTTTGCAGCCTGTCTGTCTGGAACCCTCTGATCCTTGGTTTTCTAACGTTTCAGAAGTCGAATGGACTTCTGGAACGGATTACATTCAAAAGCTGAGGTTCCACTATAGAAGCATAACCACCCAACCCACCCAACCCACCCCTCCCCCTCTTCCCCTCTCTTTTCTTCCTAACCTAATACTGAATGCAATAAAAAAATATCTACATGGTGCCTAGGAAACAACTTGCACCTTAATATCAGCAAGACAAAGGAGATGGTGTTGGACTTTTGGAGGAAGAGAGAACTAGCCCCACTGTACATCGGGGAGGGCTATGTGGAGAGAGTCTCTTCCTTTAAATTCCTAGGAGTTTATCTCAGTGAAGACCTTACTTGGAAAATCAATACAACCCAGGTGGTTAAGAAAGCCCAACAGAGACCATATCTCCTCAGAGTATTGTGAAAGAACGATGTCAATCAACATTTGATGATCTCCTTCTACCGGTCCACAATAGAAAGTGTCCTTTCATACTGCATCACGGTGTGGTACGCTGATTTGACATCAATTGATAGGAAGTGCCTACAGAGGGTAGTGAAAACAGCACAAGATATTATGGGCTGTCCCGTGAATCCGCTGGATGAAATAGCGGAAGAACGTTGCCTCAGGAGAGTGAGGAAAATTCTCAGGGATGATTCACACCCTGGCCGGCACTTTCTTGATCTCCTGCCCTCAGGTAGAAGATATAGAAGCATGATTAGTCGCAGGGTAAAGAACAGCTTCTATCCGTGGGCTGTTAGGCTGCTGAATGAAAAGATAACAACAGGGCAACTGACTTTCGGGTTTGGTGTGTGTGTGTCAATAAACGAGGGGAATTAAGACTAAGAGAGCTGGGGGGGTGCTCGTGTAATCTCACTGTATACAAGTTGTACAAGTGACAATAAAGTATTTCAATGTCTCACAACAAATGAAACTGATCTGTAGAAAACACAACTTGAAAAAAGAAACAATACGTGTATTTTTGTAAACCACAAAATCTTTAATAAAAATATATATATTAAAAACCAGTGGGTTTGTACATTTCTATTGTTTTAATTTAACTAGGGCAAAAGTGATTTTCAGAGTTCTGTTCAATCTGCATCTGGATTTCAACAAAGCAGCTACTTTGTCCTCCTCCCCCGCCTATGGTAGCAAAATCTGAAGATACAGGAAATAGGCCCCCACAGAGGCCTCTCTGCTAAAGTTGTCCATAAATCTCTGCATTTGTTTGCACTGATACCTGATATTTATACATCAACTCTGATATCTAAAACTCTAATTTCTGATCACATAACCATAAATCCTCCCCGAGTCAAGGAAATAAATTTGCATTAAACAAGTTATTTTAAAGAGAGCTGCTGGTTCCACCACCTATGAGTAAATTCCTCAGTGTTCAATGCAAATAAATGGGTGGAATACAACATAATGCTATTAAGAACCTTCAGTCTGCACAAGCATTTCAACTTGCCAGACCAAACAATGCCTCCTCTCCCTGCATTTGCCTAATTTGGTGAATCCTGCCCTACATATTTATCATTGACTAGTTCTCCCTGCTTCTCTAAACCCTCAGATTAGAGGAAACCAAGACAGAATTGCAACTGAAGTCTGTAGTGGGGAGGGTGGACGGCAGGAGCAGTCTGAGCAAGGAAACAGGTTTCCAACAACACCGTTAATTTATTGATCAATTATTTTAAATGTATAGGGAGGCTGTAGATAGTGATCAAACCCCAGCACCCCTCCTGCACACATGTTATGTATGCAATATATTCTTAATAATATTCTGTCATAGATTTCCAGATCAAATCTGGGCTAGTCAATTACCTGGCAATGTTCCCCCTCTGTAAAATGTGACCCGTGTTCTCAGAACGGTATAACTATAGTTCATATATGTATCTTCTAGGAGTTGCCTTTGTAACTTGCCTTGCTGTTTGGGGCTGAAATCATGTGCACAGCTAAACCTGCTTTGCACATGAACCACACGATTACTGGGAGTATGTCATGCTGCTGCCAACATTCCTGGATTGTCCACTGACTTTCTGCAAGGCCTATGCATGTGCAACTGCTTATACATAGGCTTCCATGAGATCAGGACACACATACCATGGAGTCCCAGCCGTGTGGATGCTGTCTTCAGACATGTTCTAGCAGCGGGCCCAAAGCCAGTAATCACTCAATGTGGCTTCACACAAGGGCCTTCTTCATGGTGGCACCTCGCCTATGGAATGGCCTTTCCACTGACCCTTATCTTAAGTTCTACATGAGTGTAGGGAACAACCATGTCTGTGCCCTTAGCTTACACAATGTGGAAATCATACTTAGTCAACTACAGATGCATCCACTGAAGACCGGCAGACCTTCCCAAAGGGTTGGTGAAGATTGTCTCTGACAGCTTATGATCACAGTGGACTTTGATATGTTGTTGTTGCTGTTGTTTAGTTGTGTCCGACTCTTCATGACCCCCTGGACCAGAGCACGCCAGGCACTTCTGTCTTCCACTGCCTCCCGCAGTTTGGTCAAACTCATGCTGGTAGCTTCAAGAACACTGTCCCACCATCTCGTCCTCTGTCGTCCCCTTCTCCTTGTGCCCTCCATCTTTCCCAGCATCAGGGTCTTTTCCAGGGAGTCTTCTCTTCTCATGACCTAGGTGGCCAAAGTATTGGAGCCTCAGCTTCAGGATCTGTCCTTCCAGTGAGCACTCAGGGCTGATTTCCTTGGACTTTGATACAGCATTGCCAAAAACACACTGATGGAACTCATTGGTAGCAAAGACAATGCCGAGGAATTTATTCTCAATCAGTGCATGAATCTGTTCAGTGCATGAATCTGTTATGTTGGAGATATACATCCAGGTCATCTTTAGATGCAACAGCCTGGATTTCCACCCCCGCCTTACTCAGCCTCATTTCTAAAGACCTGTTATGAGGGTTCAGACAAAATCACAGAGGATCAAGCTATCAAGGGTTACTAATCATGATGGCTGTCCTGTCTCCATAGATACTCACTAGAGTATCGCTAGTGAGAGAGCGATGTGGCCTTTCCATAGGCATTTGCTAGCCACTGCAAGCACAGGATCGGCGGGCCGGCCCATCCATGAGGCAAACTGAGGTAGCCTCCTCAGGTGGCAGAATTCAAGGAGCCCCTCCATGCTCCCCCCCCGCTGCAGAAGCTTCTGGGTTTGGGCGAGATATCGCAAGACCTCCATGAAATCACGCCCTGAGGCACCTCTTAGCCCCAGGAAAGCCAGCGCAAGGCTGCTGCCTGACCAAAGAGAGCCAACTCTGGAGAAGGAACAGAGGTAACTAAGACGGGTCCTTCCCCCCCCCTCCTTCGGCGCATGCGCGTGAGGGCAGTTGGCAGCGGGGGGGGGAATCTAGAGAGGACGAGAACATGCGCGAAAGACTGGCAGAGCGCATGCGTCGTCGTGTAGGAGTTAGAATAACGCTCGCGAGGGAGAACATGCGCGAAAAGCAGAGACGCGCACGCGCGTAGGGGAGAAGGGCCGTAGGCGCGTGCGCAGCAGCCAGCGATCCGGCGCCGCTTGGCTTGGGTGCGCGCGCGGTTGAGGACAGCGAAGCGGCGGCAAAGGTGGCGGCGAGTGGCGCGCATGCGCTGTTCCGGCGTCTGGCTTTTGAAGGGGGGGGGAGAGAGAGAGAGGGTAGTGTAAGGAAGGGAGGGAAGAGGGAGGGGGCGGGTATTTTGCTGCGTCACCGCCCGCTTGGAAGCCGCCGTTGCCTGAGAGGGAGCGAGGAGGCAGAGCGGCGGGAGGAGGCGAGGGGGGGGGGAGAGGGAGAGCGCGAGAGCGCGCGCGCGCAGTGCTTTGTGGGTAGCAGGCCTGAGCCTTTGAGCCCTGAGAAGGAGTCCCGGCCGCCGCCGCCGCCGCCACAGCCGCCTCCTCACCTTCGCCCGAGGGTCTTCCCACCCCGACGCCGCTGGTTTCTGGCCGAGCCCTTCGGAGAGACGGAGAGGAGGAAGAGGACACGCGCTGCCGCCGCCGCCAACGCCGTCCGCCATGTGAGTGAGTGAGGCGGGGCGGGCTGAGCTAATCTGTTGCTGGGCCGGAGGAGGGTCGGGAGGGATTGGGGTCAGATGGAGGCAGATCAGCCGGGACGGAGCTCCCGAGGAAAGGGAGGAAATACGGCATTCTCTCCCGCTCCCCTTCGATGGTATTTAAGGAAGGAGCGGGGGCAGAAAGCAGCCCCAGACGCGGGGCTTAACCTGCGCCAGCGCCCAGCCCACGCCTCTCGGCGCCCTTCCGGAGAAAGAGCTGAGGGGGAAAGCGCCCCTGAGCAGGTGCAGAGTGCGCTCGCCTCGCCGCCGCGCTTCGCGCAGGAAGGTTCCCAGGGTCACGAGGGCGGCCTTTCCCGGGCACAGCCGTTCATTTTATACTCTGCACGTTTCCCTGTAGAGTTGAAGCGCTGCCCAGGCGTCCCCCTGGCGGGCCCGGCGCTGGGAAGGTGGGAAAATGGGTGGTTATTGTGCGGCATCCGGAATTAGGAGGCGGAAGCATGTGCGAGGCAATGCCGGGAGGAAAATGGATGCTCGTTCAGGTCGGGGTTGGAGCTAGAAGTTGACTTTCATTTTTGGAAGGGCTGTGAGGTGGCTTATTTTTTTTAGGTGCTAGGAGCATAGCTGTCAACCTTTCCCCTTTTTTTAAGGGAAATCCTATTCGGAATAAGGGAATTTCCCTTTAAAAACGGGAAACGTTGACAGCTATGGCTAGGAGAGGCAAGGGCGTAAAGGAAGTTAGGCAGCAAGATTTGAGAGGGAAAGAAATAGCGCATCATGTGAGACCCGGAGCTGGATGCAGTGGGTTGTGAGCTCTGGGACATAATGCATGTGGTTAGGGCTGGAATGTTGTAATATGACTCGCTTAACCCTGTACACTAAAGAAGATAGCCGTCATTGGGGAATAGGCATAGGAAGAGGGCAGGCAGGGCTTGGGAAAGGAAGTAAAGCTGGCATAAATAATGGGACTGTAACATACCTAGCGAGATGTTTCACCGGAGGAATAGTGAAATGAGAAGTGTGTGGGCAAATCGTTTGCAACTGTTCCATTGCAGAGAGAGAGAGCTGAGATTGTACAGCCACATGAGTAAAAGGCAGAAGAAGTGCTTTTGCAGGCAGTAATATGCTACATCTGTAACTTTAAAAAAGATAATTTGTAGTGTTAATTATCTTATAGTAACTTTTGAACCCTCTGAGTTTGGGACCTTATGTCTTTTCCAGGGCTGTCTGATGTCGAGAGGCATGCAGAGGGCTTACACATGCACTGTGCCCTAACCACCTCAAGCAAGAATAATTTCTGTTCTGTTAGGGCGAAGTCATAAACACCTGTTATTTCCAGTCAGGCTTACGAATGCCTATTTTCCTTCTCTTTCTAAAAATGGAGGGTACTACTGACCTTGCTAGGTGCTCTCCAGCTTTGAGGATATCTTTTTTTAAAAAAAGGTCTGGAATGACAAACTTTGTTCCAGTATGGAGAGTGGTCTCCTGTTGGGCATAGAGAAGCTGCTGTCCTATCTCATTGTGGTTTGGGAAGAGCTACTGCCTTGTTTTAATTATGATTTCCTAGCATCATTACCTAGGAAGGTTCAGAGATGTCCTGTTGTGCTTCTCATGTAATACCCCATGGGTTAGTTGAATTTGTGCCCCTGACCCACAGATCCTTGTATAGTGTGCAAAATATAGTATGATTGCATCTTGCATACTTGTGCATTTTCAACTGTACATGGTTGAAAGTCAGCCAGTTGAAATCCAGCAAATTACATGCAAGGCAGAGAGGTTAAAAGTTCCTTTTGCAATGAGTTTTCCCCTTGGTTTTGGGTATGTGTTTTTGCATATATGTGCCATCCCTGGAATGTAACCCCCATGCAAGTCACACTTGTACTGTAAAACCTTGTGCGAACGTTTCTATACACAACTATAGAGCAGATTGTTGATGCTTAGAGGTGGGTAGTTCAGACAGTGAAGATTAGAAGGCAGAGGGGCCAAACCAAAAGGCTTGAGAAACACTATTCTAGGTAAAATGAATTGTAAATGAAAGGTGAAGAAACAGGTAAAACATGTTGCCTGAAAGCTGTTAATGAAATAAAATGTTATTTGATATGCAAACACGTGCACTTATAACTCCACTCAAGAGTCTTGCAACAACAAAAGGTGGATCTGGAGGAAGGAAGGAACTGAGACATTTTGCCTGTGCTCATTATTGGTACCATGACCAAATTGCTTCTAATTTTGTCTTGAGTGAAGAAGTTAAAGTGGTCTAGAAGGAAGACAGAATCTAATGACTGGTGAAATGGCCTTGCTAACAGTGACTCAGTTCAGAGGTAATGACAAATAATAGACAACTTTTTGCCAGAACCTTGGGCCTGTTCAAACATGTTCCCAGTTTGGTCAAGCAATAGTTTGTGCAAGCAATCTGAAATGTGCAAACTGTGTTTTGCTTCCAAATCAGAATTGGAAGCCCACTTCAGACTCTGGTTTTCAATTCCAGTATTTAGGCAATTGATGCCTTTTGCAAGCAGCCATTTGCAGGATACATATATACCTGTAAACAATGGTTTAACCAAGGGAGCAAGGATGGAAATTCAAGCATTTAGGAAGGCGTATGCATACTTGAGGCTAAGATCGAAATGCCCAAACCATGATCTTCTCTTATGTAAGAATTGAGTCGTTGTCGCCAGAGAATGCCCATCTGCAAGTCTTTAGACAAACTTGTTCAGCCATTATCAAGCAATATGTCATTATGCATCCAGAAAAGTAGGCTTTGTTTTTTTAACCTTACTGAAGCTATAGTTGTAATATAGAATTGCAGCAGTTATTCCTCCTCCCACTTTCTCTATATTACTAAACAGCCCCTCTAAAGGTAAGTCAACCTCCTACATAGTTGATGCTGATTGAAATCGCCAACATGTTCATGTAGGACTTGGATCCAGAGTCCTTAATTGAAAGCAAATGAAATAATTAGCTGTGTTGACAGAAATACATACGTTGAGAGACAGTATGAGAATGGGATGCTCTTAGCAGGCATGCATCTATTTGTCACTTTAAATACACTGGTTATGGGTCCACAAACAGTCGCCCCCCAAATAACTGCTTAAGCATTCTGGAATATGGCCTCTAGTTCCCTAACACTGATTCAGTTTAAATGTTACCCATGGTTCTGTTCAAATGAAACATGCATCTTCCTCCCCCCCCCCCCTTTTTGATCTATTTTAATATCTGTCAGGTAGGATCAGAATACACATTAAAAAGCAAATTGAAATGGTTCTTCTGTGTAAAGGAAACAGAGTGGCAAATAAGGCAAGTGAGGACATGTGTATACAAAAGGAACTTCCATCACATTGTAGTGTGACCAATTTTAAGAACATATGGCAGCAAGGGGCAGGTCTGAGTGCTTTCAAGTTCTAAAGAACAAAATTAACTGACAGTGGTCAATGAAGCTATGGGGAAGAAGGAAACTGCTTCTCTCCCTCAGAGTGTATTCTGCACTGCAATGCTGTCATTGTGTAAAACCATTTTAATTTGTCCTATGCTGTATAAGTGAATAACTGCCATTTACTATTGTGTAAAAAAAAACCAAAGCAATACATTTGGAGCCATGGTTGTGGTGAAGGAAAAACCTGTCTCTACTGCTGACATTGGATAGCCCAACCTCCACTAAGTGGGACCAAGTGGGGAGAGATAGAACAGGTCTGTGTATGCAGAGCACACACTTGTTTTATATCTCATAAGAAATCCTTGCTATAGTGTATAGACACTCTCTGCTCATCATTATTGACATTTTGCTAGCTCTGAAGAGCTGCCAAGAGGTTGCTTGGGAAGGAACTGCTCTTCTACAGCAGGAAAAAAAAAATCATCCACAAACCCTGATTTACCAGTACTATGCTGTTTCCCTTTGCTTCTTGAAAGTAATGAATATTCCTAGCAACTTCCAAGGGTAGAAAATAGCCAGCACAAGAAGGTAGTGGGACAGGCAGTTTTAAATGCAACAAGGGCTGAGATGAGGCTTCAGCTCTTAGCAACAGAAGCACATTCAGGTAAGTATCTGTTACCCCTAGTAAATGATACACAACAGGCTTTGTTGAGTGGGTGGGAATGAAGCTGCTATGTGGCTACATAATACTCAGTGTTTTGTGATATGATGTGCAATCAAGGTATCAAAAGTGTGTGTGTGTTTTTGTGAGAGGGGGGAGTGTGCATGGAGTCTTATGGGTTTAAGTACAAATGTAGTGATGCATGTGTGAACTGAGATATGGTGTACATTAGTGGTTCCCCATTGGTGGGTTGCAGACCCCAGGGTGCCCATGTAACCCACCCAAGGGGTCCGTGGCACCAATCACATAACAAAAACTACCATAGAGATAACAAAATGTTCAAGTAGGGAGGGGGTCTGTGTCTTGGCTTTTGAAAACGGGGTCCACAGTACTCATCTTACTGAGAAACACTGGTGTACATGATTGTGTGATTGAGGAAATTGAGAACATAGAAAACTGCCTTATATTGAGACAGACTGCTGATCAATCTATTTCAGTATTGTTTTACTGGCTGGCAGTGGTCTTGTAGGATTTTGGGCAGAGTCTTTCCTAGCCCTGTCTAAAGATGCCAGAAATTGAATCTTGGTCCTTTGCACACAAAAGGTATGTGCTCTACCATTGAGTTTGGCCCTTTACGTTGTAGTTGGAACTTATGTGGGATGTGTGGCTGTGCATGTAAATGAGGAGAGATATGTGGACTTCAGAGTGCACATGATATGTAAGGCTTTAGTAGTAATCATATTTAAAATGTAGTAAGATGCAAGCCAATTCTCCACCCACCTGAGGTTTAATTGCAAGTTGTCCCCTGTCTTCTGTAATTTGTTTTTATTAAAGTGTGTTGTTTGTCTGAGGCCCCTCTGGGTAAAGCAACTTATGATTGCACTCAAAGTGAACTTACCCTAAATCAAGATTTATTTTATGGTTTGTTTTATCTTAAAGGTTCCAGACCAAATATATAAAATTATTGTAAACCATGCTTAGTTTGGGGCTTTGTTTGATCTTGCTAAATCTAGAGCAGATACAAAGAACTGAAAGCAAGATCTCAATGTTGCCAACAGATCATACCTTTTAAGCATAGAGGGCACAAGCCAAAAACATTGCTTTGTAGAGCACTGGGTGTTGAGTCTGAATCAAAGAACTGCTCAGTACGGCACATCAGTGCTGCTGCTGAGATCTCAATATCTGCAGTTGACTAGAACTACACTTGCATCTAGCAACAACATCTGGATGTTTAAGCAACATTTGAGGAGTGAGCATGTAGGGGATCTGCTGGTCCCAGCCAATGTATGCCTCCCCAAACATATTATGTTGAATGAGAAGTTCTGAAGGAGACTTCTAACAGTGCTGAAAAGCCTCCATGCAGTTTGAAAACCTGAAAACGCAGGGTTCCAGATTGCACATATGCTTATGTGTTCAGATGATCTAAAAAGAGAGCAAAAGCTTATTTAGTCAAATAACATGTTGTTTAGTCGTGTCCGACTCTTCGTGACCCCATGGACCAGAGCACGCCAGGCACTCCTGTCTTCCACTGCCTCCCACAGTTTGGTCAGACTCATGCTGGTATCTTCGAGAACACTGTCCAACCATCTCGTCCTCTGTCGTCCCCTTCTCCTTGTGCCCTCAATCTTTCCCAACATAAGGTCTTTTCCAGGGAGTCTTCTCTTCTCATGAGGTGGCCAAAGTATTGGAGCCTCAGCTTCAGGATCTGTCCTTCCAGTGAGCACTCAGGGCTGATTTCCTTCAGAATGGATCGGTTTGATCTTCTTGCAGTCCATGGGACTCTCAAGAGTCTCCTCCAGCACCATAATTCAAAAGCATCAATTCTTTGGCGATCAGCCTTCTAATAACATACTGTGTGAATAACACCCTTTTGATATTACAAGCCCCTGAAACGTGTTGAGTCCAGTTTCTACTTTAAAATGCCTTTGAGTATCTTTAATAATAGCCAAATACAGATGTGTTAGAAAATGGGGTTGATAGCTGATAAGAGCCCATTAGCTCTGGAGTTGAACTGGTGTTCTTTTCCATCTAAAAGTTCCAGGCCCCCTTGTATTCACAACACACTGCAATAAGCAGTTCTGGATAGGAGACGGGAGATTATTGAGGACCATCAGAGTAAAATAAAAAGCTGTACAGTGGTACCTTGGTACTCAAATGGTTTTGCTCCCGAACAAATCGGCTCCCGAATGCAGCCAACCCAGAAATGAGTGTTCCAGTTTGCGAATGTTTTTCGGAAGCTGAACATCCAACTCGGCTTCCAATTGAGTGCAGGAAAGCTCCTGCAGCCAATCAGAAGCTGTGCCTTGGTTTTTGAACCGTTTGGGGAGTCGAACAAACTCCCAGAATGGAAAACCAAGGTACCACTGTATTTTAATCAGAGCATTTGGGACTAGGTACAGTGCACAGATGTGTTGAAAATCCATTCAAAGAGGAAGTAATGGTGCAAGCATGTATGTAGCTTTTTGGATAGCTTACTGGTTTGATTGCAGCAGCTAGTCTGTCATGCTGGCTTTGCTTTTGTTTATGTCAAGACCATGGCAACAAAAGTTGACTGTTCTGTGGCTTCAACACACACCATCCTGTTCATCAGAACTTGTCAGTCTGTTACAAATTTGAAGTTTTATATTTGTACTTCCAATTCTAGGATGTTCAAAATATGTGGTACTATACTGTGCCCTGGTTCTTAGACTTATGAGCATTTTGGGAGTTGGTTTTGCCATTCTCAGGCTTTTATCCATTGAAGTACAGTGGTACCTCAGGTTAAGTACTTAATTCATTCCGCGGGTTCATTCTTAACCTGAAACGGTTCTTAACCTGAAGCACCACTTTAGCTAATGGGGCCTCCCGCTGCCGCCGCGCCACCAAAGCATGATTTCTGTTCTCATCCTGAAGCAAAGTTCTTAACCTGAAGCACTATTTCTGGGTTAGTGGAGTCTGTAACCTGAAGCGTATGTAACCTGAAGTGTATGTAACCCGAGGTACCACTGTAATGGCACAAGCGGAATGACTTCTGCTCATGCAACAGAACATCCACTCCCTCTCGTACCCCTGTGTGCCCAACAGATTTGTTTTGAGGGGATTCCCCCCAACCCTCCAGAGCAAATTGGGGTGGGGTTACGGGGGAGGAGAGGAAGAAGAAGAAATTCCAGTCCGTGAGTGGATGTCATTTTGCTTGAGCAGTGATTGCTGGATTAAACCCTGTGTCTAACAGCTTATGGTATCCTTACTGTAGCAGCCTTTTTAAGGAATGTTATCAATATGTGAATGACAATGGCAGCATGATCATGGAGATCCTAGCTCTTGTAGTCATTGGCTCCATTTGAGTTCTGTCATGCTGTAAACTCAACAACATTATCTCATGAAGGCCTAAATTTGTATAAATTGGGCTTATGATTGCATGTATTTTTTTAATTAGGAAATTCCAGTTATGACTGACAAGATTAACAAGGATTAAAATATATTCAACTGAAATAAGATTTATAATATCAGGAAGCAATTCTCAACCTCTGGGTCCCCAGATGTTGTTGGACTACAACCCCCATCATCCCTGAGCTCTGGCCTTGCTAGTTAGGGGTGATGGGAGTTGTAGTTCAACAACATCTGGGAACCCACAGATTGAGAAAGGCATGTAATCTTGTAGTTTAGAGACCAGCAAAGGGGGGGGGGGAGGCTACATGGTGTTTTCCACTTGATACAAAGTAATCTGACATACTTACCTTTTCATGTCTTTTAAAAGGTGGTTCCTGTCCACTTGGAACTTATTGGCAATGCTTAGTTTCATAAGGATGGTAATAGCAAAAAAACCCCTAGAAATTGGGATGCAAATCGAGTATTAGAGATACAGCAGTTGGAAAATAATTTGTATGAATAAAGAAAGTGGTTACATTCTCCTGTAAACTATATGGAGAAATGAACTAGAGTCAGTGTGGTGTAACAATTAGGTTGGGCTATGCCCTGGGAGACCAGAATTTGAATCCTCACTCAGCCATGAAGCTCACTGACTTCCCTTGTGCCAGACACTGTCTCTCAGCCTAACCTACTTCACAGGCTTGTTGTGATGATAGCATGGGGAGAGGAGAACTGTGTACATCACCCTGAGCTCCTTGGAAGAAAAAGTGGGAGAAATAAATACATTATTGAAGGCCAGCTATAAAAACTGCTAACATTCCTGAATGCATTCTCTTTTTCTATTTCAATTTTTTACTTGATAGAATTAAGTTTATTTTGCTGTCCAGCTTAAACACATGAGGCCGACACTTTTGACAAGATGGAAATAACTAAAAATATTCAATTTCTAATTTGTTCACCATATTTGGGGGACCTAAACCTAAACTATGGGTGGGGAGAAGCCCATATGAGGACAGTGCAGAAGTCTTCTGTCTTTGTATTGTATCATCATGGCCACCATCTACCTAGTGCAGGGGGGAAATGCAGTCAGGTGTGGCATGGGTGTCGGCGTTAAGCTAGGAAATTCAAGAATTCTTCTTTGGTGTTGACAGCTTCAATGCAAATTCTTGACTGAAAATGGAGTGGTGCCATAATGCATTGCGTTTTCTGAGAAACTGGATTATGAACATGTCAGTAGCTTGCTGCTGATTGTGTAGATCACAGTGCTACTGGTTTTCAAGCAAGCATTCTTTATTTCTGCAATTTAATGGTGCATTTCAGCTCATGTTTTAGTTGATCAGTATTTCCTCTTTAGGTTCTTATTCAGAAATTCAAAACTCTGATAGAATATTTCTCAGGTTAGAACACCAAAGGATTATATTGGCTTGTCTGTGACAGAGCTTCTTCTGAAACATTTAGGTTTTGTTTTTTTGGTAACATTCTTTGCTGCTGCAGGGATAGTTCCTTTGAGCTTTTCTGTTTAAACATTAACGTTTTCTTATTTCAATGCACTACTTGTGAATCTACTTCCCTCCTTCTAAGGATTTCGTAAAGACAATGGGCACCATATTTATGGTGCTGTTGCCTTCACATGTGTAATTGTGCAGCAACACCTTAGCACTAGACTAGAATTTAAAATGATGTGCATATTGCTCAGCTTCCTGACATACTGGAAGACCCGTTGAAATTAAAGCTACCAACAAAACACATGTTCCTACCAAGTTTCTGTGTTTCAAGTCAAACACCTTGCTTGCAGTGAAAACCTGTTCATATCTAATCAGAAGTAAGTCCCATTAGGCTCAGTGAGACTTAATCCCATTGTGGGAGGGGCGGGCTCTGGACACCTGCATAAGACAAGTAGGTGTTTGGCTGGGCGCCCAGGATTCTTCAAGTTCTTTGAATACTGTTGCAGTCTTGCTTTGCTGTAGATAGCGAAACTTGTAGCAAAAAAAAGAGAAGCTGCTAGGAAAAGCTGCTAGTGTAACACAAGCATCATACTCATTAGAGTCATTTGTTGCTTTATGTCAAGTTGTTTGCTGTGTACATTTTTTCTCTAATACTCCAATTACCTTTCTAGGCAGCCTGCTTCTGCGAAGTGGTATGACCGAAGGGACTACGTCTTTATTGAATTTTGTGTTGAAGACAGTAAAGATGTTAATGTAAATTTTGAGAAATCCAAACTTTCGTTCAGGTAAGCAAAACACCCAACAGTTGACCATGAACAGAGATCACATGCATGTGTTTCAACTGGATCCCATTCTCGAGACAGTGTTAATATTTGTTTCTCATTTTCCTACAGTTGTCTTGGAGGAAACGATAACTTCAAGCATTTAAATGAAATTGATCTTTATAATTCAATTGATCCAAATGTAAGTTGCTTTCATATATCTATGGCATGCTTAATTTTAGGGTGTAAAAAAGCACAGGACTTCACTTTGTTAGTAAGCCTATAAGCATAACCTGTAAATAGGTGGTGGTGACTCTTGCTCCCGTTTAGTGTGCAGTTTGATTACAATGAAATAGTTAAAATATTGTACTCAGTGTTTGAAACTCCCATTGTTCTAGGCACATTTTGTGATGGGATTTCATTAAGGCGAGCAGTTTCTGATTAAAACTGCAGAGTAGAAGGAAATGTGGACCTTTTTCTGCCTCCCCACTTTCATATATTATCTGAAGATTGGAGAAGAGACCCTCTTAGGGGGGGTAGGCAGGGAAAGTACTAGACCATGTGAAAAATGAACATAATATTTTAGCTGCAGTTCATTCATTTTCAGGTTTGTATTCTTGTTATAAAAAAGTGTGCCTAGACATTCCATTGTTGAGCCCATAACATAGGTTTAAGGTGCCTCCTAGCTTTCATATCTCAGTTTCTAACACTGATTGTACTGAATCCTGTAAAAGCATGTAGCCTCCTGGGAAAACTAAAGATGATGTAATGTTTGATTGTGTTGCACCTAGTAGACAAATTACCAACTTAATTAAGTTATTATTGATTCCTCTAATTCTTCGATTATGTATGTATGTGTTACTAAGTTCTCAAAAAGAATTGGTAACTACCATTAGGGAGTAGAGTATGAAGCTCTGTTTCTGTCCATTGCTGCTCAGCTTCTGTTGCTCTCAGTCTTCAAGGCATTTAATTGCATCATTACACATGGCTCAGAGTCTTCCCTCTGCCTGCTTTGCCTAATTACTTTTGGAGGAAACCGCAGTGGAAGCATGATGGCAAAGCTTACACAGTACTTGAGATTTTATGACCATTTAATATTTGATATGCTTTGATCGTTGAGGGTAGGGATGCTTGACAAATGTGGGGTGGTTAACTCCAACCATTTTGACTACTGACACATGTTAGTAGTCAAAATGCAAGTAGAAGACAAATTGCCACTGTAGTAACTGCAGGCTCCCTCATGGCAGTGAAGTCTAGTTCTCATAAACATTATGATGAACCTGTTTCTCAATTGTACCATTTCTATAGCTTCTCAAAATATTCAGTGTACCAAGAAAGCTGGGATGTCAGCAAGAAGGCTAACGCAGCTTTTTGAGTGTTTTCTTAATATGAAGGTACACAGTTGTGTGAGCCCTCATCTGTAGCCTTGTGTAAGAATCGGGCACATGCTTACTATGTTAAAGGAACTTCTTTTCTTTTCAGGAATCCAAGCATAAAAGAACAGACAGGTCTGTCTTATGTTGTTTACGAAAAGGAGAATCTGGCCAGTCGTGGCCACGATTAACGAAAGAGAGGGCAAAGGTAAATCTTTATTCATGACAGTACTCTAACCTCAATATGGTGTATCTCAAGTTTTTTAATGTGCCCCTGTTCTAAATGTGCTTTCTGAGGGCTCCAGCCTAGGACTATTCATTCTCCATTTGAACATACAGAGATTCTCACAGGCAGTTACAATGCACACTAAGACCTACTTTGTATAAGTTCTGTGGTTTTGCGGCATTTATTTTACATTAGACAGGGAAGAATAGGTTATCTCTGAAGATCTCTCTCTCGTGTACCCAGAAACATTCAAAGTATAGTAGCAGACCACCTGGCTGCAGTTCCTCAGATCAGGTTAGAATGAAGTGAGCTGTTGCCTCCACTGATTTATTTGGGATTGGTGAAGATACTCTGCTGAGAGATTGCCCAGTTCCTGGCTGGTAATGAATGCTCTCATTCTGTGTATAATGCCCCAGAAACTTTGTGCCCTGTTCTAGAGTCTGAAAGCCTAGCCTATAAACAAATCACTAAAATTATGATTTGCAAGTCAAATTATCTTGACTTTTTTGTGTAATCCTCATCCAGGAGTCATATTTTGAAACCATTAGACTTATTATTAATTCATTAAATTTGTATACCACCCTATACCCGCAAGTCTCAGGGTGCTTCACAACATAAAATCACAATATAAAAGCACAAAATACATAATAAAAAATAAAATTATAACCCCTGCAAGTAGAGGGTTAACTTGTAGAACAAAGTTAAGTAATTTTCCCTAATGAATTAAAATACTCATTGGGTAGAACAAAAGTCAGAAGAAATGTGTTACTTCAATTGAGAGCTCTTAAAGCTCCTATAGACTCCATCCCATCCCTATTTGCCTAACTTGCCTGTGACCTTATTTCTATATCCACAGCTCAATTGGCTCAGTGTGGACTTTAACAACTGGAAAGACTGGGAAGATGATTCTGACGAAGATTTGTCCAATTTTGATCGCTTTTCTGAAGTAAGTAGAACATTCTGCGGTTGATGACATAGCTTAAATTATTGGGCATTGATCTTGATCTCACCAAAGTTTTGATAGTTATTTTGGCTCCTTTTCATATATACTATCTTTACTTGCTTGATCAAAACAAAAAACACGACTTTACTTAATACTCCCTTGCGTCATTTAGATGATGAACAACATGGGTGGTGATGAAGATGTAGATTTGCCAGAAGTAGATGGAGCAGATGATGTGAGTAGCTTCCCTGTGATTGGAACTTTCAGCCTCCTGCTTGAGGCTGATGTCAATACTTGATGTATATTGACATTTGTATAGTGTCACTGTTTAGAAACTCTGGGTAGTATTCATTGATGTGCTTCTGCTAATGGAAGGACTTTCTGCTGCACACCCGAACTTCCCTTACCCACAGCTTCCTAAATCCGCCCGGGGAAGGGGTGTCCCGCTAACCTCCAGAGCAAATTTGGGTAGGTCATGTTTTGCACAAATACTGCCCTTTTTTGAAACTTGAGAATAGAACTGGGCAGTATACCAATATGTTGTCCAAAACAGGTTTAAAAGTCCATATTGTGATATCTGTTTCATAATTTTTGAACTGGTAATATATTGCGAATCGTGTGTGCACATGCTATGCAAAAATCATGATGGGGGAAACCGTGAAGCCAGCCAATGCCTCAACATAGCTCCATCCTTATTTCAGACATCGTGATAATATCGGTATATTGTGGTCTTTAGCTGGTAATACGTTGCAGTGTTGAAAACCAGGTATCGCCCATCCTTACTTGAGAGTTTATTCCTGTATCCAAACTCTACTTAATATGCTCATTTGGTAGGAGACTTATCTGCATCTAAAATGTGATATGCACAGTTGCATATAAACTTTGAGTCCAAATTTTCTTGGTGTTAATGTATAAAGTAGGCTTAACTCCATATCAAAATATATCTAACCTTTGTTCTCAGCATCAGTGATGGAGGAAGCCGCTTGAGCGCCTGGGGCAGCACACCCAGAGGTGGGGCGAGCCACCCATAGGGGTGGGGCACACCATGGGGCCTCCGGAGTCTGCCTGCCTCCTCCCACTCAGCTGCCCTACAGCTAGGGGGGAGGCAGCAGGCGGACCGTTTTGGGCAGCGCAGAGTCTGCGTGCGCCCAAGCCACGACGTCTCTCCCAGGAGAGACGCGTGGCTTGGGCACACTGCAGGCCCCATGGTGAGTGCCACCCGGCATTTTGTCACCCTCCTCAGTGGTGATACCCTGGGTGGCTCATACCCACCGCACCCCCCTTCCTCCACCCCTGCTCAGCATAATAATTCCAGATATGTAGATACTTGCCTGTAGAGGTCCACAAAGTAATTTTGCAAATATTGTGCTATGGCTTGCTTTCGTAGCTGGCTTTAATTGCTAATCATCTGTTCTTCTGTCCTAGGATTCACCAGACAGCGATGATGAAAGTAAGTTGACTATTGTTCTGTGTTTACTTACCATATACATCCAAAAGAGTTAGACAAAACTCTTGGCACTTCTCATGAATATTTACTAAGTTGTGCCTCCTACACCTCATTAACATTTGCCTGACAAAGATTGCCGCGGGCCTCCTATCCTGCTATGCTACTTGGGTGGTGGAGAATGGAAGAATATTCTCCCTCAAGGTGACTTTACCCTGGGAAAAACTTGCTTTGCACTTGCATCAAAAGAGGGTGGGGTAGAAAAGCTCTTGATGGATGGCAGGGCATAGATTGAACTATTCTGCCTACACTTTTGTTTCTAGAGTGGAGCTGGTCATGTTAAATTCTGTACAGTGGTGCCCCGCAAGACGAATGCCTCGCAAGACGGAAAACCCGCTAGACGAAAGGGTTTTCCGTTTTTGAGTTGCTTCGCAGGACGAATTTCCCTATGGGCTTGCTTCGCAAGACGAAAATGTCTTGCGAGTCTAGAGATTTTTTTTTCGCTTTCCCCCCCCTTTATCTAATCTGCTAAGCCTTTAATAGCCTTTAATAGCCTTTTAGCAGCTAATCCCCTAAGCCTTTAAGCCTTTAATAGCCGCTAAACCGCTAATAGCGCTAATCCGTTAAGCCGCTAATAGGGTTGCTTCGCAAGACGAAAAAACCGCTAGACGAAGACTCTCGCGGAACGGATTAATTTCGTCTTGCGAGGCACCACTGTATTAGTAATTGAAGGGCTTTCTTCTGCATTCTTGTAACTCATGCGTGACTGGGCACACAGGAGAAGTACCTACATAATTTTATTTGTATGCCACCTTTCCGCAGTTCAGACCATGCTCAAGCTGGCTTACAAAATGAAGAAAATACTTAACTACAACTTAAAGTAGTCGAAACCAATAAATTAAGCACAACAAAATCTAAAACGAAAGACCAATAACCCCCCCCTCAAAATACTGCAGCCCAAGAGTCTGTTCAGCAGCCTCAGCTTTTGTAGCTGCAATCAATCAGGGCCTCACCCTCCCAAGCCAGATGGAAAAAGACCTGCAAGGCAGGGAGCAGGTCTTCCAGGACTTAAAGCCAAGATGCTAACTTGCTCCCAGATCTCCAGCATCAAGATGGAAGAGAAATTGTAAACATGTTCAAGTTTACCACTGCAGTCCTTTTGAGGCATGCTTCTGTGAATGCACAATCTCCACTTCATTTTTCCCTGTGATTACAACCATTATGAATTTTTCATATACACTATACTCTCAAGGTGCTGCGAGTTGCAGCTACCTAGAATAACTTGGTGTAAGAGGCATAAGAGAGTAATCTTTCAGAATTGGCCAGAATAATGGTTTGTAACACCACTCAGGGACGTCGTAAGCATTAGCCTGGCTGTTTAGATGGCCTGTGCTTGGGTTCACAACAACACCCCCCTCCCCCAAAAAATCTGGCAGGTAGGGAATAAACATTTTTCATTTCCACTGTGATAGAGAAAATGTGTGAAAAGTAGGAGAGGCTTTGGTTAGCTTACCCAGACATCTGTGTGCTCAGGGGAGAGGCTGTGTACTGCTGGACATACTTCTTACCAGAAGTAGTAGCATTGGGTACATGGCTCTGTGGCTATTGATGTATTTTTGTCACAGTAACTCTAGTGGGGCATATTACTCACATCTTTGAAGGTGAGACTGTTCTTCAAAATTGTTAAAGCTAACAATAACTTACTGCAGACTTCCTCAGCTGCTATCCTCTCAGTGTTTTGGACTACAACTCATCAATGACTATGGTGATGAGAGCCTGTAGCCCAAAACATGTAGAAGGCACCAGATGTTGGTGAAAGCTGTTTCAGTGCATTAATTCTAGTGCTGTTGCCATACAGTATTCAATGTTTGTTTTGTTTTATTTCAGAAATGCCAGACCTGGAGTAAAGGGAACCTGCTATCTTTTGGGGGTTTAGGGAAAGAACTTCATCACAACATTTCATAATTGAGATAAGAATTCCTGAGTTGATAGCTCTAAAGGCAGAAAATGCATCCTTTAACTCATCTTCAACCTGTTTTAAGCAGCTTCATTGATGATTGGTGCGTACCATTGTTCAGGGCAGTCTTAAGCTACGTGAGGCAATAATGTTATGCATGAAAGGTTTTCCAGACTTCCAAAAACAAAACAAAAAAAGCCACACACAAACAATTGAGGTATAGGCAATCGAGAAAAAAACAGTTGCAATAAAAGGGTTTACAACGCCTCTTTGCCTCATCATCAAATATAACAATGGGAAAACTCTCAATTTACATGAAGTGGTAAACATGTACTTTCCCCCTCACATTGTGGACAGCAGGTAACTTAGAACGTTTCAGATTTTATGCCTGGAACAGAACTGGCTGAAGCAATGTTTTAATTGGCTTTCAAAATTTAAACTGGTAACATGCTGTACCTTTTGGGGTGTCTTCAGGGTATGTTCCACTAATGTTTAATGCTCTTCACTTTGTTGTATTTAATCACTAGTTAGTGTTCAAGATATCCTAGCTAAAACTAGCAGTCCCTTTAAAACTTAAAATGGGTGAAGCCTTTACATTTGGTTGTTTGATCCTCAAAGCTCTTACATCTCAGTATGGAGGGGTTAGAGCCTGTACGTTGTTGCTTGTCAATCTGTACATTTAGACCAAATTGTATTTGCACTGTTGGTATGAAAGCGAGTGACAAAATGTTAATACACTATTGGATCTTCTTTTGGGGTTTTATTTTTTTTTTGACCAGTTTATGATAAGCCTAAAAACCTCAATTTGTGTTCAAAGCAGTGGGGATTTTTTAATGTCTACATTATTTCTAATAAACTGTTGAAGACTCCATGGCTGTCAACTGTCTGGCTGGCTGTAACTTCATGTATTCTTACTATTTGTTGGAATGGAATACTTAATTTCTAGTTGGAATAAAAGTGTGGGACTATTTCATCTGTTTGAAGGAGGAAAATTGTAATATTCCCAGGCAAGTCTTTAAAAAAAAAAAGGATCTGTAAGTTGTGGGTACACTGACAGTTTTAAAAAAAATGTTGTGATTTGACTAAAATAAAAGCAAGTTTGTCCTCCTTTAAAAACGGTGAGCTTCTGCATTTGACACTTGTTTTCTGCAATACTTTTTAAAAAAGGGTTCTCAAGCTAAATATGTGTGACTGAGGTGGGACACTTGGAGTTTGATATAGGCTGTTAATACTGAAGAAACATTTTTTCCATGTATACTTCAGTTCCCCCAACTCTTAACATGCACTCCAAATGCACACAGTTCCACACCTTTTTTGACTGTTGCATCAAGGGTCCTCAGTGAGCTTGCGTTTTTAGGAAGGTGTCGAATTAAGGAATTTGGGGGATTAAATTATTTGGATTTCATAGAAGTGCTGCCTTCTCAACCAGACTTTTCCCTTTAATAGTATCAGATAGACATAACATGAACTTAGACTTGCCACTGGTTTCCAACTTGGCAGCTGCTCTGAAACCATAAACATCTAAGTTAAGTCTTAAATAAAAGGCTGTTAAGAGACTATTGATCTGAGATGCAAACAAGCATTGGGGGGGGGGAAATCACTTGTTAGTGAAATGTAGTTTATGCCCTGAGGATAGGTCATCATCTTGTCCAGAATGTCCTTGTCTGCAGCCCCAGGGCAGAATGAGCTCCAAGAAGCTAACCTTGCTGATTCCCTTGCCAGAAGTAAACAAACTTCAGTTTTTAAAGGCTATTGTTGGAGTCTTAAACCAAAATTAAGTCCCTCAAATGTGGGAATGGAACAGAGAGAATATATCAGTACATCTGAATTGTTTCTTAAATTCAGAAGCATGTGATTCCGTTGGTGTTGGCTTATTATGCTATTTGTTGCAAACAGCTGTGCTGTATGACCACCTTGCATCTGATGTGCCTCCACTGAAGTCAGTTGCTGGAAGACTGAAAGCCTAGTAGAGAATATTTGTGGGGAAGCAGGGTAGACGAAAAAACAAAACAAGAGAAGGGAGGGCTGGGACAGATAGGGATGTAAAGAAGTGAGTGCTTAAGGAGTGTGTTAAGGAAAGGCCAGAAGAAGTTAAAAATTTAATATGCTTTTCTGTGACTCTAAACCCCAAGGGGCTGCCAACTTGGGCAAGTGCCATGGTTGCTGTGAAGGCCTTCACTGGCAGCTGGATAGGGGGGCCAGACTGAGCTTTCTTTAAGAAAAAAAGTCTCTAGAATGTAAGTGGTGAAGCAAACCGTACAGATAACCTAATCAGTTTTGTGAAATGAACCTTCTTGGTTGCTTCTGCATATCAGTGTTAGAGCTACAATAAGTAGATACCAAGCAATCCTGCTTCTTTCTTATTTTCTAGTCCTTGGAATCTCTAGTTTCCCTTTTTTCCATATAAACCAGGAGGCATCTTTCCTGTGGTGGGTTCATCTCAGATCAGGTATTCTCTAGAAGTTACTTTCTGCAAATACTACTACGCAATAAGTGTGAGTAGATGTTTGTCCCCTAAACGCCAATGCTCAGTTGGTAGAACATGAGACTCTTAATCTCATCATGGGTTTGAGCCCCATATTGTGCAAAATATTCCTGCATTGCAAGGAGCTGGACTAGATGACTCTTGTGGTCCGCTCCAACTCTACAATTCTATGATTATAAGATTTGGCTTGTAGTCTGTGCAGGAGCCAAAAGATCAGGCACTCATTAAGAAATCAGTGTATATTTAACTTACAGTACAATATCTACACAGAATTAAATACTGGCGTTTAAAGGGACTTATTCCCAAGTAAGTAGGTCCAGGATGGCAATATAGGCTTTGGTTTAGGGTTGGCATTTGGGAAAAACAGGGTTCATGTACCTTAAGACAAATTCCACACATTAAGCCATTTCTAGTATGGAAATACAATTGTGGGAAAATCTTCACCATGGCTGTTCTCTTAATTTTGTATTATGCCTTGCCCTTCCCGTGCAGCAGCCATTTTGTAACTGGCTCCCACTTGGTGAAAGGCAAACCATACCAAGACTTGGTGGGATTGGATCTGCATATGTCTAATAGTCTACATCAGAGTTGGTGTGTATTTTCCCATACTTCGAACTTGATATGTAGCGTTCTTGCCCAAAAGGTTGGTGGTTGCTGGCGCAGCCCTTTTTAAGTGTCTGAAGTTAAGAACGCAAGCATATTGAGTCTGGGTGCAGCTTATAATCTTGAAAGAGCTTCACAGCTAGGGCATTGCCTGGTGCTTCCTAGCATCTGTTAATCAAAATAATGCTGTTTGAACATGGGAACTGTATTCTTCTGGCTGATTATTGCAAATAGACTTAACTTCCATATGTTATGAACCCATTAAAAGCCCTTTATCCTAGAAAGTGAATTCCTCTACTGAATTATGCACAAGACTGCATTGTGTTCTGCAAATCAAGGAATTGGATCTGGCAAATCACATTTAGCACCCTGGGAATATTTGCTTGATGTGAGGCATGGTTTGGGAACCTTTTTCAGATTCAGGCTGCATTGCCTCCTAGGGAATCTTCCCAGAGCATCGTGCTAGTTGACTGGGGTGGCGGAGCAGACAGAGGCACCCCATAAACCTACTTTCATACATACACATACCCATCCATTCAATTCTACCTTGTCTTCTGCTGCTTGTCGTCCTTAGCTCCACCCCACATGACAATACACGTTTAAAAATGCTCCTGTTGGTGCCAATGCAAACGTTTTTAAAAGCCTAATTGCTATATGTAGAATGAGGGAGATGGCGACTTGTAGTGGGAAGGCACAGTGAGGGGAGAGTTAACCTTTATCTCGCAAGCTGTGACTCCATTAAAATCCCACCTACCTGTACCAATAAATCTTCTAAAGTGCTTTCATGCACACCTATAGGACATTTTCCAAAGTCTGAATTACTGTGTGGGGTAGTAAAGCTGAGGTGCTGTTGTTTTTTTTAATTCTTCAGTTTTTCTTCTACTTATTAGGTGCAGCACTTCATATTGTAAAACCTGATATTGGAAGCAGAATCATCAAAATATACACAACAATCAGACCTGTGTAATTTGCGATTTCAGATTTTTTAAAATGAAAGGTATACTCTGATCCTGTTGTATGGTGAAATATTGCATCTTTAAGCCGTTCTGTAATCGTAAGAGAACATTGGTGTATGCTGAGGGAAAGCGCTTTGTATTTATCATCCTAGTAGCTAATACTCCGTTTTTGGGTAGATACCAACTTAATCAACACTGCAGCGGGCAGTTGATAGATGGTTAAAGCTGCAAAAATTAAAGTACTTTTTACTATCCCAACAGAAAGCCCTTTGGCATACAAGAGAGAGCATGGACTGGTTTTAATGCAGACTCAAGAACTGGGCTACAAGATAGATGTCTTATTTAGAGGTAATAGCAACCCAAACTGGCTAAGCAGGAAGGAGCAAGTGGTGCCAGGAGCTAACCCATAGTTTGACCGAGCAATATGCATGAAACCAGGTTTGAGGTTTCTCTTTCCCCAAACAAATCCCAAGTGATAAGCCAATAACAAATCCTTGGTTATAGTTCATGGTTCGTTGAAGAGTAAGGCAAGTCGTGACCCTGTGTTTGATTAGATGTAACGCTAAGCCAAATCATGGCTTAATTCCCAGTAGTGTAGCAGCAGCAGCAGCATGAATTGGGAGAAGTGATGTGGCTATGATTTTCTAACTGCACTATTATTTTAATTAAATTTCTATACCACCTTTCATCCAGCGATCATATGGCGGTTTACAATATGAAAGCACAATAATACGTACTACAAGAACAATATCCCCCACATATATATTTATTAAATATTTATGAAGTATTTCTGATGTTGCTTAGACCTAGGGCGTAGCTTTGCTGATGTATCTGGCCCATACTGCTTCAGATTGCAGGTGGAGGCTCCCATTGTTAAAATCTTATGCACATGCACCTCCGCATAGAAAGCTAGAATGGCAGGTGGAAGACTAGGCTAGAGAACACTTTCCTGCTCTCTTGCTTTCAGTATTAGGTGGGTGGTGTACAGAGGCACTTTTGACACAGCACCTAAACAAAGACCACTGAGTAAGCTTACTGGTCATGGAATAAGAGGAGAGATCTTCTTGTGGATTGGTAACTGGCTAAGAAACGAGAATAGGAATAAATGGACAGTTCTCCCAATGGATGGATGTAGAAAATTGGGTAAAGTGATGCATACTGGGGCCAAACAATTCAATGTGCATACATGCTCATGAGTCTGAACTGGTGGTGACTGACCAGGAATGAGATCATGGGTTCATAGTGAATAGTTAAATGAAGATGTTGACCCAGTGTGCGGCTGCTGCGAAAATGTGAACTCCATGCTAGGAACCAATAGGAAAGGAACCGAAAATAAAACTGCCAATATCATAATGCCATTATATGGATCTATGATGTATTCCAAGTGCAGTCACTGTAGACTCCTCACCTCAAAAAAGATGTTGTAGAGCTGGAAAAGGGCAACCAAAAGGATGAAGCAAATCCCTCCAAGGAAAGGTTGCAACATTATCACGTTTGGAGAAAAGGTAAGTAAGAGGAGACATGATAGAAGGGTCTAAAATGGGTGAAAAGAGGTTCTTCTCCCTCTCTCAGAACACTAGAACTCAAGACATCCAATGAAGCTGAATGTTGCAAGATTCAGGAGACCAAAAAAATCAGAAAATACTTCACACAGTATAGTCAAACTCTGGATGTTTGTCTGTTTGTCCCCTTTAGGGGCAGATAGACAACAGAAGTGGCAAATAGATTAAAATTGCTTTTAAAAGCTTGACTCTGAGGACCTCATGTGTAAGTCACCTGTAATGATGGGACACTAACGTAAAAGGTAAAGGACCCCAGGATGGTTAAGTCCAGCCAAAGGTGCCTATGGGATGTGGCACTCATCTCGCTTTTCAGGCTGAGGGAGCTGGCGTTTGTCCACAGACAGCTTTCCAGGTCATGTGGCCAGCAGGACTAAACCACTTCTGGCGCAATGGAACACCGTGACACTATCCAATGCTAGTCCTACTCAAAGTAGACCCATTGGAATTAATAGACGTGACTAACATTTTACAATTTCCTGCTTTTTCACCATATAGGTCTCAAAGCATTTTACAGCAATAGAATAATATGCAAGATTTAAAACAAAAAATTGGGTCCATTAATTTTAATGGACCTACTCTGAGCAGGACTAGCATTGTATGCAACCCATGGTGCTCCAACAGCTTTGGTATCTGCTGCAAACTATTAACACCTAGCCATTTTAGCGAAATCTTCCAGATATCTGGAACTCTGCTGGATAATAGATCATTCTGAGCAGAGACTGCGATGATAGGCTTTCACAAATCAAAATATACTGGTTGGGGAGCAAAGCACAGAGATATTGTGTGTGTGTGTGTGGAGACTGGCAACTAATTTGATAGAGTAACTATTTTTGTAATCCACACTTCAACAAGCCTACCTTTTAACTCCAAGACATACTACTCTTGCCTCAAAGTGTTTGCTACCTCTCTCCAACAACACATCTGACCATGATAACTTGTCCCTTGGTTTTCATGGCAGACAATGCAGTCATTTGCATGACTCAAGGTAATGCAAAACATTCACCTAAGCCCTGCCAAGGCCTGATGACACAATCTACACAAGTCATTACTTTGGAGAAGAACTCTGTGAAGGAAGAATAGGTTGCCTTCCTACTACCCTCCATTGTTTCAGCTAACTTATTGTCACTGTAGTTGCTTTACTTTCACTGCTGAACCAGCATGGTGCCCACTGGATGCAGTGAGACCCCAGAAAGTGAAAGCCAGTAATCCTCAAACATTTTCTCTGGGCCACACTGATTTTTTTATTGATAAGAAATATATTGGAAAACAAAAAGAAACAACTCCGAGCAGTGCTTAATTTAGAACACAGAACACAGCTATTTTATAATATGACCATGAGGCATCCAGAAAGTATAAAACAATGTAGGTACATAAGGACACGAATCATTCCTAAATATAGTTTAGATATTTCTTTGATTGTCCTTGAATCTTCCCACTACACTTGCCATCCTCTCCTTGTGCCACAGCCTTTGAGAACCACTGGCCTTCATCAGTTGGCAGGACTTCCAAGTTTGGGAACTGAGCGCCACATTATTGGTCCATGGCTTTTGTAAAAAAGCGCTCGTACCAATAACAGTTAATTGTAATCGAAATATATAAAAATAATAATAATAATGTCCAGTAGCACCTTAGAGACCAGCGAAGTTTGTTCTTGGTATAAGCTTACGTGTGCATGCACACTTCTATCTGGTTGGTGTTATATATATATATATATATATATATATATATATATATATATATACCGTATTTTTTGCACCATAACACTCACTTTTTTCCTCCTAGAAAGTAAGGGGAAATGTCTGTGCGTGTTATGGAGGAAATGCCTACGGGTGGCATGCCTACGGATTTTCCTCCTCTAAAAACTACGTGCGTGTTATGGTCAGGTGCGTGTTATAGAGCGAAAAATACGGTATATAATTTCGACTGCGTCAGACCAACATGGCTACCTACCTGAAGTTAATTGTAATGGTGATGATGGTGA